TCATACGAGAACAGAACAGGAAAGTAGAGGGTATGATCACACTCAATGTTGTCCCTGATGGTCTTGTTTGCTTTAGCAGGTCATAAGGACACAGACGCATTAATTAGAACCAGATCCCTGACAGGATAAATACTCTTCACTATAATTATTTGTGACTAATAAAGAAGAACCATTCACATACTGCCAGTGTTGTAGTGCTTGGTTCCAGGACTTGGTTCTGATTTTTCAGCTTGGATTCTTATCTAAACTCAAGACTCAACTTGGGCTCAAGTTTTCTACAGTTCCATATCAAGTTCTCAAGTTCTGTTGGCAAAACCGGTCTTTAATTAAAGAAGCTCTAAAGGGGTTTGTTGATAAAAACCTTCACTAATGATGACCCTGTTTGGGGTTAAAGTGAAAATAAGATAAGAGGGACTTTATTTATCCCTGAGGGTAAATTCAATATCTCTATACAATGGCAAAATCTGTGAGTGACTGGCATACAAATTGATCATTGAAATGAAAGAAGTCAAAATACACAGTTTTGAGAGTTTGGACGGGGCTATTTTTGTCCCTCTGTAACTACTGTGCCCTCGGAGTTTTGACCCCAGTTCCCCTTTCAGTCTGATTTGTTTTTCAAGAAAGGGTTCATTAGATAAAACTGTTTTTGTTTTTCTGCTCAGCTGTTGTTATTGTCCGCTCGCTCCAATTCTATACTTGTTTTGTGCACTGTTGACGCTGTCAGGCACACATCAACCCTTTGGTTTTCCTTGTCCAAATCCTCCTTTATTCTTTATTTAGACGTTGGTTCATTGGTTGTTTTGGGAAACTAGGTTAGACAAGATGCATTTTGTATTTAGACACACTTGTACATTTTGTTGTAAATATAAAGCAAATGGTAGAGTTAAGTTGTCTGGCATATAATGCGAAAGAAACGTACTTGAATCTAAGAAGTTGTTTGAACAAAAGTCACATTAAATGCAAATTGTAAAGAACCAGGAATAGAGCCCTGCAGAACCCCATTTTAGACAACAAGAAAGCTTAAATCAGCACAATCAGCCTGTAGTAGTCTTTTTTTCATTAGCTTTGGTATCTAGTAACAGATTGCACATGAAAAAAAAGAAACTGTACTGAGGTCTGGTTGGTTTTTCCTTTATAGTATGTTTTTAATGCAAACAATTTTAACCAATCATCTGTCAGCAGGCTTTGGAGTAGGACGGAAAAACGATCCAGTAGTCAGTCTTGGTATCCTGTCTCCTGTTGCTGCTCATCTAGGGATGATTATATATCTATAAAAAAGAAACACCTGTGTGCAACGGCAGCTGATAGTTTGTTCTAGATCAAAACATAAAGATACATAACTGATAATGTTGTGTTACGGATAACGAGACCAACATTTAGATTTTCCAATTTCCTTGAATGCATCAGAAATGTTCACTCCACCTCCATTCAAACAATGAGCATGTTGTTTTGTCAGCAAATTTAGAGCCCGTTAATCATGACTAAATCACAAGAAAATCTGATTCTTTGTCGGCTTCATACCCACAAAGCGAGCTTGGGTGAAGCCTCGATGTAACTTGGTGTCATCAGTGAAATAAGACTCATGAACACTACTCTGAAGAAGCAAAAAAAATGATGCCAAATTGGTCAAACTTAGCTTTGCTTTTTGATCTGAATAGTTCAAAGATGTTTGAAAAATTGGTTGTAGATAAAAAGGCAAAAATCATCTTCGTTGATAGGTTCTGAGATTGGAGTATGAAACTCTTCATTTTGTTTGGGAACAAATTGTCAATTACTGCAGCTGAGGGTGAAAGCTATTAAGCACATCAGTTAATTTGTTGATACTGACTAATGGGATTTCAGACCATGAACACTGAGCAACAGGAATTCAACTGTCTGTTTTAAAGGGAATCTGCTGTTCAACTGCTGTGTAAACAACGAAACAGCAAACCTGTGCAGCCATACGAAGGAGCGTAAACAAAGACACAGGCTGTTCTGCACGGCTGCCCGTGTAAATACTGGAGGAATTCGCTGTGGACAAATTGCCTCTTATTCAAACATTATGGAGTACCAGAGGGGAAAAACATCCATTTTCAATTAGGTGCCATGACTAATGAGAAGTGAGGCCCTTCATTTTAATTACAAAACTGTGCGATCGCAATCACAGTCAGGCAGAGCACACTACCCATGTTAATGGAAAAATTATTCATTCAGTAGAGAGTGGAGAGAGAGAGAGGTGAGGTGTGAAAAGCTTTTAAAAGTAAAGAGAAACAGGAGACTCTGTGTTAAGATGATGACATAAACAGTATGTTTGTATGGAGGACCAAAAATGACATGACAAGTAAAAATAAATAAAGGAATAAATAAATGGATAAATAAAAAATTAAATACACAAATAAATAAATTAATTAAATAATTTTTGAAAAATAAAAGGTTATTTTTTTTATTTTTTGCCTTAATCTATTTTATATTTATTTATATTTAATTTTATTTATTGTCACATTTATTCATTTTACTTTTATTTATTTAATTATTTTTACTTCTATTTATGTATTTATTCATTTATTATTTTAACTTATGTCATTTTTGGTCCTTCATATGTTTGAGGATGAGAATTTTGAATAAACCTATAAATTATGAGGGAAGGAGTCAAAACTGTTTTGACTTGATAAAAAAGTTGAAAAAGTGCCAAAAGTTGTCAACAAAAGAAAGCAGAATAAGAAATATTTTGTGTGGTCTTTTCTCTTCCAAACATGAATACAGTACAAAAGAGATTATTCCGCCAACAGAGGGCAAAGCTGGTGTTGAAATCCACAAAATATTTTATGAGGATCAATACGGCACACAAGCACGTCATCCAAATAAATAAATTACAGACAGGAAATGGTAGATGATGGATCCTTGGAGGGCGAGCGTAACCTTGCACTTCCAAACTGTCGATACCCTCTGACAGTGAAGCTCATGTTCACTCCCCTCCAGAAAATGCATTAGACACAGATGATATCCTGAGCCCAGGCCTTCAATCCACCACACATAAGCACTAATCTGTTAATTGATCTGGCGAGGGGAAGGGGAGAAAGTGCTCCCTCTCTCTCTCTCTTTCTCTCTGGGTGTGTGTGTGAGGGAGATGGAGTGATGACATTACTGAAGAAATATATAATCTTTTATAATGGGTTCAGGGACCTTGAGCAGATGAAAGCGTGCTGTTGTTTGAAGAGGCTCTTTGAGAATTCATCCACCCCCTTCATTGCTGACAATATTTGAGAGTATTTTATGCTGATGCGCTGTTCTAAGTGTGATCTCAGCTGTGTTATCTCGACTGGAAGTGAACATATTCAAGGTACGCACTGACCCTTGAAGATTTTTCTATTGTGGGATAGGTGTGCAGTCTCTTGAGACATCCTTCAACTGAAGTGAGCATCTCTTCATCAAGTTAAAGCTCCCGTGGGGCGTCCATGATCAGAAATAACTTCTATGATACAAGCATATATTTTAATTTTCTACTTTTCTGAGGCAGGCTTTGTGACCCATGCTGCAGCCAGTCACCAGGGGGAGCTCTAAAAGTTTTAGCTTCACTCAAGACAGCTGTTGTTCTAGGTCCTATTTACAGGGGAGACCGTGTTTGGTTGACCCTCATTTTACCCTCAAATAACTGATTCATGATCATAGACTGTATATAGCTTGGACGCCGTCTGCTTCCTTGCTTGGTGAAGCCACCGCGAGAACAGCACCCTCTGGTGACAGGCTGCAGTATAGGTCATAAATCCCACCTCCTCCAGCAATCCTTATGGAGCTGTGGACAAACTTAAGAAATTAATTACACAGAATATACATTTTTCTACCCCCCTGGTTTTTATGTTGACATGTAGTTACAGTAAGACTTGTTTGTGCTCAAATCCTCTTTTTTTCTGTGCAGCTCCATTTTTTAAAAGTTCTTAGGGGTCACCAACAAGCATAAGGACATTGTAACATTTGCTACTCTTATATATATACAGAATATACAGTCTATATGCATGATCAATAAATTTTACAGTGGTCACTTCACTGGAAATAAGACCAGTTTCTGGCGTTGACATTTGGATATAAAAATCTTTAATCTTGCCCCTGATGGTTTTGTTTATTCTTGGATATCATGAAAGAACCTGATTTAAATTCTAGTTTGTTTTATTAAAGTCAAATTTTGTTATATTAAAGTAAACATAAATCCCCCTACACTGGTTTGAAGGAACTCGTCCAGATGATGAGAATCATCTGCAAACCGAACCCCGGGTCTATCAAGGTGATCCAAGTCTTCATGGCACAAACTATAACTATTGAAAGCTAGAAATCTGAGTTTATTTGTACCCTACTTGTGCTTGTGTGAATCACTTTTTTAAGACCCTGATAAGAAGCACTTTGATGTGACAGAAGCCCACCTGGCACCAAACAGTCCTCCCACTCTCTCTGAGTCCCTCTCTCTCTCTCTGAGGGGACCTGGAGGAGCTGCAGAAACCTCAGACCGGGGGAGTCTGCAGGACGACAGCCAGCATTATTTCTCAGAGAGGGATGATAGATGCAGAAGTGTTTTGGTATTACTCCGCTTCTCAACCCCTAAAGGGATTACGGGCTCGATCAAGGCTGCAGTGTAGGTGATAAGAGTCAAAAACAAGAAGAAGAAGTGAGTCACACGCTCTAATCCCCTCTGCAGCGCTCTCAGCAGCAGACATTTAAGCATCCTCCTCTGCTCAACACGTCCACCTCGGAGACATAAGGAGCTTAGATGATACAGCATATTTTCTTTTCATGTTTCAAACATTTGAGGTAGCGCTTGCAGTCATGGCCTTCTGAGTTATTTTGGCGATCTATTCTGACTCCCACAGAATGAGACACATCGAAAGGATGCTGTGACAATACCAACAAAATCATGATTGCTGTTTAATTTAATGTAGCGCCCCTAACCTGACTATAAGAACACACTATAGACACCTACACTCTTACTGGATACTTAAATTATGCAAATGAGGGGGCATGAAGTTGACAGTTTATTGTTTCACAACATAAATTTTTGCAGTGTATGAAAAATTAAAAATAGAAAACAAATACAGCTCTTTAATTTAAAAAAAAAACATTAAATAGTTAAAATAAAAGTGTCCCTTCTTCTTTCTTAGAAGTCAAAAGTTCAGTTCTGTTCATATGACTACTAAAACCTGGGTAGATTTTTGTGTTGGTTCTTATCTGTGTTAGAGAGTCAAGTAGGACGTCTGGGGCTCTCTGAAGTGGACGCTACGGCTGGCCACACAGTGCTTCCGTTTCTTCCCGGTTCACCACCGAACCTCCAGAGGTACGGATCCAAATTACTTCCCAAATCCAATCTACACAGAGATATACGCAGAAAATATAAGTGAGAGATATCTTAATATCATCATAGTTATATCCAGAAGCAGGATATACAGCACTCAACTAACTGCAAATGAGTTTGTACAGGAAGAACCACTGCTTTTGTACCATAGACTGCATATACTATGGACAACTTGGTTCTGCCTTCTGCCAGTATATGGATTAAAAGCTGAAAAGCTCTCAGTAATTCTGCGTTTTCTCTCCATTTCCTGAAACCAACATTGCGCAGTAGCGTTGTGCGCATTCAGCGGGAGAGTTGCCGAGAGTTGCTATGATGATGTTCGGCTCAAACAGTGTATCCCCCGGGGGAGCTACACAATCCTTGTACACCCATAGGCTGTTCAGGTGTCAATCATACAAAACATGAATCTCCTAATAACTTTTAAAAATGGAATAGCCCTTTGAGAAACACATAGTAAAGTAAAAAGTTAATATAATTTACCAATTTATGGAGACATTACATCCAAAAAGAAGAACTCCGGTTATCACCCTCATTTAAACCATTCACCTTTTTAATATCCTGCCTTTTAAAAGAATCGATAGAGAATCGTTAGGAACCGGAATCGAAAATGAGGAATCGGAACCGGAATCCTTCAAAATCAAACGGTACCCAACCCTAATCAACTCAAATACCGGTCATTTGCGATCTCAATTTCTCTCCTCTAACTTCTGTAACAACATGTTAGCTTACCCAGCTAACAGTTTCATATCACAGTCAATATCGGAGCTAACGTCGCGATTAGCGTCACTCGCGATTACCGTTAGCTCCGCGCTAATTTAGCTAACGATCTTTTTAAAGTTGGTTTACATGGTTCACAATGATACAGACAGTACCACTGTGGATAGAAACATTGGGAAACATTCCTGTAGCTCCGTTTGGTTTTAGAAAAGTAGCTCAATGACAGGCATTTTCACAAAACAAGCTAACAACGAAGCCTAGCCTCTTAGAAACCACACTTACCGGAGATCTCTTAGAGGCTCACAGCGTGAAAATGCTCCGCTTCTCCAAAATAATACAGCAAACTCGTCCCTAATAAGTGAAAGACTCATTAGATGATGCTCCAAAGTGGTAAATCAGAAATTTCCGACCTCTATTTGACTTTCTTACCGATGCTCGTTAACGTCTCGGTCAAACAGCAGTAGGGGTTCTTGCTCGCTGACCATGACAATAAGTAAACAGCTGAGACGCCACCTTGTGGTGGGGCATTGTAAACGCCTTCAAATAACATAAATGGGTTTAATACCCATGTAAGTGACATTAAACTGAGGGAATTTTCTGTTCAGGGATTTTCTGCTCTGTCTAGAGGGATTTCTTCTTAGTTACTCATTACACTGGCATGATAAAATCAAATTTGAAAACTCACTTTTACAGACTTGCTTTTATGTGATGCCGTCTTTTCTCTTTTTTCTTTTCTCTTTTACCTCTATCTTATTTAGACATATTGTCCCTTTAGCCTTTGTTTTACTTATCTTTTCTTTTTTAATCTTTTAGGCCTTTCATTTTGCTAACTTTAAGTACTGAACAATCTAAGGATGAGACTGCAAATGGATTTTTTGCTTAGTAAACCTAATTTCCATGTGTTTTTAATAAGTTACATAATTTTGCTCAAAAACCTGGTGAATGTGATAAATAAAGCCTTCGACCTCTCTTCCTTTCTGATGACTTTATCCTTCCTTGCTTCCTTTGCGCTGCAATCAGTGAGAGCAGATTAGAGAAAATCCCGTCTTTCAGGTAAAGAACTGAATTTAATCCCAGCTGCTGCAGGAGCTGAAAGCAGAAGACACCAGAAATATGTATATTTTTTAAAAATCCTCCCCTCTACAAAAAAATCCAGATCCATTTTCATGTAGGAAGACAAGTCATAAAAAAGATGCACTAAATTTACTGTTACTGTCTCACTGAGATCCATTGTATAATCCAGTGGTGAGGGTTCAAATCACATCCCTTTAACCGCTACTCGCTTAATTTGCTTTAAAATACTGACACCTAGTGGTTATTTAGAGAAATGCAAAACAAAATAGGTGAAGAGTGCTCAATACTCAACTTCTACAGAGCTTATTATACTGATCCAAACTGTCCTCTATATGCCTCCTATTGATTAATGAACAGGCTGGTTTCACTGTATAGAATCAATATCTAATTAACTGGAGCTAACTAAATTCTCAGATGGTCCTCATTTCATTTTTCCAAAACACTTTTTTTTTTCATTTTCCTCAAATAAGTCAAATCAGCTTTGGATAAAAGTTTAATTCACAAAAATACATTGACCAATATAATGAAAATGTACTAAAATGTACTTTAATAATCCATAAAAGCTGGAACATCATTGACAGAAAAACACAAGAAGCATTATTAGAGTTGGTTTAGTATAATATATTTCAGCTTCAAGAGACATAGAAATCAATCCTTATTTTTCCCCGTATTTCTTCTATAAAAGACCCATTTTTTTTCTGAAGCATTATTATGCAAAAAATGGCATTAGAATATATTATGGGAGCTATGAAATCCCAGTGACTGAGTATAAAATTAAGTCACATCAGAGAGAGATATTTGCAGAAGAGAAGTCCATGAACAACAGGGCGAACAAAGAAAAAAATATATAATAAAAATAATAATACATATTATAGACCTTGATCTATTATCACTGACATGACAGGCATGGAGAATAGGTGTATGGCTATAAAAAATTTCTCACTTTTCCACTTGATTTCACTTGAAAACATCTACACTTAATAACTGATGCACTTTTTCATGCTCGTTTTTGAAGAATATTTATAATCATACAACTAAAGAGGTCAACTTCCATGTCGTTCAAATACGATATTGATATTGAAAAAAAAAAAACTGAAAAAAAAAAAAAGATGAAAAATACTGAAGTTCTAACTCTGTTTTTCCTTCTTTAAACGCTGTTATTTTTCTTTTTATTTCACTGTCAAAAAATGAAAATACACGGGGGGGCTGCTCTCTGGCCATGGAGGCGGCTCATGGGCACGTTTTTTTACTAGACTTTTCAGAGGCTTAAATCATCATCATCATTATCATCATCATCATCACAAGTTTGTGTTGTTTGCAGAAATGGAGACTGTCCATTCAGGATTCACACTGAAACTGAGACACAGAGGAAGGTCCTCAGAGGCGAGATGCGACTCTCTCGCTTAACTGTCTTTCTTTCACTCTCCTCACTCTCTCCATCTCTCTCTATCTCTCTCTCTCTCTCATTCATGTAGGTTGTCCTTGTCTTTGATAGGAGCAGTTCAGTCAGCTGATTCACCGTTTATGGCTGATGGAGGTTTGAGGGCGGGGGGTCGGGGGGTCGGGGGGGTGGGGAGGCTGTTGGAATGCTGGCACGTTCCAATCAGGGCAACAGTTCTTCATTACAGCATTTCTGCAAAAACAACACAGAGGTGATGAGTCCGTGTTTCACATTGACTAAGTCCACAGAAGAATCTATGAGCTGGCAGTGCCCTCTAGTGGCAGGTTAATGGTATTACACATGTAGAAGGAAATATCATAAAACACATATTTAGGTAGATTTTGGGGAATAAAAGCAATTTTCAGTGAATGAATTAAGAAAAAAAAGTCCCTGCAGAAGTGTTAACCCAAGTTGGTTTCTAGAATAACCATCCTTAGTGAATACAGTGTGACAGTGTAGCTAAAAGGTATCTGGTCAGTAGGAGGAAGACTCAGGACACTAACCCAAGGGTGCAAAAGGTGGATATTAACTTTTAACTCAGCTCAACTTTATTTGTAAAGCACTTTAAAACAACCACAGCTAAACAAAGTGCTGTACATGAATAGACAAAACAACGCAGACATAAAAAACAATCAAAAAACAATTAAAACAATGGATAAAATAGAAGCAGATATTAAAATGTGAAATATAGTTTCAATGTTTTTAAAAACTAATTTAAAAACATAGAAACAAATAACTAAAAACAGACCATAAAACACTAAAACAGGAGCTGAGTCTCATGCAGGGTTGACAGCCAATGAATAAAAACGTGTTTTAAGACAAATTTTAAAAATGGACAGTGTGGGGGCTTGTCTGATTTGGAGGGGTAGCTCATTCCATAATTTTGGGGCCGCAACAGAAAAAGCTCTATCCCCTCTGAGCTTCAGTTTGGACCTTGGTACCTCCAGGAGCAGCTGATCAGGGGTGTAGGGGTGGAGAAGCTCAGAGAGGTAAGATGGAGTCAGACCATTTTAAGATTTAAAAACAAATAAAAGAATCTTAAAATTAACTCTAAAATTCACGGGTAACCAGTGGAGGGAGGCCAGGATGGGAGTAATGTGCTCCCTCTTATGTACCCCAGTTAAGAGCCGGGCAGCTGGTTATGGTTTAAGTGCAAGCATAAACTACAAAAACTACAAAATGGAGACAAAGGAACTAAAAACACGATGAACTGAGGGTAAACATTCATACTACAGACTACTAAATGTACATAACGGCCCACATCAGCGATTACCAGCTTCTTGCACCAACCACAGCACCCACAGGAACAGGAAAGAACACACACTCACACAACTCAAGACAAAGTCAGATAACCCAGTGTACCTGAATTTATCACGACACATTTACTCAATAACTTTGAAATTAAACTATCAATCAAAGTAACTAAAACTACCATCATGTTTGTCATAACTGTGTCAACCTGAACAAGAACATGATGGAAAAATCACTTTGATTCGACACTAAACACAAATATATGACGACAGTATTATGTATCATGTTGTCCAGATGGAGAACTTTATGGTTAATTAAGCTGATAATGACTTTAAACAGGAAAAAAGTTCTTGTTTGGCTTTCACTGTATTTGTAGATTCTGTCATAATTTCACCCTCATGCTCTCTGTCTCCTTCTGCAGAGTAACCAGGTACGAGCTCGAGGTGTACAAACAACTGCCTGGGCCGACGCACGACCACAGAAATGACAAGATAGCATCAAACATGCATTTCCTTTTAGTGTTGCTTCCCTTTTCTTTATATCACCTGCCTTTTACAGTCGAGTCTGAGAGCAGAAGGTGAGGCCTGCAGGAGGAAAGAAGCCAACGACGATGAAGAAGAAGCCATGTCCGCTTACAACGTCTCTCCTCTCCCCTGAGATTTAAAGGTGTTTCAGGTTAAAGTGAGTTAAATATAGCTCTGCGTGGAATCTTTTCTACTATTATGCTCTTAACTTCTCAGCAGCTGCCAGGGTTCACACAGTCCACTGATCCTCCCTCTGAGCTATATGAGTCAGTAAGTTCAACTCCTCCGGGGATTGGTAGAAAGACCACAGGTGGAAAGGAGAAGGATATCTGTCTGGTTCTTTTGTGGATCTCAGCGTCTTTCACCTCCAAAGTTAAAAAAGATCCACCAGCTAGTTGTGATGATTCTTGTATTTGCTTTCTATTCACACTTCTCACCTCACATTCATACTTTAAACGGAGTGGAAAGGTTTCTACGTCAAACCATTGGGATGCTTTTACAATAATCGAGATGGTTGTATGATGGAAAATAAGTCAGGATCAGAGTAATTTGCGACGACAACCTGACACTTGGTTGTGCAGCACACCACACACAAGCATTTTCAGTCCACTGCTACAGTTAACTGTGAATCATTACATCTGAACTTGAATGATTCTGTAATAAGAAGTATGAAGAGCACTTGTTGTTTTTCCTCTTGTCTGCCTGTCTATTGTCTGTGACTAATCTGTCACATGGATTTTGGGTTTGATCTGTCTCTGTCTGTTGTTGGAACTGTTTGTTATAATTATTTGTAATACAGAGAATATGATTGTTTTATGTGTTGACTGAAAACTACAAATGAAGTGTAAGAACAAAATAAAACAATAAAGCTCAGATTGGCTCACAGATAAACTTTCAAAGGTCCCATATTATGGAAACTTCACCGTAGAATGGTTTTCTAACAACGGTTTTCCCCAGCCTGTCTACAAACCCACCCCAAAATGAGAAAAGTCTATCCCCTCCCTCTCTTGCTTGTTTCACCTTTCAGAAAATGTCTGCTCAAATGGGCGAATTGAAACTATGGCGTTCCATGACGTCATGGACGGCGATGACTCCTTCCCTCCAGGTTTGTGACCCTGCCCAAGAAGTTTGTTCTGCCCCCAGAACGTTTCCACTCAGACACTATTTTCCTCCCTCGCATACGCTGGTTCAAAATGGCAAAGGTACGAGCAAGGCACCGCAGTTGCTCTGTTGTCCCGATAGATAATTACACTTACAATATTGTGCGTTCACCAAAGAGCTCCAAGTAACGAGAAGACAGTGGAGATGTAACAGCAGGGGCTAATGTTACCTAGTTACATGTAAGTCACTGTGTATCAACACACGAACAAAGTAAAAATAAAAATATTGAGACACTTAATATTTATAACTAACCATTCAGAAACATCCAGAGTTGAAATTTCTTCAGGAGCCTCTCCTTCTGGGTCAGACTCTGGATCAAACTGATACAGCTGGACTACAGCGCTTCTATGAGCCATACCTAGAACTCTGTGTAAACATCAGCACCGTATCTCTTCCAGAGAGACAGGGAGGGCCATGGCTTGCGCTGAAAGAGGCGTGGACAGGTGCAGCAAACACAGAAACAAGGTGATCTCGGTAGAGAGAGTTTTCAGGCTGGTTGAAGTCCAGGAAAAATCTGGGTTTTTAGACAACAAACTTCAAATTGACTGTCCTGGGACCTCTGAGACCTATGAGGACCTCCTGAAAAGGAGTATAATATGGGACCTTTAAAGAATTTGAGCTAATCTAAAGATGAGGAAATATTTTGGGACAAAAAAAGATCGTTCTGGCTCACTGCGGTCAGCTTTAATCAATAGGTTAGGTCCAGGTTTCACACAAAAATCAGTGTGAATACTCATAAAAGGAAGTACCATCAGACAGTTACTGTGGATGTCCTGAAGGCCTCATTATTTCACCACACTGCTCATTACCTCCGTCTTTTGAAATGTGTGTTTTAACAGACAACCACGATTCCCAGAGGCCAATTCTTGAGGTTTGAAAATCTGACATTTCTGACAAACTCTGAGGAATCCCATCCCATCACTGTGATTCATTTAGTCAGATAATTAAAGGTTATTCAAGGTGAGCTTTCAACTAAGCTTAATTCTATTTAAATGGATTTAAACCATCAATATTGTCACAGATCATGTCTGTGCTTTTACTGCTGTAGACAAGTTAATGTCTGGATTTTAAGTTTGAACTAAGCAGTGAGGTAGAAATGGGCCACCTGTTACAGTAGGAACCTAAAATAATTTTACACAAAGTTTCAAAATAATGACCATAAATCATTTAAAGTTAGAATAAATTCAAGTCTGTGTCTTTACAAGCATTAAACCCTCTTCCACAGGTATCAGGGCACAGCTGCCGTCTGACCCAGTGAAGACAGCGAGAGAGAAAACTCAGTAGGTCAGCAAACCAGAAAATGTCCATGTTGTGCGAAGTGAACTGTCCCATTAACCCTCTCACTCTGTGCCGTCCGAGGCTGGCACCTTAACCTCCCCTCTCCCTCTGCCCCTCCCTCTCTCTCTCTTTCTCTCTGCGGTGTATGAGCCTGTGTGTTGTGAGCCGTGGAACAGTGGCACTGTAATCCCATTAGTGTTGGTTCATTGGGCTGGCCAGCGTGTGAACGGGGGGCTTGAGGGAGTAGACAACGCCCCAGGGCCTGCTGACAGAGGCCCCACTCTCGCACACATACACACCAGACCAGTAACTGACCAACACAGATGGGTTCAGAAAAGGAACGCGGTGGGTGGTTCAGCGACCCTGGTGTCTGGGCTGGCACAATGGTTCTGTCTGTTACACTAATCCAGTGTTATCGGTAATATCACAGTTTTATTTCCTCAGCAGCACAAGATAAAAAGTGACCCAAAGAGGTAGAAATAAGACCCGTACAGCTTGCTGAGCTTGACTGGTTTTCAAACACTGAACTTTTTGTTCTGACAACACCTCTTAAAAGTGTGTTAACAGAGACTGTAAAGAGTTCTAAAGGAACTGGGCTGAACAAAACTGAGGAAAAGTCTCTTGTAAAGTGCCGCCTGTTCAGTTACACCCAGTTCAGTTTCTTAAACAGCTGAGAGGCGCTAAACTGACATCAGGGCCATCTCTGCTTTATAAAAGGTAACATTAGTTCTGTCTTTATTCATAATACACCCCTGAAAAAAGTGCAGCATGCTAAGTTTTTTCTGCTTTTTATTCCTGTATGCATAAGGAGCGGATCGGTCTGCAGATCCACTGAACATGGTCTAGAGCAGGGGTTCCCATTACGCCGATCACGATCGAACGGTCGAGCGCAAAGGTAGTGTGAGTAGATTGCATGGCATTAAAAAGAACAAGTAGACTTGATTGGCTTACAGGGCAGCACGTCATCTGACCTTTTCTGACACATGTGGCACTGCGCGTCTGCATACAACGGCGCAAAGTGCTGCAAAACTCTAGCGAGTACGATAAAAATGAGTGGAGAAGCCAAAAACCTACCACTTCCTTACGGAGAGGGAGGAGGACTTTTTTTTCCTCTGTCATTTTCTAAGTACATTTGCCTCATCTGTCAGTCTACCATCACTATACTGAAGAAGGGAAACGTGGAGCGGTGCAGAGTTGTATTGTGCCATATGGGTTCATGTGGTTTTGCAAGGCACACCAACATATATTGTACATATCAAAAGAATTCTTAATATAGTTATAAATAAATATGTTTTGTATTTTTATAGCAGGTAGATCATTTTCACTTGGTCATTTCATAAGTAGCTCTCATGCTGAAAAAGTGTGCGCACCCCTGGTCTGGAGTAACGAGTCACTCGGGGACATGTCAGCTAAGCCGACACCTCCAGAAATGACAGCATGAACAAAAGTCCTCCAGTTTAAAGACAGTGTCACGGCTCATTTGAAAATCCTGCTGCTCGTTAGTTTCAATGACCAGTGGCGGTGAGGGTCAAAGGAAATTTTCTAAACCTTCAGACAGTTACAAGTTTGCACAGAAACTGCCGCATGAGACACAAACACAGGCTGACAAACACTGTGAAAAAAGGGTCAAAAACAGTGATTTCCGACTTGTGCATCATTGAAAAAGTTCTTTGTTTGGTTAAGATGCAATTGGCGTTACATATAAATCATGCATTCACTGCTGCGACCAGTTCTTTCTTATATTCTTCTTGGGGAATGCCACTGGGATAGAGGCCAGCATAGACAGTCTCCTGGTGGGATTTTGGATGATTGTCTGTCAGAACATACGGATTTGTAAAGACCAAACTTTGTGTGAAGACAAATCTTTCTGAAATGGCGCCAAGGAATTTCACTACGCTTGGTATAAAAAAAAGAAATCATCTTTGGAAAGACTGAGACCAGACGTAGTGATCTCCATGTGAGGCCGGAGACTCATCATGAGATCTCACAAGATTTACCCGACTGACTGAACCTGAACTCATTTTTCAAAAGGAAACTTCCCTCATCGGGCTGGAAACATTCAGTCTGAGACTTTCTGAGGGAGGGGTTAACTCGGGTTAAATCTCAGGAGCTCATAGTGACCTCTGACCCCTGGTGAGTTTTATGTTAACTGACAAGAAGCTAAAATTAGAAGAGGGCAGTGCGAGGATGGATACTCGGAGATTTCTGTCTCCACTGATGAGATGTAGTTACTGTATAACTCTTTGCCAAAGTAAACCAGTTTGATTCATCTGTTATCCAAGTTATTAAAAAAACATGAACTTTGTGTTTATATATACTTCTTTAACAAATTCAAAGCTGGTATTTGCACAGATTTGACTACAGAATAGAAGATTTATAAATTCCCCACATCTAAACTTGAAATATTTTGATACAGACTTCGAGGGTAGGTAGGAAAACCCCAACAAAATGTTTCAACAAGCTTTCTATCCATCACCACGCAGTAGACAAACATCCCGTAAGTCTAAAGGTTGACTTTCACATCATTTGTGGGAAGTATAAAAAAAACTGATCCAGAAATGGAAGAGTTGCACCTCTGTTTAGAAGAATTGACAGGAATTAGAAGAATGTTTACGTGTCTGTTTCCAGACTTCCTCATTACTGTTTTCCGGTCGAAGTGTAAAAATCGCTGCGATAGAAATTGAAAAAAGAAGTGATTCTAATTTCCTGGGAAACAACCTGATGACTGATCAGGATTTCCTCGGACGTGACAAGCTGCTGCAGTCTGCTTCGGTCGGACTCTAAATCCAGCTCTCCTACAGTGACTCATTCATTTATTTAACAGCATGAAGATTATTTAAAAAAAAAGAAATAACTATACTAATGACAGCCCTTCACTCTCTCACAGGCTGACTCAGGGGATGTCAACCCGTCCGGACATCTACTGGTTCTGAAACTGAGCGGCATCAAAGAAGCGACAACCGCAGTTATTTAAAGAGAGTGGCGAGACGTGAAGTCCCGCTCATGAAACGGACAAAAAAGTTCTCAGACTGACCGGTTGTCACATGAAGTACTTCTTTATCGGACTCTATTCTTAACCCATCATACAGAAGAATTTTGCTGCCCTGAACACAAGTTGAAAAAAAAACTTGTTGCAACATTTTCCTGTTAGTTTCTGCTGAACCCCTGAAGCAGAAACTAACAAGGGGGCCCTGTCCCAGAATATGTGCTACAAGGTTTCCACTTTTTGGTACTCAAGTTCCTCTAACAGAGTTTAAGAAAGGACCTAAACCAGTGTTGACACAGTGTTGTATGAAGCTACACAGATAAATCTATCTTGACTTGGCTGCAGGCGAACAAACTGGTAACAAACTGAGGCTGATGTGAGCGGCTTCATCTAAGGTGACATAAAAAGATCAAAGCTATTATGTAACACTAATCAACCTTCAGGCCAGTGTACGCGAAGTGACGAGAGAAATATGTCAGCCACTGGGTCTTCATGACTAACACCATGTGTTATGAAATTGTAGAGACTCACACACGTACACACACCTGGCTCAGAGCTGCTGCAGGGGCTGGAGGGGGGGTCTTTAAAGCAGGACACAGTTGGATTTCTTTTTCGCCTTCTTCTTTTCCACTGGCGTTTTCCTATTTATCTGTCTGACCAGGTCATAAAAGATCTGAGGAAGAGACAGCAAAGAGAAAAACAGAGATTTATCTTTGTCGGTGGTAGAGCCATTGATTCTCTCTTAGGCAGCTCCTGATACACTGAAGTGACGGTGAACAGTCACTACAAGATGCACCCTGCATGGATCGGTTCGATTCACAGTCACTTTGACAACGGTGAAGCACTGAGAGGTGAGTGTAATCCAGCTGAACTCATTACTACCTGCATGTCAGGTTTTTTTGCTTACCCAAAACAAAAACAGATGAGGTCACTGTGTCAGCATATCAATGTTGTGCCGTGTCAGCAATTTTTAAATAGTAACCTATAATACGGGCGGTTTGTTTTCGTCCATACTCACATCGAGGACGTTGATCTTTGACTTAGCAGAGGACTCTAAAAAGGCACAGTGGTTCCACTGTCTGGCCAGGTTCTGGCCCTGCTCCTTCCCCACGACACGCTCATCCTCCAAGTCGCACTTGTTTCCCACCAGGATCATTGGCACCTGAGGAAATAAAAGGAATAAACAAGCAGGAATAAAGTTAGAGATGTCATCGATTCATACAAAAAAAACATTTGAAGTTTTTATTTATTTGCTATATCATTTTCAGTGGTGTTTAAATAGGTACAAGTTAAGAGGAAACATTTAAAAACAAAAGGAAAAGAGGAAAGTGTTGGATATGAACCTGTGAAATGTTCTTTTATTGTTTTCTCATATTGTGTCTTTTTTAACCTTTTACATCATTCTCAAATTTTCTGTTTTTTAAATTGTGTTTTTTCATTTCACTCTCTTCTTTTTCTTTGTAAGGCATCTCTGAGTATCTGTAAAAGCGCGTTATAAATATATTTTTTTATTATTATTATTATCATTATTATTATTATTAGAAGACGCCAGAGTTTGGTGTAAACAGCTCATGAGAAATTAGGTACAAAATTAAATAAAAATTAAATAAATGTGATTTCAAGTCAAACAAGAGAACCCTGTTCAATGATATTGGTGTGAATCATAAAAAAATGTTCAAGAAAAACAAATCACTTGCAAAATTTAATCTACAGTTAGCTTTTGTTCATGTCTGCATTTGTTTTTCTGAAAACGCATTTAAGGTTGTGCTTAAAAAGAAAGAACGGAGATGCAAAGAGTGCTCAAATTAAGATGATATCAAAAGTTTTGATGTTTGGATTTAATGAGAAAAAGGTGTACACCAAAGAAAATGTGCGAAATAAACTGAAGGAAACGGGTTTTATTGAGTATCTAAAGCCTTGACATCTTGTTTTAGTGTATCAAGAATCTTATTGCCACTCATCGTTTCATTTGACAGAGTGACTGGTCATCGTCTTAATCTTGCAAACAGAGCAAATAAAAACCTGATTAAAGTATTTTATCGTTCAGTTTGTAGTTTCCCCATTCTAAATAAAACCTCAAATCTGAGCCTGTAGCTTCATTTTAACTGGACACACAGGTGACAATACAACCTGAGGAGTCCGTTACCAAGGGTGGACATTTAGACGTGAAGGTAGTGAGAGTGATCGCCGACTTGACTGGCGCGCATCCTCACAGAATGAGAGTGGACACATAATTAACAACAGCTAATAGTCTATTAGTTGTAATTTGAAGGCTGGATTAGGTCGTTGCAAATACAATCAATGAAATCAATCCACCCCCGTGGGAAAGAAGGAAAAGTCATTTAGGTTACACAACAGTGACAAAGGAGATTGACAAATCAATGAAACTAGCTTTGAGTGCAGTTTTACTTTTGTTTTTTGAAAGGAAATCCTTTTTTTAAACCAAACTTCAGAGAAAACCACTAAGAGAACAACCACTGACAAGAAGCGGAGATGAAGTTTGGAATCTCCCGGATAGTCAACACTTCTGCTTTTAATGCTCAGAGTCAGACGTTTTAACAGCCAAGGTCAAAAAAACAAAAGCCCTGTGAGGAAGAAAGAATATTCTGGGAAAAAAAAAAAAGAAAAACTTCAGCTCTAACTGTCACAGTGGGCAAAGACGGGGCAGCCAGGGTGCCGGGATGCGTCTCATCCTGCCTGCTGTTTCCTGACCAGCTATCTAGGGAGCACGCTGGACCCTGGAGGAAGTCATGGCAGCCCCGCCCAGCCGGGATAACATCGCTTTCCTTCCTGAATGTTTTCGAACATTTCAGCTGGATTTCCACGCTCCGACTACTCTCTGGAATTACATGATAGTGTGAGAATGTTTGTTTGTGGGTGTGTGTGTAGGGGGGGGTGCTTGCCTTGTCTCAGTATTCAGTGTTCCTACACATTTTAGCTTGACTTTACTATACCACCCACGTTATAAAGTATTGACAACAGAGAAGGCGCAGGTTTCGGAGGAATTCTGTGTTTTGGCTGATATTTGCGTTTTTGGTTCAGCTTTGCATGCAAGATACAAACTCAAGTAATGGGAAATTCTGCATGCAGCTCAACAGGTTCTAATAATACATCCAAAGGCAGAAATCTATTTGTGGTGGACCTGCAAGTACTAAATCAATGCATAGGAAATCCTGCTTTCCTTGCCTTCTTCTTGTCCAAAAAACTGCCCCGAGACATGTCTTGTGGATCTGGCAAAACAAGATATTTGTAAGCAGTATACTAGAAGAATCCTGACATGCACAAACTTGCTAGAAACTACCCTCTCCCACCTGCAAGACCTCCGCCAGAGGTTGCTTTTTGACAGCAGTATGGTTGTCAAAAATTGCCCCAGAAAGTGTAAAATGTTTGAAGGCCCAGAGTGAATATTCTCAGCTGCCTTTTTCCCTCTCCTCTCTCTGGACTGAGGGGCAGACGACAGGAAGCTGCGATGTTTAGATTAACCCCATGGAGGTTGCTGCTTGATGTTTGATATCCAAACAAGCCCTCGCTTTGGACTGCTGAACGACATTTCTCCCATGGGGTCCTGGGAGAACCAGTGGTATGCCCTCCTAACACAAACTCTGAGCCAAGCTGGGGATAAAAAGGATGGAAAAGGGAGAGACGGAGGGATGGGAGGATGGGGAGGTATGCGAGGGAAAGAAAAATGTCCAGTGTCAGCAGCACACAAGGCAGCATTAGCCTGCTTGAAGAATCCGCGCAGCCCACAGAGAATCTGTTCAGACGCTGTTAACATGCTACAGACAGGTCCTGTCCCGCCCACACTGGCATGCTGGAGACTGAATTGTTGGGAGCACAGAACGAGAGGGGGGGGGTGCAGGGTAAATGAATGGAGCCAGTCGTTACAAATGGAGCAGTGAGTCACAAACATGGAGTCAGACGTTAGCAGCATCCAAGTCACACAATTAGGGACGTCGATGGCCCAGAAAAGTCATAAGACCTCCCTTACGTAAGAAATGTGGAAGGAAATACGGGAAGTGAGTTTTTAATACACCATTGACTGCTCACTTACTTTATTCTTAACTCATAACCACAGTTTTAAGAGTTTGGGAATTTGGCCCTACAGTATCCAACACGTCGCCTTTAAAAGGTTTTTTTAAATGAGCCTGGAAAGTCAAAGTAGGTCTGTACATTTCGCCAGCTTTGCAGCAAATGGTGCGTGGAAGAGCTGAGAATGAGAACAGCTGTAGCTGCGACTACAATGTCTGCGATCGCTTAGAAAGCTTTCTGGGAATCAGAAATAAGTCCTTGTGCATGGAAAAGAGAAGACATTTTAAGCATTTCCTTTGGTTGTGCATTCCTGCATGGGGCTAAGAAAGATAAACAGATGTCACGGCTATCAGGGGCAAAGGCTTCAATCGCTAAAAGACTGATAGCTGACAGAGGAGAGGTAATAACCAGATAAACGTAAAGAGGGAACATTAGGGGGGACACATACTGAGACGAAAAGGGCAATAACTGTTTCTTGCACGCTGAAGGAGCCGCTGATCCTGCGATCCATCTGTTAGCCTGAGGCTAACCTCAGCTCCCTCACCACGGAGGCTCTAATGAAGTACCGCAGCCTCACAATCCTGTGCGCTTTTGATGAGCTGAGGCTTTCCTTGCACATCATCCCTGACAGTGCGATCACCCACACAGAGTGCCAGACCGCAGCAAGACCACAGAGCCGGCCGTAGAAAAGAGGAGGCAAGGGGGAGCAACAGGCGATGAAAAGAGCAGTCACAACAAACGCACAGGAGAATACTGGCAGAGATAAGAGGCAGGAGGGGGGCGAGAGATGAACTCAGAGAAAGATGGGGAGAGAGGACTTCTACGCCAGGCTGCAGAGGGGATATTTAGATGGTTGACAGGGAACAGAAAGAGAGAGAGCGAGACCGAAAGCAGGAGAGGGGGGGGGGGGGGGGGGGTTATGGTTACATTCATTCCCTCCAGAGATCACCAAAAAAGGGCATCTGTGATCCTGCTGACGCACTATCTGCCCCAACCAGAAAGAGGATGGAGGGCTTACTCACTCGACGGCCTCACAATCTGACCAGAGATACAGAAATATGGAAATGCACTTTTGACAAACAGCAAACTAATGAGATGGCACATCCGATTTTTATTTGCGCTGTCTCTGATCCAAGCTGAAGGGCAGTACATGAGGGGAAAACCACGCTGCATGAACAGAAAGCACAAACCGTAATCTGAATTTGACTCCGCAGACGATGAGATTCTTCTGTCTTTTACTGGGCTCTTAAGTTTGGGCTGTGGCTCTGTGTCCATGATAAACACGGATGAAGTAATCCAACCACAGGGACCTGTTTGACGCTAAGAACAGCTAATGCTAGGCTACAAAGAGTAAACAAGTCTCGCTAAGTGCTCTCTCATTGTTTTCACTATACAGACAGCATGACACCATCTGCGTTATGTCGAGGTAATACTAATTTGTGGTATAAGATCCTGTGAAAACAGTGTTGAATGGTATCCATAGCAACAGTGCAATCTGGTTCTGAACAATGTAGGCGGTTGAGAACTCGAGGCAGTTATAACCTCCCGGTGCTACTTCCTACTGTGCGTGTTTCTACAAACCATTCAACCCGATGAGAAGGACGACTTGTGTCCGAACCTTCAGTGTGATGTCTGTTTACTTACATCCTCCGTATCCTTTACTCGTAGAATCTGTTCTCTCAGGTCCTGCAGGTCGTTGAAGGTGGACTGTGCTGTGATGGAGTATACGAGGGCAAAGCCTTGGCCGTTCTTCATGTACAAGTCCCTCATTGCTGTGAACTGCTCCTACATGATGAGAGGGAGGAGAAAAAGGCTCTATCACAGGCTCTCTGGAGTTTGATGAACAGTTACAAATTCATTATCTGAAGAAATCAATACAAAATAAAAGTAATTTAACATCTGCATGACCTCCTCTATGATTGAATACACGTAGATGAGAATTTGCAGGATCTCTGTCCAAGATATTCACAGCACTCACACCATTGTGCAGTGTGGGAGGACTGTCAGCAGCCTTTGATTTTTCCACTAGAAAAATCGTGGCGGCCTGCTGCCTGCGCACCATCGACATGCATACATTACAAACACACACTATAGCATGCTTGATCCAGAAATTCAGAGAAGGCACTTCCTAAATCAAGAGGACTTAAAGTCTGCAGCCAGCTCTGATGGGAGGCTGTGCTGGGTTTGGGAGTTTAGGAGATTAGGTGTTATAGGTCACGGTGAAGCAGGACGTTAGGTAAGCAGAGGCAGAGGGAGTGTACAGTTCTTACCGTAAGAACTCTTTATCTCTGCATGATAATTTGGATTTTTATTATCATCATTAATTACCAATTTAACCATCAACATATGTGAGAACTATCGATTCCACACATATGTTGTTGGCTAAATAGGAGTTACGATAAGGGGTGTCCCGATACGATATTGATATTGAACATCAGCCCAAAATCAGCAAAAAAAAAACGAATATCAGATTATCGGATATCTGCATCTAAAATCTCTGAAATCAGCACTCTGGTACAAGCAGTCCATTCCAGACTCTGCACCTCTATCTAGCAGCGCCCTAATCAAGTAAGTCTGAGCCCACAAAATCACAAAACAAAAGTGTGTGCTAAGGTACAAACAAAGTAGCAAGGAGTAAGAGTAAGAGTGATGTTGGCCTTGTGGCAGTATTTTTTGTTTAAGTCTGAAAAAGACGTTGCAGCTGAGTGAAAAACTTGTCATGCACAATTTTGTGCCAATATCGGATCAAAATTGGTATCATACCTGATGTCAAAAAGTTGTATCGGGACACCCCTAGTTACAATAGTCACTATAAAGGCTGATATGGACACAGTTTGGGGGACAAGTGTATCACATGCTCAGATTTAGCAGCTAATGTGGTCAAATCCTCAACTGGCAAATTTGTCATGTCAACCTGGACCCCAAATTTTGCACCTATATGACTTTGCGAGGGAATTCGGATGGCTAGCAGCATCGAAAAACAACCTAATGAGGAATGTTAATTGTTGTTAATTTTTGTTGACCTGATTTAGTGCAGAGTACAGCCCATTAGCTTTGATGTTCCACAACATGTGCTGAGACTGGCTTCGAATTATCCAGTCTGAGCCTCACTTTGGATAAACATGATGATACTATTTCTTACAATGTTGTCTGTCTTCATGTTCTGTCAAACTTCAAGCCAGACGATATCAACAGAGTAATAAATTTAACAGGTTTTAGTTTGAACTGATGATGATGACACAGTATCAAGTTTTAAAGGGGTCACTTGGATCATAAATGAATCCTATTTGCACTACATATTGTAGCATTCAGTCTGATAGTTGTCTAGACATTTCATTCAGCAGCACAAATGCCAACCTCATGGTAGAAATATTTGTGGAGACTTTTCAGTCTGGACCAAAAGTGTGGAACTGACCCGTCTGACCAACCAGCATTACGATCCAAATGTCAGCGTTCAATACAGCGACTCAGGGGTCTTTACAAACAGCAAAACAGGGTGTCTGGGATTTCAGCGGCGTGGAGTTCACTTACTGTGCCTGCTGTGTCGAGAATTTCAAGCATACATTGCTGCCCGTCTACCTCCACTTGCTGGAAGAGAAAGAAAAGGGCAGCGGTTTTAGAAAATGTAGAGTTTAATTTCAGGTCAACGGGCACATAATGTTTCTAATAATGCGGGAAAATAGAAAGAGAGAGGAGAGTAATAAATAACCCAGAGGGAGAGTGGAGACAGAAGACAAAAATATATACGCTGAGAGAAAATGGGAGAAAAAGAAAGAAAAACAAGAGAAAAAGAGGGAGAGGACAGAAAAAAACAAGAGCACGATATCATGATGTGAACCTGCAGAGCAGCTGCTAACAATCAGCTTACTCCTCTCCCCCCTCCCATCTCTCCCTCTCCCCCCTCGAGGGACACTCACCTTTCTGTACGAGTCTTCTATTGTAGGGTCATATTTTTCCACAAAGATTCCCTGCACGAACTGAACTGTCTGTAAGAGAAGACACAGAGCGAGAGCGCGTCAGCTCAATGTGACCTCCGCGCCGCCAGAACAGAAAAACATCCTGAGTGGCAAACATGGCTGCAGTGCCATGTTTCCTTGATGTCTTCACACAACAACACAGTAGGATATGAAAGATATATTTGATGTTACCGGTCAGGATGCAGAATGTACTCTGGTTAGTTTTCTAGTCGGATAAATAAAAAGTCTAGAGACGGTTCCACTTAAAAGGACTGAATGCTAGGTTTACATTAAGGTTAGACGAGTTCAACTGATTACAACTCAAAGGTGTAAACATGTCAGTGTGCCAGTGCGAGGGATTAACCTGACTTCGACACCTGGCAGGAGTTAGCTTAGCTTAGCAGGCACGAAACAACCAACAGAAACATTCACTGAAAACATTGTACTCAGTTTTTTTCCTGTCTGTTCTTCATCAAACAACAAAAAAGAGAAAATATGGGATTTTTTAAAGTAGGTGATTCCCACATCGAGAAACAACGGCATGCAAACAGATGCTGCTGCTAATTTTGAAAACTGAACATCGTAAAACTGAACTGATGAAGATTTTACAGAGGAAATAACAGTTTCATCTTCAACTACCTCTGACTAAAGTACCCCTACTTTTCCCTTTGAGACACAGTTTGCTCCAAAATCGTAAAAGCAAACTGCTGCTTGAAGTTGAAATGTCCAACAACGTCCGAAGGAAACACACATCAGAGGTGTTAAGAGCTGGGGGTATAAGGGGGGGGACAGGAAGGAGCTCAGGAGAGAATACTTACCAGAGCGGACTTGCCCACACCTCCAGAGCCTAACACCACTAGCTTGTATTCACGCATGGCGGGTTTGCTTCACCGGACAGCCCAATAATCTGCACTGGACAAATAGGGGGAAAAGGGGAGCAGAGCAGGACAGACAAATGAGAAACGTTGAAAAACCAAGTCAAGAAAAGCAAACAAGATCGAACTTTTTTCCCCCTCAAGTTAAACAAAAAGGTATTTTCCCAATCGCTCTCAGAGATTTTCCACTCCAGAGAGGAAGGATTCTAGTCATTCCTGGAGGTTATGGACAAGAAGAAGCACAACAATGGAGGGAACACCCATAAGTGGAGCTGCTTCAGGGTGGAGGAGGTGAAGAGTATGTGACCCCTCTCTAACACAAACCAGCTGTGGTGTGTGTGTGTGTAAGTGTAAGGGGGGGACTGAAGGGGAGAGGATACGTGAAGCTGGCAGATATTCCTCCTAATGACACAATCATCTGACCTCCGCACACCAAAACACACCCTGCTGCTGTCAGATGTTTGAGACACTCACTCATTACTGCTGTTGTAAAACAGAGAGCCGGAGTTCGTCTTTTTTGACTAATAACAGAAAACAGCTGAGGGAAGTGGAAACTGCAATGGGGGGCAGGACGTTGTGAAATCACTGGAATATCCCTTTAAGGAACATGGAGGCTTTGAAACGCTGGCACTAACTGTGGCGTAAAGTTGGCTGGGTTAGCCAAGTGGGTCACACTACAAGTCGGGCAACGGAGCTGATGAGACAGCTACACTGAGGTTTAGCTGTAGCTGAGAGAAAGGAGAGATTTTTGGTTCTGAATCGAGCTGAGTTTTAAAATGAAGGAGCCAATAAACCCTTCAGTTTAGAGGTGCAAAGATTTATCAATAAATGCAGCAGATAGGACAAATTTACTTGGACGACAATTATGATATTGGTTTGTTTTAAAACGCTTAAGTTTCTAGATTCCAGCTACTTTAAAATGATCTGTTTCTGCTTTAAAACTCCAAACTTTTATCCCTATTGTTCACTGTCCACACTCCTCTAGTTTATTACCCAGCTTACTTACTAATCCCTCAGCTGTGTGAAAGTCTTGATTCTGATTTGTCAAAGCCCCTTAACGACGATTATTCCTTCTGAACAACCAAAGCGATGCCAGGGACAACCAGATCACCCACGTCACTCCAACTGAAGGACTCCAGAGGCAGGGCTTGACGCCAACTTTTTTCACAAGGAGCATATGTGCTCAGAAATTAAAAAAGTGAGGAGCACACAAAGAAATTTGAAAATTGATCAAATAATTTGTGTCTTATTGGTCGACATAAGTACTATGGAATCAATTTTAGGTCGGTTGGTCACATGACATGGAAGATGTGAATGACAGGTTCAAATTTTGTCTTTAAATTCAACACAACTTTTTAGAGAACAAATTAGGGAAATAAAGAGGTGTGTCTCATTGTCCGACCTTAGGACTATTGTTTGAAATCAATTTTAAGTCAACTGGTGACATGGAAGCTGTTGAAGGGAAACAGCCTTTTTTGAGGGCATCAACTGGTAATTTATTGATGGTCCCTTATTCAACACCTAACGTTGACAGCGAGGACTAGGTTTAACCACGTTGCTGTTCCTATTCCCGGTAGTGGAGAGTGAGAAGTCACCGGTAGATCTGCAGTGAATGTCTGTCAAAAATCCAACCTAAAACTAACTTCACCGCGGTATTTAGTTACATGAAACCACATTTGTTGCCTCGCCTGATTTTTTTTTTGGCGCACGTGCCCCTAAATACATTTTAAAATTCGCACACATCTACTTTCTTCTCCAATCAAAATATCTGCAGATGTTGTAGATTAACACATCCCGAAAGCGAGTAAAAAATACAAAAATATCAGAGTGTCGGGCAGATTACAAAGATGTTCTCATTGCAAGAAAAACACCAACATGGACTAAAGCAGGCTTCCAACAGAGAAATTGGGGAGGTCTGTGACCAAAACTGTTTTGATTAAACAGAATAATCATTGATTTGTGGAGGGAAGTCCCCCCACTTTCACAGGAACAGATGGCAGTGAAGCTCAGAGCTAACAGCTTCATTTGTTGCACTCAGCCCCAGAACTTTTAGGATATTGTTTTCGATATTACCTCGTCCTCTTCAAGATAAGGCAAAACCGTCATTTGTACTTGCACTGGCGAATAAATACAGGGGATTTCTATTATTACTCTCCAGCATAAGAGAACAAAACTTGTAGTTCACGACTGATCTGTCACCAGCCAGGAAGCGAGAAATGGTGTAATTGCACAGTAACGAGCGAGGAATGTGACAACACACAATGAGTCGAGTCAAAGGGACCTCAATGATCTGGAAACCAGGATTCAACTTTGAAGTCATGGCGTACAGAGAGCACCGTTTGGCTGCAAGTCTGAGTGAAAAAGTGGCTTATGTTAAAATAAAGTCTTAAGAGAGGACGCTATAGCTTTGCTTGGTAATCAATCCTTTTAGCAGACCATCAAAAGTCAATTGGCTGCCATTTAAGAAGCCAAACGCTCCCTTCCTACACTGTTCTTTTTACAGCATGTAAGCTGTCAGAATACTCTGGGGGGGTGGGCTGGACTGAGGACCTCCAACTTCAAAAACAAGCAGTGACCATGTGGGACATGAAGCTCAGAGTGTGAATAATTCATACTCACTAATCCTCTACACACAAGTTCCCCGAGCAAGATTAAGGAGGAGTCCGATGGGAGGGGAGAGAAAAGAACAGAGCAGCACAGGGGTTTGCAAACAGTCCCTGCAGCAGCTCTCACGTAAACACTTGAGCGAACAGTCAAGTGCATGCACAGTGTCACATGTAGGATGTCATACAGACAATGTCATACTTTGATTTAGGCGAGGCCTCACTTGTCAGCTATCCACACATCTTGTATGAACTCGGTGGGCTGACCCCTGCTAAGACAGTTCATGTCGGAAATACTCGGCAACATCAGCTGTTCGATTTTTATCATGTGATAGCTCCAGGGGCTGTCATGGAGGATGTCTGCTCATCCTCAAACTGTACAGTCAAATTTCTTCAGGTTCCTCCCTTAAATATCTTAAAGGTCGCATCGAACTTTTTACGTAAGAGGCTCAGTTTCCAATTTATGTTTAAGCCTTCCTAGCGAGGTCGTTTTTTATTTTACAGAAAATAACCACCAATTTCCACCGCATCCAGAACGGCTGTGAAAAGGTCATATCCACCGATTGTAGCTAATCGTAACCTTTCAAGTTAATGTGTCAATTTCCACCGGCTTCTTTACGTTCCGCTGCGGATCCCCGGACTCCACAGCTGATCGCAAGAGTTCTATTTTTCCAGACTGTAATCCGCCACGAAATTCGCCTCACAAATGGATCTGGTAGGAATTGGCAGAAATCGCCACCGTTCTAGATCGGAGTCATTCTGAATGCGGTGGAAATTCTGGGGTAGTTTGGTACTGTAAGCTTATGTTTGTTTAAGATGCCTAAGAAAAAAGTGAGTCGTCCTCTTGTGGGTGGGTAGTGACAAATGTACCGGGTGATATGCAAGTCAACTGTACGGCCTTCTTTTATGGTTTGGTAAACACAGCCTTTGTTTATCCCTTGGACTGGGCTTTGCTTTGACACTACTAATGTTTCCATAAGTCTAGCAATCAGCTACCAGGAGGCATGAAACAGAAATATGGGCGACAGCCGCCCGGGTAGCAGAAACATTTATCGCATGAACTGATGGGCTTCCCTCTCCAGATTCACACTAATGCCAGGGAAATACTCACTTGGCAAATGAACATGAACAAATAAACACACAGCACCAATTTCCATAAATCAACAGTGTTAGGACTCGACAACAATGACTGAGTTTCTTCAGTCAGCAGTGTTTCTGTTATCTCCTTCATAATTGGGTCACCTCCTGTGTGTGTGAAACAGTAGAAAGAAAATTGGCAGACCATTTGTTGTCAAACTTGCGATGAAGTTCAACTCTGCTCAACAAATACAGACTAAGATGCATGTTGTCAATGACGTGGCAGTAAGACAGTCAACATAATACATTGAATACATTTAGCCCTTTTGGGTTATTCCAGTCTGCAGCACTGCTCTTATGAGGACTTGATGGCATCACGACTTTGTGCTTTCATACTGCAAGAGCGTGATATCACACTGCTATGGTGTGTGATTTCATATTGCAATGCAATATCACAAAAGCACAGAAAATACGAAACAGGAGTGTCACACACACACACACACACACACACACACACACACACACACACACACACACACACACACACACACACACACAAGGCGCTTATATACCTCCATTTCAAGGTGGAATATATTTACACACCCCGGTACACCTCGCCAGAAAAGTGTAATGCAGAGAGGCGTAATAGAGGGGCAGAGTGATTCAGCCTCTGATTCTCTCTTAAAGGTGGAATCAGGGGGAAGAAGGTGGTGGTGTGTGGCGTTGGAGCAGACAGGTCGGAGCAGAACTTTGTGTATGTGCGTGCCTCGCCTGTACCTCTCTTCAATTTGGAGAGTCATGTAAGTACAGTGGCGTAGTGATCATGATTCAACTCACTTCCACAATGTTACTGAGCTGCAGTGTGACAGGCACACACATACAGCAACTTCATCCCCTCACACCTGCAACACCTGTATTATAACCTGCATGGGACGACTTGGTCTCTCCATCATACTCCTGTGACACTTGTGTTGAGGGTACTAAAGGTCAAAGAGGCGGAAATATCACACCTTGAACCCACAATATAAAAAAAACAAACTTCAGAAGTTAGTGGGTTAGAGTCAATATATTGTGAAATCTTGCAGGCGCTGGAAGGAAGTTGTTGTTCTCTTTGTGACCTTCTTTCACCTGCTTTCGACTTCTGTGTTCTATTTGTCAGCTCTGACTATATATTCTTAACACTGTCTATTTTAATTCATGTCATTTTGCTGCAAAGTCAAATGGCTAAAGTTCAGTCGTCTCGAGAGACAATATCAAAAAAAGTTCATTTTGCCATAAGAAAGTGTGTACATAGTTCTTACAAGTGTGCCATGTCAACCAACGTTGGGAGTTAAACTTGGCACTGATCATTAAAACACATAAAATCTGCAGGGATTGGGAGATGAGAGCTTTAGTGTTGGGGTTAGAAATGTTGCCCAGCTACTTCTTGTAAATTCATTGTTCGCAGAAGAGGTGGCTGAGCTTGATGCCTCCCAGAACACAAACAGAGTCCTCTTCAACTCAAGTGACCTTACTTACAAAAGCTCAAACTAATTCTGCTCAATATTCACATCCGTGAACGACATCTGTCAGCTTTGAACCCTTTCTTGTTGAGCTCTCAGGGACAATAGTGTAACCTTTTTATCAAACAGTGAGCAAAATCGGGGACTAATGCGCTGACATTTTATCTACAAAACATTGAAAAATTACACACAATGCTGCTCCTGGCTGTCTACACACACACACACAAATACACACACACACGCAAGGCCATTTAAGGATATATCTGTTTAAAACCAAACCTCTCAGTCTGTTTCCACTTCCCTCAACAACACACTGTCATTCCCAAGAAAACAAACACTCCACTGCTGTTCCTCTGCTCTCGTAGTAACCCCAGCAAATAAGGAGTGAGAGAAAGCCACATGCCGCAGAAAACACGCGCCACCATGACATCACTGCATCACTCACCCTCTACAGCCAAAGGTATGTATCCATCTAGGGCTGGAAGTTGGACAAGGTGGTTGCCGCTTGCAGGGATTTGCTTTTAAGTGCCTGGATAGTATGTCCCGCACTGGAGACACCGAAATGAAAGAGCAGCTAAACTACAACACGCAGGATCCACTACTTCCTGGAGTAGTCGGGCTAATCTGACAGCGAGGAAGCTGTCAGAACGCCTGACTCAGCAGGACGGTTTGACTGACAGCTGTCCCCTGTATCTCCCAAATGGTGCGGATGTTGAAAATTTGCACACATCCGCTGGTGAAGCTGGTAGCACGTTACAGAGTCACTATCCATCATCTTCTCGTGTGCATTCTTGCTGACCTACATGACATTTACTAGAGCTGCAGTGCCAAGAAGAAACATCCATTTGAGGTTTATGGGTAGAAAAAAACAGCAGCGTGAGATAATAGTTGTTCTGGTGGAGTGTTTTCGAAACGTTGATAAGCTCTGAGTTACTCATTACCTCCTCCACTACAACCACAAGCTCACATCACTTCTTCGCACTGATCAAAGCAAGAAAACCACGAACTTTCAGGGGGAAAAAACCCAGAAACTACTGAAAGCAGAAAACCTGACAAGGACACAGCTTCAGGCTAAAAGACAAGAAGTAGTGACACTTTTTTTAACAGTACATGTTTCTTACTGGTGTCTTAAAATTGTCTGGGAAAAATACTGTTTGGAGCCAAACATTGAAGGGAAACTTCACAGACTATTTAGTTAGTTGTGTTGCCTCTAGGAATAGCAAACAGTCTGGTCTAAACACACACAGAAATGTTTCAATTTCTCTGTTAATTGTTGAGTTTAATACCACCACCAAAGAGGGCCATGTTTTGGGTCTTTTTCATTTATTGATACTGTATACAGGTTATATTTTTGTTAAAATATTGGAAAATAAAGCATGGGAAGACAGTACATCTAGGATATAATTTAACTTAATACTGTAGATATCTACAGTATATATATTTTTTTTATAACTTCATAAAAATAAAAAAAAATCAGCTGATTAATTGGTAATTGGATTTTTTTCCCCCCTAACAATCGGTATCGGCATCTGCCCCCAAAAATCCATATCGATCGGGCCCTATTCTTTTCATTTATTGATACTGTATACAGGTTATATTTTGTTTAAAATTTGGAAAATAAAGCATGAGAACACAGTAAATCTAGGACATAATTTAATCCAAGGAAAGCAAAAAGATTGACAAAGTTTTGTCTCCAATTTTGACAATGAAACAAGATCAGGGTCACAAGCAGAGAGGCCATTTAATTTCTGTCCATACAAAGATGATAACTGGGCATTTTTAGTGTGTTGCACATGAAGATTTCCATATCAACCAAGACTGCCATCTACATTTTCATAACTCTTCTCCTTTTACTACTATACATGTTTTATCTTCACCCCAACCCTGTTCCTCTTCATTTATGTATAAATGAATGATCGCCCACGGCCATATTTTACATTTATGCATGTTCAGCTGACACACTGTGTCCTAACCAAGACAAGCAAGCAGTTGAGTTCATTAGAAGTAATTGGACGTACACCAATTCAACCCTGTCTCTACATCAACTTGTAATTAGTGCTGACATATAAAGTACTTAAAAGGGAAACTTCACAGGAAATCAAGCTTTACAAGCCTGTGAAATACAGTGTTAACCACCAGTGCTTTTTAACAATAGAAGCTTCTACTATGTTGTTTTAAAGAGCTGATTTTCACGTGATAGTTTGCGAGCAATAAGAATAAGGGAAAGACATTAAAAGTCTGAGGGTTTTTTCTGTCTTTCTCAAGACAAACTGATTTTACTGAATAATCTCCTCTTTTGAATCTAAAGCGGGAAAAATGACTTACAAAGATCAAGAGCTCTCCTTATCAAGATGCATAGTTTTACATCCCTTGACTACGACCCTGAATGCCCCTGTGAGTCAGAACAAAAGTTCAGCCCGTCTCACTCAGCTTTGCTGTGACTTAATTATGACAAAGATCTGTAACTGACAAACACCATCAGCTCAATGCATCTGTGCTGGGGCCTTGACCTGCTGTAACCACATCCTCTTTCCAAAGCAAAGACGGCCTCATGCTGATAGGATGGAAAAGGAGTAGCTACCTTACTAAAATAGTTTCCTCCAGTCTCTGTTCCTGTTCAAGACTTCGGACTGACGGGTTGCTTTAAAGAGGGTGAAAGGAGGTCGAGATGTGGGTTTTTTGAGAAATGTGGGATATGAGAAGATCTAGGGCACATAGTAAGCTTTATACACAAACTAGTTATAACATTATAGACACCTGGGTATAAGATTTACCACAATCTCTACTCATTTCCATTTTTTTTGTACATAATCAGACAGGTGTACTTTATTATTAGATGTAGCGTCTCCTCTTGGTGCACTGGAATGAGTTATAATAAAACAGAAATGTCTGTTTTACGTATAGTATGAGGATGGAGCACACACCTTTCCTGTTTCACAACTATCTCCCCTGCAGCAGAAATAGCTTTACAACCCAGCTGGCAGAAAAAGACTAGGACCCAGGCGAGAGAAAGTCATTCCAGCTCCCTTGTTATCTCATTGTGGATCTACCTAATTTGCTTAGGGCAGTAGCATATGCTTATCACTCCAGGTCATACTAAGTCCCTGCAATCTGTGGCTGTGACTGCACCGCAGAGCCTGAACCGCCGCTCCGTCCGTGTATGATTAGGAAAAACGTTAGCTCCCGCAACATTAATCAAATTCCGTTCAAATCATAAACCCGCTTACAGATAAATCCCTTCAGATGCCATAATCTTTAATCCAGCCAACTGAAACCCGCGTCTGTCCGTAAACAATCTAGCTTCACACGAGCAACAACGCTAAGTCCCGTTATCAAGCTTGTTAGCAAAATGCCGCTAACTAGCTAGCTTTAACTGCCTGCGTCACGGTACGGACCGACTGCACGAGACAAATTCGCCTCGAACCGCGTCCGCCCAGCTTCGTTAGTCACTTCTTCTCTTAAATTACTGAATATTTTATAGCCGCACACCTTCACAAAAGGTCTTCTTCTCCTAACAATACACCCTCGTTGTTTAACGTTCATAGATACAGGCCGTAAAGGAATAAAGCTGTTAAAAAGTGGCGCCGCTAAGCTTGTACGCGTCGCTTCGAATGTCAGCGCGAAACGGTCGCTTGCCATACGCAATGAATGGGTGTCGAACTTCCAGCCGCGTCGGTTCGCTTATAGAGGGGAACACAACATCAGGGCCGCCGACGCTTCACAACTGCTAGCTGCGGCTCGTTAGCACGCCAGCTAGCTAGCCGACACATTCCTTTCCTCGGCGTACAATCAAAACACAGCTATGCGGTTAGAAACGCAATGCAATCAAACGCCTTACACGGCTAAAGCGTGAACCAGATGCGGTAGGATGTATATTCAAATGCATTCACGGTGAATTTAGCCGGAGAAAGACAGCAGATTGCTAACGTTACCTGCCCTTCCGCCTGGCCTTGACTAAAATGGGAGTGCTCACACACTCCGTTTTGTACTTGCGGACAATTCTTCTCATTTGTCTACCCTCTATAAAACACTCTATGCACTCTGCCGCGTCTGCTTCATATCCCGCATGTGTCGACGCAAAGCGCTCTCATGTAAACGACTTACTTGACCGCGTTTGGCGTGAAGTAAAGTTTGGCGTTTCCACTCACCGTTTCTCGCTCGCTGTCTCTCTCGCCGCTCCGCAAGTGTCAGTTTGCCTCCGGCCCGTGCGCGCAGCTGACGTCACGCCGACTATTTCTCATTTTTCTTAAAAGGGCATGACACACACACACACCGGCATTTCCATGATAACGGATTAACAAGAATAAAGCATCACACGCCCCTTTACTAGTCATTGTCAGTAACATTGGGCTTTACAGTTACTCATTGCTTTAAGGGATATTCCGGCGTAAAATTAAGTCATGGTCAAACACACCTTAACACCAAGTTAGACACCCCCTCAAGAGATGAATTTTGCCAACCGCTTGCTCCTCTAGTAACGCCAACTTCAGCAATACACAGGGGTATATGTCTCGACACGCAAACCTCAACCAAAACGCCACTCTATAGCCACAAATAATGCTCAGAACAGCACCTAACTTCATCAACAGTACATATAGGGTCCTTGCCACAGCACTAGCCATCAAACATCTTTATAACTTTGCCTAATTTCTTTAGCAAACAGACTTAACACAACTCAACTACTCTCTTCCAGCAGTCGCTTGTTTGTAGCAAGACTTCAGGCCAGTCCATTACGGACTACAGCGGGGTGACGCAGCTCAAGGAAGAACATTTATGATCCCAAGGCAGAGGAATGAAGGTGCTGTTCTGAGCATTATTTGTTCTGGCGTTTTGGTTGAGATTTGTTTATGGCTCCTCAGACCGCTGTGTATTGCTATCGTGCGGTCGTTACTAAAGTTGGTATCAATAAAGAAGCAAGTGGTCAACAATATGCATCTCTCGAGGGGGTGTCTAACTCGGTGTTACAGTATGTTTGACCCTAACTTAATTTTACGTCGGAATATCCCTTTAAAGGGATTATTTTTACATTTTATAGGATGAGCCACATTCATATTAGGGAGTGACAACATGTGAGAAATTCTCAGAGGAAACTGTGTATCTGTATGAGAAGCAGTATTGCTAATAATCATGTCATCGCTAAAGATAGTGATGGTTGCAAAATACATGTCTGGACCTCACAGAAGTCAGCAGTTCACGTGTATGCCTACTACCTCAATTCCAAAAAAGTTGGCAGGCTGTGAAAGAAATAGTATTCAAAACAAAATGTAGATGTTTGTTAACAGTTTGAACTCTGTATTTTGTTTAAAAAATAAATAAATAATGATTAGGTAGCTTATCAGATGCTGAAACTGAAAATTTTGGTGTTTTATGAAAAATATTTGTCTCAAATTCAGTACGACTCAAGGCAAAGATCACAGCCGTTCAGTGTAAGTTTTCAGTCCTGTCCTTTTTGGAAAGCGGTTTCTCCAGATTCAATGACTCTGTTAAAATATTATGTAAAAAAGAAAATGAAATCCCCACATTCTTTGAAACTCTACACTGGCAAACACTTTAGTGAAACTGTTGATCTGTTCGCTCACGCAGTCTCTAACAAAGAGTTGAACCTCTTCCCGTCCTTACTCCACAGTCTCCTCACTCAGTCTCTCTAGAGTGCTCTGTTTCTACCCAGTCATGTTACTACTGCTGCAAATCAACATTATTGATCAGTGGATGATCTCCTATAGGTTGTTGTCCCTGTCCCAACCTTTTAAATACATGGTTCTGTCATCAAATGTGAAATGAGCAGAATAGCTTTTGTCATGTTCTGCATTTGGTGTTGACTTTGCATTGTTTTTAAATTAATATAGATATAGATATATTGAAAACATTTAAAATCTGATTATTATAGGTTTGGGTTTTAATTTTATGTTTGTGAATATTAAAAAATCAAGTCTCTCAACCTTGTTTAAGTGTCAAGTCTCTTTAGAGAAAGCCTAATTCTTCAAAACTTAAAGCTTAATTTACCACTTCATACTTTATTGACAAAAATTATGTAAAAAGTTGTTTGTTCTTACACCAGCCCTACTACATATCTTAACTTAGCTGGCCTTTTGATATCTGTTTATATTTTCTTTTGTATGTATTTAATGCACTGATGCATAACAGATTGGTGTGTCGTCATAGTTGTTAGTTGCAGTTGTTGCCCTTATAAGTTAAAAGCCATACTATGTGGGAAGGGAGTCATGTAACATACTGTTAAAATAGACTGTAAATTTAATGTTCATTATTCTTCTGGAGAAGAGTCAGAGTTTTTTCTTATTTTAATGACAAACAATCTCTGCTTTGAAATGGACCACCCCATCCCCACATATCAAACTCATTATGCCGGAGGTTCCACCAAGGTCTCTTTGCTATTATTTTTGTCCTCCAGCGTCCTTCACCTGTAACTATGCACAGCAGGCTTCAAGCAGATAACAGGTGTGTGACACAAACGTACAAGAATGTGAGTGAAGTGTTCCAATATGTGGCTCCAGTAAACATACCCCAACTGTGTCAGTTTGACATAGCGTGGCTGAACATGAAAGAGCCGTGCCGGTCTGGATGAGTTGGTGAGGACTACCCTCTAGTGGGGGATGAGCAATCCTACCCAGTTGGCATGCATTATGGGTACAGAAGGGGACTACAATGAACTTAATATGTTCGACATAATCTAAAATCTACACCACTTGGACTTAAAATACTTCTTCAGACAAGCTTTACAATTTAAGTATTTTTATTCTTATTATAGTACAATCTGTCAAACAGATTCAATACAGCATGTATCAATCCCTTGCTTGAGTTTCTCCATTTATTTATCCTGCCTATGCCATCCTTTGTCATTAACAGTCCATTCCACTCCTTTGTGTTGAATGTAAAAGCACTGTCACATAAAATAGAACACACTATTTATAACCTAAAATAAATAAATCACTTTAAAACAGACTAATATCCTAAGAATAGCGTTGTTTCAGATGGGTGTTTGCTTTTGTAACCTTTGAAAAATCAAGATAAGAAACAGGCCAGCAAACTGTCAACGGCCAGCCCAAACAGGTGACTTATACAAGGTGAATAAAGACTAGGTGGATACAAGACGATAGTCTTTACTGCATGTACACATATGTTATACTTATTTATAATTCACGATGGTCCATATGCGACATGATTTTGCTCAATTCAACACTACCCAGACACTGTGGGTCTTCAACTCCCTCTTATTTGGGCTACGTGGAGTAGCAGAGAAATATATATAAACACACCTCATCCCCACAAGCTCTCCAACATTCAACAAATCTCACCACATGTCTGAATAGAGCCAGTGTTAAGTGGAACAGATGCACATGACAAGGCTGAGAATGGCAAAAAAGGCAGATCTGTACACGGCTCCGGAAAGAAGGAGAATGAAGATGTGATTTGTCCTTTACTTCTCTGACTCAGTCCATGAAGTTTGGTGCAGACGCTATTGTTTGATGTGTGCCGTTAAACATCTTCATTTCTTCTTCAGAACTTCAGCAAGGAATACAAAAAAAAAGGCCTAGTGAACGAGAAGAGTGGAGTCCTCTCTCACTGATATTGTCTGTAGTCTCCAAATGAAGGGGAAGGCATGGGAGAAGGAGCTGGTTCTTCTGCAAACTGGGGCCCTGCAGCAGAAAGAAAAAGATCAAATTCAGTGAGATGACAACGGCTGGTGAGGAGGTGGAATTATAAAATACAAAAATAACTGAGTTAGGTCTCTGGCTGCAGTATCCTGCTACTCTCCATCTTTTATTTCACACGATAACTTTATTTATTTAGCAAACTTTAACAGACTAATAGAGTGCATCAATTAAAAGGAACTGGGTAGAGAAAGCAATGGTATACATTTCATGTGGATAGCAAGATTGAAAAAAATGGAAAGCTGGAAGAAAACAAATTGTAAAATAGAATTAGAAGGGGAATGTTAACAGTTAGATGGATTTAACATAAGGAAGGTATCACGACGACAGTTTTTAAAGGGGAGATGAAGATGCACATTTAACTCTTGTGTACTGCCTAAAATTTACACCATTTCGTCGTATTCGTGGACGTTTTTAGCCGCTAACTTTAGCTGCTGTAAAAACATATTGGATAAATATTTTTTCTTTTTCTTTTTTGCTCAAATCTCTTCAGTATTTTATTTTGTTCAATATTTTTATCTGAACTGAGCTTGATGAAGAGATTTGAGAAAAAATATATATATATATATTTATCTGATACGTTTTTACTACAGCTAAAGTTAGTTGCTGTTAACAGCCAATAGAAGGCAAAGGGAGTAGAAAATTACTGCTGTGCGAAAAATAATAATGCATCAAAGTCAATGTTATTACAAATGTTTGATATATACATGGGTGTAAAAGCATGTAAAAATCTCCTTCCTCATCAGTTTTCTATCACAAAAATCTGTCATTTTGTGTGAATTTTTTTTTGCTCAAATCAGTGACACCACCTCTGATATTGGCATTTAAAGGGTTAAAATCCGTAATTAAAAAAAAAAAAAGTTTTGTCAAGGACTGAGCCTAATGAAGAGATTTAAACAATAACATTTGAAAAAAAAAATTATCAGATATGTTTTTACAGCAGTTTAAGTCAGTGGCTAAAAACATCCACAAACAGGACCAAAAGGTAGTAAATCTGTACACAGTGCATTTTTGACCTTGTAAAAATTTAGGATTTTTTTTTTCTTCATAAAATTAAATTTCCTCACCAAAAATGATATCACTCTCTTAAAAAAAAAGTTAAAAGTTTAGGTCAAAAATGTTTTTTTTCCTCTACTGGACAAAAAAGCCACAACAGGACACAAAGGTTAAGAGTTGATTAATTGTTGCCAAACTGTTGTCATTTAATAGCACCGGTTTTACTCACCAGTTGGAAACTGTGAAGAGGCGAACCTAGTGAGCAAGATACCGGCGCCCTCTATCAACGCCAGCAGGATACCTCCCATGGCTGCAGAGCCTACCATGGCTACTGGTCCATCTGCAAAGGGACAAGGAATTACACATGGAGTATTAGTCTGCTGATGATGACTGGAAAGGGCAACTGCTCTGTTCATCACTTAGCCTGCCACAAAAACACAGCTTCAGATCATGAAAAAAGGAAGATTTGTAAACTTTGTAAAGCTAGTACAAGCTGAAGCCTTAATACCAACATATCAACATCATGTACTTGTTTATGACCTCTGTAATGATTCTTCTAACATCAGTGTTAAGCACTTTTGATGTTTTTTTTTTTGGCTGAAATGTGCTGAATAAATAAACTTCCCCTTACAAGTGTTGGCAAAATGTTATTCTGATGAATTAAACTTAAATTCAGGCTGAAGTTAGGAGGAGCCTTGAACAAGGTAACTAGAGCCGCCATCTACTGACAGTATGTGAGCTGCCTTCACGTCAAAGGAGACATTTGGAAACAATTCCTTTGTTTTGGTTTCTAACAAAATTTAAGGCCACTAAAACCAGTTCTTTAAAAACCTTGAGGGCAGGAGATCCTTCAAAACAACAGATTCTGTACTTCTGTGTGAATATGCAAAACAATGTTTTACAGTTGTGGTGTCATCACTATAATTTCTGTTGACATGTTGTTGCCTCGTGTAATGAGCACACACCTGAGGAGTAAACAAACAGCTCGACTTTCATCTGGTCTGCTCAAAAAAAGGTCATTTTCTCTGATCAAATGCAGACAGAGGTCGTCTCTGGACATCAGAACAGTTCCAGAGGCAGAGTCATTTTACAGGATTGAAAATTTGACTGTTATAAGTAATACATGTAAACTTGTGGAAACGTTTAAATGCAACAAAATTAGACAAGTAACGACAAGTGTGGTGAGATGAGGTAAGTTCTACTAATATCGTAAACTACTTTTTTAAACATGTCTTTACTCTGACATTAGGTGACTGACCTCAAATGCAACACAGTAATGACACCATAACACTAAATTTTCTCCTGTTTCATGAGGTGATCTGTTGTAAATACTGTAAACCCTGACATTTTCTTTAGCACCACAAGCATGAGTTTCTGAAGAAGTTCTCTCATGCTAAATACTTCAGTTTTCCACTGGCATCCATTCAAATCACGAGATAGACGATAATCAGTAAATCATGACGAATTTTGCTCATGATAAACAACCAGCCTCACTCTCACTTCTCAAAATCTTGATAGTTTTCCCAAGTCATGCTTCAACTTGGACTTGTATTAACATTCAATTTCCAAGGTAAACAACCGAGGCTGCCTTAGAAATATTAAGCTAATTTTAACACATGGTGCTATTTCCTGTAAAAGATTCAGATGTGGACACATACTCATATGACGCCTTTAGTACACTGTGATAATGTCTTTTTTGTGAGGCGAGTGTGTTGTGCGTTTACTGGCAGGCTAACTTACTCCTTGCAGCGAGGATGGCTCCTGTCATGGCCCCGCTGGTAATCGAGTTCCAAGGATCCTCCTTTCCTCGTACTTTTACTAAACCACAGTCAATCATGGAGAAGAGGCCTCCCCATACTGCAAAGCTCCCTGCAATCCCCAAGAAGATTCACATAAGCTCACAAAAAATGGTTATATCTTTTGGGTTTTACTGGACTACTTTCCCTCCCTGTAAATCATGTGACTTTAAGCGTCATTCCTTGCCATTAAATCTCTAATACAGCTGCAGGCCTGAACAGTGGTTGTACTTGGCGTTCTTCACAAATTTCCAAAGACATTTCTGTAAGATTTTCTGATCATGTTTGTGGACCCAGACAGAGATCAGAATCCTCTAATAAGTATCTGCTGATAACAAGGTTGTATAAATACTGGGGGGTCCCTGTTTAAAACTGAAGTGAAGCGAAAGTGCTCAGAGATGATAAAGAGGGGTCATACCGCTCTGCCACATGCTGACTTCTGTTTCTATCACAGTATCATAGTAACGTCTGTGGTTTGTTGTCATTTTGAGATTGTGCCACAAGATTTACAGCCTGCAAAACTCTGGATTAAACCACGCAGCCTTGATATATAATCAAATATTTGTCAAGGCTTACCTCCAAGCTGTGGGGCTCTGGTCTTGATGGCAGTCATGCTACCTCTCATTCGATGGCTCATCCCCTATACAGACACAGGAAGAAGATAAAAAACAAACATTGGAGACTCCTTTTTAGCACACTTAGCACATCTAAAAAACATTTCTGTTTTGGCATAAATTATTCCAAATGGTGCAGTGCAGCATTGTACATATTCCTGTGTGCAGCACTAACTTTAATTTGTGACCAATTTTAAGCAGAAGGAATCAGAAGCCCCTTACTTTAAAGTAAGACAGTTATACGAAGGTGCCAAAATGATCTCCTGTAGTTTGTTTACAGTGAGAATACCTCTAATGTTTATTTAAGTGTGAAAATATTCAGCGGCAGCACTGTTATGCAAGTTGACTGAACTTACTGAGGGTGCATTTCTGAAGCCTTTTACTGCCTGGAATATCCCTCCACCAATCGCTCCCATGGTGAAGGCTCCCCCACAGTCATCCACAATCCTCCAGGGACTAGAACAGTATCACAGAGTAGGATTAGACAAAGTCATCATCAATTACAGTACAGCTGAAAAAGCTGTATCTACATGTGTCACGTGATGTAGCGTAACGAGTCAAAGATAATGGGGCTATGGGGATCTGTTATTAAGTTATAAAGCAGATACACATGTGATCAGCTTTCTCCAAGGACATGTCAGCCAAGCCAGAACTTTGACATACACCTCTAAAATCTGCATTATGTTACTTATTGTGACCTTGTATGTGCTTGTCTCCTATAACCCACACATACACACCTGATCATTTACGCAAACATGAGCCCGGGTCGACCGGCTACATAATCCCAGACCACAGAGATGAACATGAGAACAGCACTGAGCCTTAGCCGACGATAATGTGCATTTTAGCTGCTCGGATAGCTTACAAAACAGTCTTGCCTCAGAGGGTTGTCTCTCAGATGTTGTACAATCTCCAAGCCGCCCCTCACAGATAACATTAGCATACACGCTGCTAAATTAGCTAGCAAACCCCAAAGCTAAACCTCATACTTGTAACTAAACGTTATAGATCATTCAGATAAAACTGTAAGACAGGCGCTTGACTTTCAATGGAGGTCATCTACTCACATAAAAAGACTGCATTATGGTAGAATACGTCCTAAATGTTCTGACATGTGGGTTGGTAAACTGACAAGGTCACTAGCAGCGTGTTGTAGCAGATATATGGTTTAATGCTAACGCTAACGCCGATGCTTCATGCTAACGAGCCGGGTTTGAGATGGTTCCGGTTCTGCCACGTGTTGTACGACTCCATCAATCGAACTCAGGTACCGGCGGAACATTTAACAGTAGATACGAATAAGACTAAGCGCGACACGGGCTAAAAATGATAATAATTCGCTTCAGGACTCACCATGGCTCTCTGGCATACTCCTCCATTTTGTTCTTTCGCTGTTCCCTCTGACGTAACAGCTAACCTGACGACACGGCGTGACGTCTTAAAGGAACAGTTCGTGAATTTTTAAAGACCGGAAGAAAAATGCGGGCTCTGGAGAGTAACTGTCAATATTACAGAAAATTATCAGAAAAAATACTTTCTGTTTAGTGAGCAGTATTATGAACTTTTCTTGAAACCATGACACGATTTGCTGCTTTGTTTCAGAATATATGTAAGCCTAATCAACTGCCATTGTATGGGGGAGAGTGGGGTAAGGTGAGTCATTTTTCATATTTCAGATCACTACATCAAGTCAATCATAGTTTTGTCTCTAACTAGTGTTTCTGCATATATTCCATATTTCAAGATGTTGCATCCCTGTAAACCAATAGAATGAGTGTAAACATAACTGTATTGATAATATAGCATGACAAAAAAAGTGGTCTCCTATGGTCAACTTACCCCGTGTATGGGGTACGTTGACCATAGGAGTGGGGTAAGTTGAGCCGTATACCTACTAACCCCCTCACTCTCCACCCCACGTCTAACAGCCGTCTATTGCTCAGTGAGAACTTACCCCAGTCTCCCCTACTTGACAATTTTGTCCTTAGAGAGCAAGATGTAACTGATGTTTAAGATAAAATCATCTTTAGACAGAAGACATGAAAGTAAGATAGGAAAACAGTTGTTAAGTGTGTCAAGAGTGGTTATGAATTATTAAAAAAAAAAAAACACTTTTCCCCCCACAATTTTCCCACAACTGAACCCTCATTTTTTAAACCTGTGACATTTACAGCCATCTTTAACTTTCTCTCAGTGTTAGCAAAGCATATCACTTAATTAATAAAATCAGTTTCTATAGATCTTGGGAGTTTTGGCCTTTATTTTTAAGCTGCAATTGAATTTTCCTTTGGGATCAATGAAGTTTTTCTTCTTCTTTTACTGTTCCTATGTCAGATATTCCTAACTAAACCTATTACAGCAGAGCAAACCTGAGTCATCTTCATGTTCCAGGAAAAGGAGGACAAGAGGGAGTCCTTGCTCATCTTTTGGCCCATGGCCTCCCAGAATGTTAACACATCCATGTCACATAAACAAATGTAAAAGTCAGCAATACTTCAAGTCTAAACTGGACAGCAGTGTTTTCTGTAAATCAACATAAAGGTGTCCACTGGATGACTTTTTTTTTCTGTTTTAAACCATTATCAAGTTTCCCTTATGACCCTTTTTTGGCACTGGACAACCTGTAATCTCAACATTTTCATTCCTCTCCCCCTTCTTTTTCCTCCATCTGAGATCACTGCTGTCGGTCAGAGCTGCAGCCTCAGCCGAGGGACAGACCGCTGGCCTGCAGCCCATTATTAGGAACGAGAAAGGAATGAATTGCAGAGCTAGCTTTCATTGAGAAATGCCCAAATATAGGCATTTCATGGCTGCAGAGGCTGAGGCAGGGAGACAAAAACTGGCCTGCTGTTCTTCTTACTCCACTAAACACACAGGAAGAAGTTGGAGAGACAGTGTGTAGCCCCTGCTGTTGAGTGTATGTTTAATCATGTAATATATAGAGTTACAAATATCGAAATGAACTTGATTATTAGTCGCAGAAGCACAAGCATGTAGATTATTGTTTTTAACTTAAACTTTGCCATTAGAATATACAAGCAGTATTAGTAATAGGCTTTAAATGTAGTAAGAGACATTATTTATGATGCAGGTTGCTTGTTGGCGACGGTTACATATCTATATAAGGCTCTGTACGTGCTCCCAACAACAGCTGGATCTGAAGTTGGGTGTACTCAATGGAAATGCACCGACTTGAATAAATGACAGCTCAACCAATTTTGATAAATACATCCATTTATCATATTTCAAAAATACTTTTGTATTTAATTTTACATATACTGTTCATATTCTGCTTAATGATATCAGCCAGTCATAACATTACACTTGTGAGTTCTTGTTGCAAACATACCAGATTCTTTATTGAAGACATACAGGCTCTGTAGGAAAGGCACGTGTGGTCAGATCAGATATGACAGAGAATCCTTCATAACATGGTACACATGTGGGTGCCACTCGGGTTTTTGTGTTTTTATCATATTTAGTCTTTAAGAAATGACATTCGCTTAAACAGAAGGGTCGCTATAAGCCGGTAATGTTGCTTCATCTCCCCTTAAGGTTAAGATATGTGGATGTGTTACATTACAAGTTATGTAAGGTATCCAAACAAGCAGGCTAGAATGATCCGGTACAAAATTAAACTTCAGCTTGACGGGCAGCCGTTTGCACTTCCTGGTTTAAAAATATATTATGTAATTATTTCCATGCTAACACGCTGTCGTCATGCACCAAGACTCCACTGGGCTTCTGTCCAATCTGTTAAACCCTGCCTGAGATGTTTGAGATTTGGCAGTGAGTCGCACATTCAAAGACCACCTTGACCTTTTCTTTTCCTTACCCAGATTTTTTCGAAGTCAGGCCGCCATATTTGTTAAGTCCCTGATAGTCCCGCCATTTCACAATTCCCAGTTTGAGTAGTTTTACAGCTTTCTCTCCACAAATAAATAAAAGGTCAATTTTTTTTCCACTGACTGTTCGTCTTTTATATTAGATTTTATAGTTATTTGAACCTCTCGTTAAGCTCATTGCGCAATCACGCCACGCTCACATTCAGATGCATACACGAGCCGACATGTTATATGATAGGCTTCATATTATCTAGTGCAAATAACCAGCAAAGCGTCAATATGGTCTTAAGACAAACAACCACTGCAGACGGCTAATAGAGAGAGCCCTGCGTCACTCCTTCTCCGCATAGTCTTTTTGGTCCAGTGTTTTAGGGAGAGCTCATAGTGAGGGCTAGTCATCCACCCGATGGGCATCTTGTGTTTCACTTTCATCCGTCCCACAGCTCAGTTCTTCTGAATTTGGGGGAATGTAGAGTTTATGTCCTAGATAAACTTTGGTGAGATGTCTGTTCTCCCTCTCGTTTTCTTTTTCACTTTTCATTCCAACAGAAAGTTTTACTGCAACCACTTTGGCACCGGCACCTGGGCAGAAAATGAAATGTTAGTACGTTTTGAAAGTATTCACAGAACCAAAAATAACTCACCAGCTTCAAAACGAACCTTCTTGAGTTGTTTGATGTCGGTCCCTCTGATTGAAGCGAGCAATTGGTCCCTTGAGTTCTTACTCCCTCCTGGACTTTTCCCATCCAGCTTCCTCTGCGACACCGGAGTCAGAGAGTTCCTCAGGGAGTCGACTTCCATCATAAGAGGAGGAGGAGGAGGTGGCGGTCCAACACCAGGGGGAGGTGGAGGAGGTGGTGGTGGTCCTGAACCTCCAGCTCCTCGTTTAGGGGTCAGCTTTGGGGAGGGCATAGGTGAGGGCATTGGCGAAGGTTTGGGGGAGGCTTTTGGTGAGTTTCTCAGAGATCCTCCACCGCTACCCCCACCTGTCTTGGGTACATCCAGTGTCCCGCCCTTCTTCTCCCCGTTGGCCTGCGCCTGCTTCTGCTCCTGAAGGCGCTTCTGCCTCTGCCGGTCCATGTTGCGACTCAGGATGTTTGTGGTGGTCATCCTGGGTCCTGCTAACTCAAAGTGGTAGCCCAGTTTTAGAAGGGTGGTGTTCTCCTTCAGGATCTTTGTCATCTCCATCTCAGTCTTCCCTCCACAGATGTGCCGCTGGTTTTGAAAGCGGAGCTCCGTCAGTGTTGAGTTGTGTTGCAGGGCCTGGATCAGAGCCAGGATGCCCTTGCCGGTGAGGTGGTTGGAGTCGACGTTGATGCTGGTGATGGTCTTGTTGGTGCGTAGAGTTCCTGCGATGGCGTACGCCACATGGTCATCCGCACGGCAGTTAGCCAAAGCGAACTTCTTGACGTTGGTGTTGTTGTGCAAAGCCTCGGCAAACTCAATGAGGGTCTTCGTCTTGATGACCTCAGAGTTGTTGACGTTGAGCTCGGCGAGGGATGGGTCGTTGCTTCGAACCTGCTCCATCAGCTCATCGAACATGCTGGAGTCTTCGTCCTCCTCTTCTTCCTCTTTCCCTTTGCTGTTGGGGCTGTTTTTGGCCACACAGTTGCCAAGTTTTTCTGTTGCTTTTGCAGCTTTTCCTTTTTGATCCTCTTTGTCTCTCCTCTCCTCCTCTTTCCTCTCTTTCTCTTTCACGTGGTCGCTGTGGTTCACCATTTCCTCTCGATCTGTCCTTTTCTCCGCCTTGTCATTCTTCACCTGCGTTTCTCCTCTCTCTGATGACTGTCGCTCAAGTTTGACATCAGTCTTGGTTTTCTCTTCAACTTTTTTCTCCCCTTCTTTAGACTTCCTCTCCTCTGGTTTGCTCTCCTGCGCTGGAGTTTCTTGCACTTTGCTCTGCTTCTCCACCATCTTAGAAACCAGCCCTTGTGTCCTGACAGTCTCAGGTTTTCGGTCCTTTTCCTTACCGGCATCCTTTTCTTGCTTTTCCCGCAGCTTTGAGATAATATCTTTGGTTTTGCTATCGTCTTTTCTCCTGCAGTCTTCTCTCCGCTCCTTCTCTTTGCTTTCCTCCTTCTTCTCCTGTAACTTAGAGATCATATCCTTCGTTTTGCTGCCTGCACTTTCTCTGTTTTCTCTCCTCTCTCTTACCTTACTGTCCTCAAGTTTCTCTTTATCTTTAGTCTCCTCTTTCACGTCGCTCTCCTTGCTGTCCTGCTTCCTGTATCTCCCTGAAAGTCGACTTCGCTCGTCTCTCGAACTTTCAAAACCTCTGCTGTTTCTGTCCTCCACCTTTGTTTCTCTTTCACTTGAGATACTAGATTGTTTCCGCAAACCTACATTCATGTCCTCGTTGCCTTCCTGGCTCAGTCCCATCTTTCTCAGATATTCCTGCTTCCGGCTCTCTTTCTTTGGTTCCCCCTGTGGAAGAAGAGTGTGAGAAATTTAAGTAATTTTAAGTGTGAAAAAATAATAAACCATCATGTTTAAAGATCCGTTTTGCTGAAGAAAATCAAAGATGTAACAGTCCATGACAAAAGTAATTCGCTGCACATACAGAACAAGGCTGTCATCCTGCAGAAATGTCTTCAGCGTCTTAAATATGAAATGCCAAACATGTACAATATTATATAATAGGAAATGTTCAAAATCTCTGTTCCCTCTCTGTCGAACAGCTCCTCATCCATCTGCTGACTGTAAACACACACATACACACACACCCTCCCTGTCACTGTGAGGCATGCGTGTGTTTACATTCGGCAAAAGTACGAGGAACCTTTTTTTATAGAGCGGGGATACAGTCGGAGTGAGTAGTTTTCGCAAAGTGTTTGATTTGTGAGCCTCCATCTGTTTTGCGGAGCGAGGCCGCGGCCCTGGCAGATGTATCCTTAAAAGGCAGTGAGCGTAGGAGCAATCAACCAAGGAATTCCATCAGGCTGGGATTAAGAAGCTCCACCAGGCCGCCGCTTCATCCACTCAAGTGCCTCTCCTTTAAACACACGGACTGTGAAAAATTAACTTCTCTAACTGAACTTCTTGAAAATGTCACAAGGGAAAAGTTACAGTTTGTTTTGTTTCTGTGGCGGTTTCTCTGCTGATGTAGAGTGAATACAGATGCAAGAAAGCCAATATTTGTCCTTGATTTATCTAGTCTAGAGGTCATTATTACTAAAACTGACCACATCCAAACTTTATAAGAGATCTGTCCCTAACCCTAACCCCAATGGGTGTGTCTTTTTTGTCAAAACCCAACATTTTATGCCACAATACAGTATAAAGAATAAAGTCAAACATGTACTCACCTCTAGTGACTGCTCCCTCTGACTGAGCCTCTTTTTAGGATCGCTCTCCCCCTTTCTGTCCACTTTAGCATCCCGCACATTGTTGCTCACAGGTGGCTGCTGGTTCTCCCCTTGCACTATGATCTTTCCGTCCTCGGGCTTGAGGTCTGGCACTTTCATCATGTCCTTCTCCAGCTCCTCTACCTCCTCAGGGGAGAGGGTGGACAGCAGGTTGTCCAGGTCCGGGTCCTCGCTGACCTGACGGCCCGTGCGGGTCAGGCCTCTCACTTTTCTCCTGGACATGATGGCTACAAAAACGTCAGAGAAGTGGAGCCTCTTTTCAGGTGCTGGTGATGCTGGAGGAGCAGTGATCTTTGTTTTCACTCTTAGCGCTCTGCAGCTCTTTCTTATGGTTAGAATATTCCCACAAGCCAAAGTCGGAGTCCTGCTGTCCTGTCATGCCCTGTTCACCAAAAAGCCACCAGAGGCATCAATCCTGGTGCAAAGAGGATGGACTAAGCGTCCTGTGAAGAAGGGGTACCAGTGATGAACTGCGAGAGCCTCGCATCATCAAAGTGGACTGCGAGGCTGGGACATTCTTGAAAATCCTCTGAAAGTGCATGTCCATATTTAGTTCAGGGTCCACACTCCTTTAAAGGTAATGGGAAGGGCTGAAGTTTACAGACATGCCAGAGCAGGCTTATACAGACTTCCTATTACACAATTAAAACCACTTTTCAATGGTCACGTTTATGAGTGTGTCTCTAATGGTTACACTTGAGATAAAGATCAAATTTAAAAAGGTTTACAAACAGCATGAATTTAGAGTCACATTAGTTTCAATGAATTGCCTTTTTGTTTGCAAATCTTTCAAGTATGTTTTATTATTTGTTGCTGTTAAGTCATTGTTATTTTTGCACGTCATTGTTTTAAGAGGCATCGAGATATTTGCATCACTTCTGCCAAACATCGTCTGGGGGTTAACAGTGACATCTAGTGGTGAAAAAAGATCCACTATTAAATTTCCTGTGAATAAAAAGACACAGCAGACGTTTTATTTTACATTCCAAAGTTAAATTTTATGTCAATAGAAATAAAAAACTTTTCACCCACTTTATATTATATTACAATGTCATACCGTCCATTTGACAACAGACAAAAAAACAGCCATTATCTACCGAGTTAATCCGCCAAACAGATGTCAGTTTCATTGAACACACTCATGGAGTTGGTTTAAAAGCACAAATGAACAGAAACATCATAGCAAATATTGTCAAACTACATATGAAAACTCACAAAAGAAAAGTCCAGTGATCTCCTTGTGCTTTAGAAAGGCTCAAAATATCTGTACACTCGGACCTTTCCCCGGGGGAATAACTTAATTCGTTCACTACCAAGAGCAGGTTTTGTCTTATTCATTGCACGGTTTAGTGAGATTACATACAGCAGTAAGTCTCCAGGAAAAGTTCAACCAGGTCTTTTTTCTGTGTTTACAATTTTAGTATTTTTTGAGGTAAATTACACCCAGATTAAAAAAAATCCCCAGGTATCACACGTTAAATGAGCCGAAATAGGTTATGTTACAGGTTATCTCGGGTTTGACCGACTCGCAGCACACTATACAGCTGGGTTTGTGTTTTCTTGTTAAGCCAAGTCAGAAAGCTTATCAGGTCGACAGTGTAAACAGCTAACTGTTTTAGGTTACCTTAGCAACAAGGACCGGTATCTAAGGATGACGAACGCTGTTTTAGTTCGCCTTTAATTAGCCCCAGTTGTTCAGAAAATTGCTTTTCCCCGCATGGGTCTCCTATAACGACATGTTTAGATATAAGACTTAGAGGATCCCCGCAGTCATATTAATAAATACATTAGTGAAAACATAAACCTCATTTGTTTTCCACTAAAAATACATGTAAAACAAAATGTTACAATACCATAAAATATTTAGCCAGAAAACAGATTTACAAAATATGTATTTAAATAGTTAATCTCTTTTCACCTCAAGGTTAATTATTGTAAGGCGGGACACTTTGTTTTGATCAAGCCGCTTGACCTGCAGCTCTCATATAACCTGATATCACGACAAATAAACACTGTGTGTGAATTTCACAGTAAAACATCCCACCTGGCAGTTTGTAATTAATATAAAAAATCATTTCTAGTTCATCTAAAACCTGAAAAGAAGTATGAGAGGACACATTACTTTGACTGGGAGGAGCATGCTGACACTGAGATGTTACATTACAATGGTGCAGCTAATATACAACCATGGAGTAAAGTTCGAGTCAGATCCAGAAAAAGAGGACAACGTTTCAATAACAGGCAACCAAAGGTAAATTATGAAGGTATCACAGTGCCTCTGAACTGTACATGTGTCACCTTTTAATCAAACCTGTTTTCACTTGAGTCTTTAACACAAGAAAGGAAAGAAAAAAACAACTAGAGATAAAGGCAAAACGATTCAATTTCAGGAGGAGGATCTGGAATGTAGCTTCAGGCAGTTATTAGACTTTTTAAAAAACATCAAATTGTTTTTTTTTCCCTCTTTCATGAATCAGAGAGTGCATTAATATTTCCCTTTTTATCCTGTCTTTAAGCAACACCCTGTCATAAAGTCAGTGCATCAAATAAAACGCCACCTGGATACGTCCTCACTCAGGGGATAGTGTGACTCTATTGGTTCGACACACTGGGAGCAATCAGGCGTCAGGTTGCAGAAGAGAATTCTACATATTTACTCTGGAGAAGTAGGATAACATTGAGAATAAACAAAACAAACAAACAAAAATACTCTTAAAGTGCCTCCTGTTCTCTTTCACAGGTCAACCACTGCCAGTCAAGCGGTAGTTTTTATTTGTGTGTTTGTGTGAGAGTGTGTTTGAGAGAGTGTCGCTGCCTTGTTTGTTTGAAACAGTCTTTTCCCTCAGCTGATGTTTTTCCACCGCTGAGTGAGTGTTTGTAGACCAGCCCATCAGTGACCGGGATACTGAGGTGGAGGGTAAGGTGGAGGGGCTGAAAAAGAGGGAAAAAAAACAGAGGCATTGAATAAATCAAAATCTGTACAGTCATTCACCTTTAATTTACAGTTTGTCAAGATGATGACGAGCTAGAAAACATCACTAATAATAAAAACTGAGAGGAATAAAGCTTTTATTTTTGATAACAAGATAAAGTTGTTTGTGGTGGACTGAAGGACATTTCTCTTCTCTTCTTCTCTCTCTTGCCTCCAGCTGGTACAAAATGCTGCAGCACGCCTTTTAACTCCCGTTCTTCTCTCCCTACATTGGCTCCTGGTTAAATTCAGGATCATTTTTAAACTTTTAATGTTTGTTTTCAAACCCCTGTTGGAGGTTCCTGTCTCAAATTTTAAACGGTGGGGGGATCGTGCCTTTTCAATAGCAGCCCCAGAAATTATGGAACTCTCTACCCCCTGAACTACTTACTATTAATGACCTGGCACTTTTTAAAACACATCTTAAAACTCACCTATTTAAACAGGTTTTTAATATCTAGTGTCATTTATTATTTGATCATTTCTGTGTTCCTTTACCTTTTTACTGTTATGATATCCTCTGATATTTGTCACTTGCCATGTATTTTCTTTTTCTGTATTTGAGTATTTGACTTTGTAAAGCACTTAGTTCCTCTTTCTGGATGTTGTAAGGTGCTATACAAATAAACGTTATTATTATCATTATTATTTAAAATCTACCATATTGTCCTCACTGCTGACCCACTGAGATTAGACGTCTATTTTTTTTAGACCCTAATTTAAACCATCTAGATTCTGTATATTTTTAGATGTAATTTAGATGTTGCACTTTCACCCATTATTGGAAAACTATTTATTTTAAAAAAGAACTGTGAGTTGCATATCTGATCTCCAAGTACTTAACCAAAATAATAATGACAGCCATTAAGCAATAAACAGTACGACCTCTGTTAGCCGGCTTGTATAAACTTGGTCTAAATTTGGAGGACTAAAAAACGTTCATTTTTAGACCTGTGGTAGTCTGATTTTAGACCAGTCATCTCGGCTACATTTAGACGTCTATTTGACCTCTTTAAGAACAAAAATGCTCTGTTGGGATCTAATCTGTTGCCGAAAATATGAGCACTGTTTTTATAAACTTTTCAAGCTGCATGCTGCAAAACAGAAGGTGCTCCTGGACCAAAGTCAGTTGATGGTAAATGTCTTTAAGTTAATTTCCTTTATGATCGTAATCATCAGTGTAAGTATTTTCTACTCTTACCCTGGCTGTATGCAGGATCCATCATGTGTGGTGGGTAAGGTCCGGGCTGCATCATCGCATATTGTGGTGGCATACCAGGGTACTGGGGCGCCATTGGATAACCTGGATGTGGATACTCAGATGGTCCGAGTGGTTTTCCATAGGCGTCATACATGGGTTCCACCGGGTAACTGGCCATGGGGATTTGTTGGACTGTGGGTCAGGATGCACAGACTGTCATTAAAGCAGCTCATGACCCTTTTTTAATGTGAGCACAGGGAGGTAGAGAGCAGAGGGTCTCACCGTCATAAGGTGTCCGGCCTCTCTGCTGCCGTCTCTGGTAGAGGTAACAGCAGGAGCACATGAAGCAGCAGACCATGGTGGCTATGATGGCCACAAACAGGAGGATGGAAGACGCGATGCCGGCTAGAGTGGTGGGACTGGAAGGAGAAAAAAAAGAACATTTGAGCTCCAAAACCCTTTTTTTTAAATTTACTTTGATCCTGTTTCCTTCTGTTTTTTCCTCCTTTTCTTTTTTACTAATTAAATGATGGGCTGTAGGACTTATTTAAGAGAGCATTTCAGCAGAGATGGCTGTGATGTGAAGCTTTTCATTCAGACAGACTGTTCACAACACACCGAGACTGAAATCAAAACAGAGTTAATAATATACCGCCCCGCTTCTCTCTGTTTTCCTACCAGATTCCTTCACCTCGCAGTCTCAACAAAGCCCTCCGTTTCAGCTCGGCCCCCGCCACCCACTGATCTGATCTCCCTTTGGGCTCAATAAGCTGCAGGTTGTCTGCTCGTTGCTGAATAGTGATGGATGCTTTCCAGGAAAAGTGCCGTGCAGCACTCTCACAGATACGAGCTTGCTTAGCCGTGCACTATCTGGATCCCTCACGGGGGACTCTGGTTTTAAACACCACTGAGAGCGCAGAAAGCTGATGTAATAGAACAACTAATGAGAACATATTACACTGTTGGGACCAGAGCAGGAACATTAAGTCAACTGCAGCCAAATAAGGTCTGACAACAGACTAGGAAGACTATTTTTTAAGAATAAATCACTGCCAAGATACAGGGTAGTAGTGGATATGATTTACATAAACAAACAATACTCAGTGATTTTCTCTCGGAGCTCGAGTACGCCTGTTGCCACAATATTATTATGCCTCCTGTTATTATTATTTAATCCAAACCCACATTTATTTCTCTACAGAGAAAAACAACCCAGAGATCAAGCCGATCACACGCTTCATATCAAATCAATCTGCCCAAACTTCACATCTGTCTGTTGACACTGTGGCTAAAATGTGGGTTCACGTTGGTTCACTGCCAAGATACAGGGTAGTAGTGGATATGATTTACATAAACAAACAATACTCAGTGATTTTCTCTCGGAGCTCGAGTACGCCTGTTGCCACAATATTATTATGCCTCCTGTTATTATTATTTAATCCAAACCCACATTTATTTCTCTACAGAGAAAAACAACCCAGAGATCAAGCCGATCACACGCTTCATATCAAATCAATCTGCCCAAACTTCACATCTGTCTGTTGACACTGTGGCTAAAATGTAGGTTCACATTGGTTTTCAAAAACTGGTTAACATCCTGACAAAAACATTTTCCATTAAGTCGTATGTTGTGATTATAGTCGCAACATGATAAGAGGATATGTCATTTGTCTTAAAAGGCATCTCAGCTGCAGAAAGAGCTGAAGTTTGACATAACGAGCATAAACAAGTCCTGTTCAGTGTGTCTGTGAATACACTTAATAGAAATGTTCAATTAACTTGAGTTATCACAAATACGCTGACTGAAGTTCTGATTTGACTCTTGAACTTTGAGCATATTCAAGCATGTAGAGGAACAGATAAGCAAAGGCTGCTTTGTCCACAGGGGGCGCCAAAATTGACACAAACTAGGGCCCGACCGATTTATCGGCGAGCTGATTAAATCGGCCAATTTTAGCCCGTTTGAGACTAATCAGTAATCGGCCAAAACTCGCCGATATTTTTAGAAATAAAATGCGGAGAATAAGATTTGGTTTCACTTCGAAAATGTTCCGCCATTTGAATAGATCCCCCGACTTATCCTGTAGATGGCGCAGCGACCTCATGAAAGATAGTTGAAAACGCTTTTCTGGTCCAAGTTCGATTCATAATAAATATGTCGAATATTACTGAGATGATCAGTCGGTAATCCTGTCGGCGTGAAGAGCAGTAACCTACAGTATATCCAGTGTTCCTCATTTTTTATGATGTACGTGAGTTAGCTTTATTTTAATTTATTTATCTAGGCTATTCATTTTAGAAGATGACGAGTGTGTGAGTTTGATAAGATGGAGGTTGAAGAAAATAATCAGACTCACACCTGCTACAGTCTGAATGATAAGCTGAAAAGAATGAAATGAAATTGAGAAATGAGTTTATTATCTTTATTACAGTTAAAATAAATAGCCAGGGGTGTAGTGTAAGTCATATTATGTAAATATAAATAAGAAAAATGATTAAAGTTTAGCAATAAAAATGATTTGAAATGAGTTTTCTGCCTTTAATTCTTTGAAGAAGTGTTTGAAAGGCTCAAAAGCAGCCATTTGTTAAAAAAATAAGTAAATATGTAGATAAATTACTTCAATTAACAAAATTTTAAAACTTCATAAAAAAATTCCAAAATCGCATTTTTTCTCCTCCTAATAATCAGTATCAGCATCAGCCCCAAAAAATCCATATCAGTCAGGCCCTAACACAAATTAAAAGTTCCTCACAGGAGCTTTAAGTCATTTCTATTTACTGATAAAGACGGGGAAGAGAGTTACAGACAGCAGAACAGCAGTTCTTTGGGGCAGATTGTCTTGTGGGGTAAGATGTTTCAGAGTGTTTGATGCCTTACAATCACAGAATAAATGACACTGATCTAACAAAGTGAAGGCAGATTAGGATGTGCATATTTTGTGTCCCATTTTTCTAAGAGGATTAGCACTAATTTTCCTGAGCATCAGTAATCAGAAAGTATCAGATCGTATTATTCAGCTTTTATGACTCATCTGAGGGTTTTGTTTTAGTATGAATATTCAGATATTCAGACTAACAGTCTGAAATTCTGTTGTTTTTTTCTATTAAAATTAAATCAGGGAGATAAAAACATGTTTTTTATACTTTCATCCCAGTATGGGTAGATCACCAGTTTCAGATGTGTAGATATTTAAGAGCACTTTTTTCATGTTATTTGTGGCAGGAAGTGTCCTCTGGTAGGGTGTTTTATTACTTGGGAAAAACAGACACATGATCCTGCAGAGATATCCTTCCGCTGTGAACTCAAACACAGACTCTTGGTGCGCAGTACAAAAATAAATAAGCGGTTGAATTAAAACCCTCGCTGTCCCCACCTGAACTGGAACAGCATGCAGCGTTTCTGCTCCCTCTCCGTGATCATTTTGAAGGCGTCCAAACAGCAGTAGCGCCGGTGGCAGTTTCCACAGCAGAACGTGATGAGAGGGCAGTCAAAGCCATTGTGCCAGGTGCCATTTTTATCCACGTACCACAGACAGTCCTCATTGCCACTGACTGCAAAACAAAGGCATTACAGAGTGTTAGGCTGGATGACACCGCAGGGAACATGATCAAATAGGGTGAAGAGGAGGAGGAGGAGGCAGAGCGAGAAAGAATAGTGGAAGAAGAGGAAGGTCAGATTTTGAGTTTGTTGTCTGAAAATTTTACTTTCCTCCTGAGGATATTTTAACATACAAACTGTTGTTTCTGTTTCATCACACGTCTTTCAAGCTGAGAAAATTCTCAACTCTTCTCCTCTCTCTCACAAATGCTGCTTTGTTTAGCCTTCAGGAGGAAAATACAATTCTTTGAGTGTGCACTTATTCTTCTTGCTTGCGTATATTTTATTCCAGACCAAACACAGTCATGATGCATTATTCAGTGCAGCAGAGGTGGGGAAAGGATCAGGACTTAGGTAAGATACCCAGGAGATTTGAGGATTGTATATCTGAAACAACAACAACAACAATTTATTTATTTATTTTAGGTAAAAGATTACAGACTATCGAATTATAAAAGGAGATGACAGATTAGATTCCATGAAACGTTAAACCAGTTCGACACTAAATTTCTAGAAACAGGTACAAAGTTGTCAAAATGTTCTAATTTCCCCCCCCAAATGTAAACAACAACATTTTTACTTTCCCCAACACTTAAGTTTAGCCACCCAAAAAAACAACAACCATTGCATCGTCTTTCGCATAAATATTTTAACAACAGGCCTTCAGTTGAGTAGCATTGAGCTGGTTTAATCATGTTTTCCATAACAGAAATCAAGGCATGTGTTTAATCACAAAGGCCGGCCACTTTAAAACACTTCATAATGACCTACAAAATGATCAGCAACAATACGATTTCAGTGCGTAGCTTTGTGAGTTACACAACACACTGATCCTTGAAGTGCTGCCTGGTCCCGCAGAACAAAAGAGTTTTAAGTAAATTAATCTGATGGAAAGTCTATTCACAGTGTAGAGTTTGGCCAAGATCTATATATACTTAGCTTTGGAGACAACTGTGACTAAATTTAGGTGCTGGCAGTAAAAACTTTTTCCCCATTAAATATTAAGCTTGATAGAAAATCTATTGCGTAGTGTTTGAGTTACTCGCTTTTGCCTTCTTGGCATGACTGACAGTCTGTGCCAAGCTTTTAAGCCGAATCAATATGTGGGTACCTGAGAAATCCTGAGGGAAATCGTGGACATCTAGGGTCTTTATTAAACCAGGATAATGCACAGATTTAAGCAAGAATATGTGAGAAACAGCTTAATAACAGAGCAATGAAACTAAACACATCAGCAAAACTACAAGAGATCAAGATGTGAGAGCAGTATGTATAAAGAGTTTTAGAAAAGGCTAAAAAAGTCAGATATATATAAATGATTCCTAGTCAGTTTGGTCACATTGTGCTGTTGTTCTTTGTTGTTAGTTAGGATGTGCTCAAATTAGGGCTGGGCGATAAAATTAGAACAATATATATTGAAAACTAATTTCCCCTGATATCAAAATGAAACATGGTCAATATGCTTTTCAATAGTCGGCAGTCTACGACGTTTTGGTAGACTATACAAATAGTCAATGAAAAGGGGAGTTGCTCTGGGTCCACTTTGCGTTGAATCAATCATGTCCTGAATTAGAACCAAGTAGCAAACAACTGCGTAGTAGCAGGCTGCCTCTACACGCAACCATAGCGCATTAACACTCAAGTGCTATGGTCAACAGATGACGGTATCGTCAACAACACTGGCACGAATACGTCGGTGGTGTGGAGGTATTTTGGCAGAGTACTATGTGCTACAAATTATGTCGAGTACATGTTGTTGCAAAATTGGGGAATACCTCAAATCTTTTTCACCACCTGTAGCAGCGCCACGCGGCAGAGCATGTGCAATACAAAAGATTACAAACCTCGGGTGAAGCAAGAACCCCTCACAGACACAAAGACCTCACAGATGCAGTAGCTTATTGTATTTTTTAACAGATATTTTTTTTATACCTTGACATACAATGATATTGACTGATATGAAAAAAATATATTGTTATAAACTTTTTGCAATATCGCCAAGCCCTAACTCAAATTAAAGTAAAGAGGCATTACTCTTCTATGAAGTACACAAATTATTCATCATTCTAATCTAGCTGTTGATTTAAAAGGCAACTGCTTTCACTTGGTTGACTAAAGTAGATCATTTAAATTACAAATTAATTATTTAAAAAACCCACAAATAAAGATAAATACTAGGAATTAACTATTCAAAGTTAAGGTAAGACAAATACACTTTGTCACGGTTTTTTTAGTTACAAAGTTGAATGTTTCACTGAAAGCCTGTCGTTGTCTCGACCGTTATTTTTCTCTAGTAACTGACGGGTTAAGGTTACTTGGTCAGTACTTTAAACACGTAAAAACACAGTATTTCACTGATTCGCCAAATACTGGACATACTAAAGCCGTATTTTGTCGGTAAATATAACAGATAACTGATGCCCAGGCCTGGACTAAACACTGAGGTAACGGGAACTACAGGGTTCATCGTGCTCTCATGTTGCGGGGTCGATTCGGGAGCGGACTGTTCGGTGTTTCTAACGGTCATGGAGGCAGAAAGACGTTTAAACCGTCAGCTAATGTCGCGCGGCCTGGATCCACGAGCCGTAATCTTACCCTGAGAAGTGCAGAGGACGACGGTGAGCAGCGCCAAAGTCAGCGAGAGGAGGGACATGTTCCCCGGTGGAAAAACGATCAGCCCCATCCCCAATTCAATCCGAGCGAGGGTGAATCAATGAAGAGATGTTTTCATCGGTGAAAAAAGAGCAGGAAAAAGAGCGGCTAACGGTCGCTTTCTGCCATTATTATCCAAGCTTGGGTACAGCAGCAGCGCAGGAGACAGCACGGCTTTGACGCTCGGTAATTTATCCGTTGAAATGACACATCTTCTCGGCTGTGACGCCGCTGAACCCGGACGACGAGGGGGGAGATGATGCCTTCACGTACCTCCTGAAACCGCGGGAAATAAGGTAATCAGCGTCAATGAGCTGAAGGCATCAATCTATAAACTAACATTGCAATGTATTGATCTTATGACAGTGATATTACATTGACTATCTTTTACACTACAGCTCTGGATTCACTGTTTGGATTTTTTTTCCAGAATTAATATAAATTTGGCATTATTTAGACCGGTGGTTCCCAACTGGTGGGTCGCGGACACGATCTTGATGGGTCGTGAACAGCTGGTCAAAAAAGTAAATATTGAATGCGGATCTGATGTTTGACCATAAACTGAATATAGAATTGACTCTGTCTACCCCCTCGCTGGATTAAGCCACTGTGAGAACAGCACCCTCTGGTGACGGGCTGCAGTATAGGTCATAAATCCCGCTTCCTCCAGCAATCCCTATGGACATGTGAACAAACTTTAGAAATTAATTACACAGAATATAAAATTTTCTCCCCCCGGTTGTGATGTTGACATGTAGTTACTGTCAGACTGGTTTGTGCTCAAGTCCTCTTTTTTCTGTACAGCTCCATTTTTAAAAGTTATTGGGGGTTCAAGTTTTCTATGATTGACACTTGATACAGCCTATGGGAGTACGAAGATTGCGTAGCTCACCCCGGGGATATGCTGTTTGAGCCGATTGTCATCACAGCAACTCTTGGCGACTCTCCCGCCAAATGTGTACAATGCTACTGCACAATGTTAGTTTCAGGAAATGGAGATAAAACGCCGAATTACAGAGAGCTTTTCGGCTTCAAATCCATATACTGACAGAGGGCGGGACGAGCTTGTCCGTAGTATACAGTCTATGTGTTTGACATATAAGTCATATAAGTCAAATTGTTCATTTTGCTGGTCTCCATTTCGTACAATTTAATATTTGATATTTAGTAGACAACTTTGGTAGTTGTCGTCCTGAGTTCATGTACTCTGAATTGCACTTTACTCAATAAAATAGGTGTATTTATGTTATAGATTTGAGTCTTTAAAGGTTTTTATTTAATAAAAACTAAATTTGCTTGGTTTGAATTTTATAAAAGTGGGTCCTGACTTAAAGACCATGGGAAAATGAGGGTCCCAGAGTGAGACCAGTTGAGAACCATTGATTTAGACCCTGTTAATGTACAAAGATTCCCACAATATCAGCAATAATAATTATAAACATATTTACACAGCAAATAGGTACCTCATGAACATCAAACTTTTATAACATGAGATCTGTAAATTCTGGACATTTATGACATCAAATGTAAATGATAACCATGCCCGGGTTTCTCTGTATCGGCAAATCCCAATAATCTTAAAAAATAAAATAAAATCAAATACATCAACACGTACCACTCGCTTTAAAGCCTAAAACAAAAGCAGCCTTAGTCTTAAATGTAAGGCTTTTCTCCTAATAGGTCGTCAGTCTCCTGTTAGTCCATATATAATTTGTATTTACGAGCTTCCATGAACGCCCCTTCGAGGTCATCGCGGCCCCCTCCCTCTCCGTTCGCCCCGCCCAGATGGAGAGAGGAAGACCTGTCACAGTCTGGATCCTACCATCATCATCCACCTGATACAGAGAGAAGCAGCTCTCTTTACTGTTTATTGTAGCGGTGAATGACTATCGGGACATTTCCTGGAAGTGTGATGAATTAAACATCTGATCCCCACACTCTCTGAAGAGAAACACACTCCTGACTTTGAAGGATTTGACCTAAAAATAACAGAAAACTGAACAAAACTATAAATATTTCATCTCCAGTTTGTTTACAGGCTACAAGTGACAAAGTCAAAATCAGTTTCTCTGTAAGACACTGATTGATGATGAAAGTAGTAAAGGCGAATAGCATCCCCTGGAGTTTTACTTGTTTCATGCAAGTATCAAAAGACGGGTGCAGTAGCTGACCTGACTCTTAAAGGGATATTCCGGCGTAAAATTAATTTAGGGTCAAACACACCAGAACACAGAGTTAGATACCCCCTCGAGAAATGAATGTTGCCAACTGCTTGCTTCTCTAGTAATACCAACATTAGTAACAACCGCATAATAGCAAAACACAGCAGTCTACGTCTCAACGCACAAAACTCAACCGAAAAGCGCCTCTAAGCCACAAACAATGTTCAGAACAGCACCTAACTTCATCAACAGTATATATAGGGTCCTAGCCATAGTACTAGCCACCAAACATCTTTTTAACTTTGCCTTATTTCTTTAGCAAAGAGACAAAACTGAACTCACCTACTCTCTTCCAGCAGCTACTTGTTTGTACAGAGACCTCGGGGCGAGTCCATCAACTGAAGCGGGGGGACGCAGCTCAAGGAAGAACATTTATGATCATTACTTTATCATTTCCTATCATTGCTCACCCAGAAGTCTCTGTACAAACAAGCAGCTGCTGGAAGAGAGTAGGTGAGTTGATATAGTTAATGAGAGGTGAGGAAGTTAGGTGCTGTTCTGAACAATGTTTGTGGCTATAGAGTGTTGATTTGGTTGAGGTTTGTTTATGGCTCCTGAGACCGCTGTGTATTGCTATCGTGCGGTCGTTACTAAAGTTGGTATAACTAGAGAAGCAAGCGGTCGGCAACATTCATCTCTCGAAGGGGTGTCTAAGTCGGTGTTACGGTGTGTTTCACCCTAAATTAATTTTAAGCTGGAATATCCCTTTAACAGTAACCAAACAACTGTTATATTCAGATGGTCATATGCTGATTAAACACACACTGACTTTGTTCTGATAGATGCCAACGTATGCCACACACTGCACCTTTAATATCAGACAATAATATGAATCGTTCAGACTGTATCATTACAAACGGGGACTTCTCAGGTGGACCAGCTAACCATAAAAGCTCCACATAATGGGTACTAAACTGGTTTGTGATGAGATTATTCACAGTATATTCTGTACAAAAGAAACATCCTCACCCCACAGAATTGATTCCCAGCTCTGAAAATAATCAGGAGACCAGTCAAATCTGGAAATGATGTCCTTCATGGACCTTTTATTTAGAAATTTTTCCATCCCAAATTCATCAGGTAAAAGGACATGACAAGGCTGTGTATCACCATGGCAACAGTGTGAATTCCCAAATACCCACCGTACCTCGAGACATAATGGTCAAAGAGCTTTTCATTTCCTGTCCGCAACAGTCAGTGTTTTCCTGGAGTATAAGGCCACCGTATATTTCCCTCCCTGTTCAAAGACCAGGATGTTTTTTTTGATTTTTTTAAGACCTTTTTCTTGACCTTCTTTTGTTGAATGTAAAGTCTCTTGGAAGTGTTTTCCATGTTGCATTTTTTGTTTTTTTTATACAGAAACACAAAAATAACTGGCTAAGTTACAAACAGGACGTGGCAAAATAGTCCATTCATATTTCATATTTTCATGATTCAGCCGTTCCTCTTATTCGACCCTCTAGTCCGGCGGTCTACGATGATGAGTCCTTTGACTTTAGTCAGTCTCTCTCCTCTTCATCTTCATCACTTGAACATCTGCACAGTCCTTCCCATCACAGAAACATAAGTTATTTGTAAGTGCTTCTCCACCTTTTTTCAACCCTGTTCCTTTTCTTTTGCCACACCCGTCATCATCTTCATCACTTCTTTCCTCCTTTTTTATTTATTACGGTGTCAATTCTTCATGAGAGCACGAGTGATGTGGCAATGGGAGAGTTTTAGGGCGTCATAGATGGAGGAAGAGCTGTTGGAGCAGCAGAAGGCGGGGCTAGAGGCCTATAGACTGCAGTGTTTGTCTCTCTGCGGTGTTCAGATGGCCTGAGAACATGCTGTAACACGGCTGCTGGGCGAACTGGGTCAGGAAGTCTGTCAGGTAAGCCTGGAGAAACAAGTGAATGGAGAAAATATAGGATCACATTCCAGAGGGAAATCCTAAAGATAGAAACAATATGGATTTCCAGAGCAAAAACAAGAGAAACAAACAAACAAAGGAATTACTGTGATGTTGCATAAAAAGAGATGAACTAAATATGGGTCAGGTGGATGAGAGAAAGTACCAGCAGTTCTACTAAAAAACGTGAAGAGTTGAGACGACATTATTTAAAGGAATATTCCACTCAGCTCCGCCTCTTTACTGAGAAACTGCTGGTAGAAAACCTGACACCACGCATGCTACTGTTTAGGACAGACGGAACAGACTCTGACACTTAGTTTATCTCATTGTGAGCGACTGACTCAAGTTTAAGTGTGCACTTCGTTCAGAAATTATTCAGCACTTAAAGGTGTGTTCCCTTTAAGAAGCATCTTGTTTTTGTGGTGTATCTACAAAAAAGCTTTTAATATCAGTCAATAATTATTAGTTATTGATGACATTGGTAATATAACGATATCGCTGTGTTTTGTTATGTCTGTGTCGTCAACATTTTAAATTTTTGAACGGCCCGCTCTGTCTGACTGTAAACAAAGCCATTCTCCACCTCCCCCAACCAATCGGCACTGCTCCTTAGTTCCGATTGGTTGTGAGACACACTCCACATCCTCAAATAACATTCACGAGCCGGAACAAAGTTAGCGTGCATCAATATCGGACAGTATAAACCAACCAGAAAGTACAGAAAACATAAGTGATAAAACGAAGTAAATACCGGAGACTCTGGCGGAATAACGGGCGATTAAAATGGAGGTAGACCAGCTGCTGGAAGAGAGTAGGTGAGTTGATATAGTTAATGAGAGGTGAGGAAGTTAGGTGCTGTTCTGAACGTTGTTTGTGGCTATAGAGTGGCGTTTTGGTTGGTTTGTTTATGTGTCCTCAAACCACTGTGTATTGCTATCGTGCGGTCGTTACTAAAGTTGGTATAACTAGAGAAGCAAGCGGTCGGCAACATTCATCTCTCGAAGGGGTGTCTAGGTCGGTGTTACGGTGTGTTTGACCATAAATTAATTTTAAGCCGGAATATCCCTTTAACAGTAACCAAACAACTGTTATATTCAGATGGTCATATGCTGATTAAACACACACCGACTTTGTTCTGATGGATGCCAACGTATGCCACACACTGCACCTTTGATATCAGATAATATAATATTAAGAGCTATGAAGTCTATCTACATCCACTGAGAAGCTGATGCTGATTATCATGCTGATGGACCCCTTAAGATTAAGATGCTTTTCTTACATGTCCTCCTATTTAAGCTCTTTTTTTACGAATCAAATAATAATATACTGTATGTGACCCTGCGCATTTGTTGAGTGATGAGAGGACTAAATGCTGCAGCTGAAACTCATCTGACTCTTTCTTGTTAAACATTTTAATCATGTAACTACAATAATGAAGGCTTTGAAGCCTATGCGCCCTGGTTTCTCTGGTCAACTCTCCTTCAAGGATTACTTGGTTATTTATTTATCTTTATTATAAGCATCTTAAGCTCCAGTTTGGAAGAGGTTGAAGTCTGAGAGGTCTCGGAAATTAGAGCTGCACCACTGAGTTAACGGTTAATCATCAGTGGTCCTGAGTGAAGAATCGCGTGCGTGCCTCTTCCTTAAAGACTAATCCAACAAGGCTGGCACCATCCCACCCTAAAGCCTCGTTATAATGAGAGCGTCTCCTGATCTGATTTGACAGAAAACACTCTCTCACACTGATGATGACGGCTGCAGCTTTCCTTGAACATATGGCTGTAATTTGGAGGTATTTAGAGCAGTTTGAGCCTTCGAGACCGACAAGTTTCTACAGTAACACGTGGACGTTTGAAGCTTTCTTGTAAACTGGGGCACCGGGATGGTTTTACATTCCTTGTGTCCCCTATTTACATCCATGCAGCTGAAACAGTCATATTCTGTGGCTAACAAACTCAGGCAAATGTTGCATTCACTGACCACAGCCCAGACTCGTAAATTTAAAGTGTGGGTTTGTTAAAACACCTCAAACCTGAAGCATCCTTGTACCATCGAGAATGCTGGTTTTTGAGCTGTTTGCCTCTCCTCCTAACCGTCTCCACACCAAGCGCGTCTAAAATCATTCGCGCGAATGCATTACATGTTAAGTCAATGCAAAGACGCGATTAGACGATTAGTTGCAAATTAACCTAATTAATTGGAAGAAGTTTTAGTTGTCCCTGTGCCAGCATCGACATTAAAATGAGCGTGAACATTTGTCATTAAATAAAATGTTCAGTTTCTTTGCACTGAGTTAATAGAAAATAAGTTTAAATGTCTGCAAACCATCAAAATCTGTTTAATTTGATCTTAAATGGCATCCCAACTGTTTAAGGATTGGTGTCGTATTTCAAATGTATGTAAAGTTCAGAGTCAGTGTACCTGTAGATCAATCTGATAAATGGGGTCTTTCAAGGCGTCTGGATCGTCCTCCTCATCGTCTTCGTAATAATCGTCATCTAAAACAGAAGAACACACCAACATGGAGACGACCCACATCTACAGTGATAGTGAAAAGTAATGAGTTGAAGACAAACTGAAGTAGCTCGGATACTGGGGAGAAAATCGTACCGTATTTGTTGGAGGCGATGAGATCAGAAAGCAGCTGCCCCGCGATTCCTTCGTCGTCCTCCTCCTCGTCCTCCCCCTCTTCCTCTGCATTGTCCTCCCACATACCGCTCGAATCTGAGAAAAACAACAGCTGGTCACTGAACTGTCTGCTGTCCTGTTTCTTTGTCAGAAACTGAACATAAAAATACAGGATGGATGAGCCAAAGTTTTTTTTTAAGAAACAAATTTACAGCCAAAAAAAGTCACTGTGTCACTTTTATCTTTGATTTTTCAGCACTTTAGTCGACTTTGATTGATCAGTGGGTTAAAAATATATTTGGATTGAAGTTTTCTTGACTATTTGTTCCAAAACTGTTCTGAAAATAGTAAAAACGTTACCTCTACATGAATATGCAAGACCCAACTATCCTGAAAACTCTACTTTCATTGAGATGTAGCGGTGCCGACTCTATGTTTTGATTTTTTACTCCACCTTGGCTCCAGTCGGCTGGGTTTGCTCTGCTGGCGTTCGCCTCCACCACAGTTGAAAGTTCATTGATGATCAACTTAAAGATCTTCACTAACAAAGGAATGTTGGTCCATCGCTCTGGATCTGTGAACCAGAAAGAAACAAAGTTGTTACTGTCTGTTGTTGCTCGGTTACATCTCCTCTTATTTCGGGATCAAAGTCATGTGATCACTGTCGCTGTGCCGCTCAATGAAAATGTGGTCTGCTGATGTCTTACTCTTTGCAGATTTGGACCGTGTGCGGATGCCATCATCGGGGTTGTAGATCTCCTCTCCCTTCACCATGATGTCCTGCAGACGTTTGTCGTCGGTGTTGAGCCCGTGCTGCAGGAGCTTACAGAGGGCCACCGTGCTGCAGCGGCAAGTCAAGAGAAGGAGGAAACCCACACAGAGTTAAATGAGTTTGAGAAGAAAGTGAGGCATTTCACTTTTTTGTGTTACAGTCAGAGCAGCAAAGTTAGAGAGGAGGCGAAGACCCAGACATAACCGACACTAAGAACTTAAACAGGACAGGGAGTGTGTGGTTTAATGGCTGAGTTTACTGGACTGAAACAAAAGTACATTTTTATTTGCAACTGATTAAAACAAGTTTTTGGTAACATACCCTTTATTCCGTGTACATTTTTGCATTATTCTGACAGTCACAACCTAATTTATATTTAATAGGGACTTTAACATTACTCAATAGCAGCCACACTGAAGAGGTTGCCTGCAGACATAACTCGGTTGTAAAGTTCAAGACAAGTTTTTTTTAATTGACCTAAAAATGTAAAATGTTTTCAAGTTGTTCATTTGTAGATTCAAAGTTTAAAAACATTGACTGACCTGACTTTACCCTCGTACTGTCCGTAGAAAAGGTGCTGCCTGCTCATCCACTCCGTCATGACGAACTCCAGAGCAGGTTTCCCTGTCGGTCCGGGCAGACTGCACAAGAACTCCAAGAGGGGCTCCAGCTGAGAGTGAACCAGGTGAGCGAACACCATGATCAGAGACTACAGGAGGAGGACAAGGACGGAGAAATTATCAGGAGCTCAGGATGCAAACAGCTGGTGAAACGATTCAGCCTCTCAGTGAACTTCTGCACCCCCCTCACCTGCATCACACTCAGGGTCTCTGCCTGCTGCATCTTACTCAGGATGGCTCGGAGGATCTGGTCCAGCTGTTCCCCGAGCTCCGTTCCTGCTCGAGAGATCAGAGTGGACACCAACCTTCCTACAAAGGCGGCTGTGAACTCAGAGGTCCGGGGGTCCAGGAGCTGGTTGACCACCTGCATGACGTACCAGAGCCCGCTGTTTCCCTGCTCGTCTCTCCACTGGGCGATCTGCTCGAGGGCGACTGAGACGTACGCCCGCAAGCACTCGCCGCCATTCTGGGGATGGAAGAGGGAAAAATGGAAAAGATGAATGAGGAAAGGACAAAATCTGGAAATATCTTGAGAAAATGTTGAAAACTGTCGAACTCACCTGCATGATTGCGTTGTCGTCAGTGCGTAGGGTGCACTGTGCCACCACAGGAAACGCCTGACACACCAGCATCTCTGACAGAGGAGGTTTAGTGTTTCGGACGACCGTGGTCAGGATGTCTATGGACGTCTGAGGGAAGAAAAATGACGTATTCAGACAAATTCGATGATCAGGATTTCTATGTGCGCAGGGTAATAACCGATTATTAATCAAATATTCGACCCCACCAGCGGGAAAGACAGAAAGAGACACGCAGAGATCTAGCGGAAGGCGCCTAGTAAGACAACTTTTTTTCCCCCCAGATATCATGAATTATTCGACTTTTCAGGATTTAATGACTATTTAAATATTCGAAAATCATTGCACATCCCTACTTTTTACGTTTTTGTGCCTTTTTACTTACAGCGCAGAGTCCAAATGGAATCTTGTCGGAGGGAGCCTGCATGATGCTGACCAGCGTGGGGATGAGACGCATCTGCATCGGGACTTGGCAGCCTTCAATCTGAGCCAGTTCCTTGAAGATGTCCTGAGCCAGGGACGCCACCACGGGGTCTGGTGGACAGGAGGACAGGAGACAGATCAGACTCATCTTGACAAACCTCTGTTGATGTTTCAGACATTTAAAAAGGACAGATAGGTTAAGTGTAAAAAAAACACATACCGTTGTTGTATTTGAGGAAAATGGCGATGGTGAGGGGGCAGATCTTGTTCTCAGCGCTGGTGGTGAAGGCGGGGTCGACTGTGCAGACGATGCACAGGGTTTCCATGACGAGGGTGAGCACCTCGGAACTGAACTGAGCCGCCAGTTGGACCAGTCCCTCTAAGATGCTGGGGAGGAAAGGCTGGAGGACGTGGGTGCTCTCTGACAGCTTCAGCTGATCACAGTAACTGGAGGATTGAACAGACAGTAAGAGTCACAACAAAGTAGAGGAAACCAGAACATCAAGAGGTTTGATCGTCTGCAAGCTTTAGGGAAAATGTCTCAAAAGAGACAGACTGCTTTGACAATTATCCAAATAAAGACAATCCCTCGAAGGTTGGAACTTTAAGGAGACAGGGCATCACTTTTCTTTAAATGTGTTTCAAGATGCTTGATTTTTAAGAGACAGAGGTGGAAGCACATCCTGATTTCACTAAAGTGTATGTTTGAGATGCTCAAACTAAATGCAGATCCAGGTCCTTCAAACTTTCTGTCGAGTTTGTTTTTTGGTCGCTGTGTTTAAAAACAAAATTACATAACACCTCTGTGTCTGGTTGGCAGCACGGTTACAAATCCGTTGCCAAAACCCGACTCTCTCTCTCACCCCCAGATCGCCCTGACTGCAGAGATGCGGACGGAGGGCGGCTGGCTGTCATGGAGGCCGCTGACTGTGGCCTGGAGGAACTGCTGGATGAGCTCGGGAGACATGGCTGCTGTGAAGCGGCTGGCCGCCCACAGAGCTCGGCCGAGCAGGAACGGAGACGCCGCTGGTCAAGAGGAAACAAAACAAAAGAGACGAAGAACAATGGATGAGAAAACAAGCGGGAGAGGGAGACAACAGGGAGGCGCTTTACTTCACAAAAGAATTCTAACAAGGGTCATTTTAACAACATAATTTAAGTTTGATCAATATTTTTTCATGTTTATTTCTAATAATTTTAATGCTCTTTGAGAGGCTTTTACAGAGGAGTGTACACAGCAGGTGTGTTAGTGTCTGATATGTTTATGTCCTTAAAATCTTCTGTCTTTGACTTTGTTTCCCAGAGAGTGGATTATGTATTGTTGACGAAGTTTGAAGGAGCGTTCACACCAAGCGCAAGTAAAATTACTTGCACCTGGTGTGTACTTCCCATAAGAGTTAGTCTCAAACTCACCTGCCAGGTTGAGATCAGCGAGGATCACGCTGGCCAGGAAACCGTGCATGTCAAACTGGATTCGTCCGTTCTTCACGTTCTCTGTGATGATGGTTTTGACCGAGCCGAGGGCCAACATGCAGGCTTCGTGGATCTTCCACCTTTTCAAAACAAAAATGAAACCCAATAAAAGCAGAGCAGCAGTTGTATGATTGAAACTGAATCCTTCTCTGTCATGCACATTTTTGGAGAGTCTTAGTTCTGGATCATGAGGGGAACGTGGCTCAGATTCGATGAGCTCACCAGTGCTCGTTGCCGCTGTTTTTGGCCTGCTCGGCCTCCTGGAGGTGTCTGGTCGCCGCCGCCGCCAGAGCTGCTGCACTCTCATTCTGAAACTCTGCAGCTACAGCCTGCAAGCAGAGGTCAAAGGTTAGCATCATTATTCACCCTTCTAGGGAGGATTAGAGGCTGCAGAGTGAACCGATGAAGAGCAAAGACCCAATATACTGTAAAACTGTTGTGATGTAAACAAACAGCGGAAGAATCTGACCCTGATTTTACTGCTTTACTCAGCATCTTTGTTCAGCACTGCATAGAAAACTGCTCCTAGATAATTAACCGTTCCCTGTAGGGCTGGGCGATGAAATTAAAATTTACTGATACCAAAATTTATGACAATAAACAATTTCATTTTGCCAGTGTCAATATATTCAGTGTAAAAAAAAATAAAATAAACTAAAGTTGGTTTTGGATGTGTGTAGGTAGGCTATGGTCTCATGTCCCTTTAAGACGCTGTCCTATGTCAGAGACGTGACTCCACCCCATCCAGTCCGTAACAAAGAGGGAAAGACAGGTGAGGAGATGGAGGACGGTTCAAAAGTTGTAGCGGCTGAAGTAGACGAAGTTAATGTGGGAGGGGGTGAGCAGCTTGTGGAGTAGTTACTGTCGTTATTGAGGTGAAACTGCTCAATATATCGTGGTGTTGATTTGAGGCCATATCGCCCAGCCCTAGTTTGAGGCTGTTTCAAAGATTAAAACAACAAGGATGACCTGTGCCTTCATGTTCTCTCAGAAGCTGCTTTTATAAAGATGTAATAAATCGTGTTTTTCTCTCACCAGCAGAAGGTCCTGTGCCGAGATCCTGACAGAATACGAGAAGGTGTCGTCATCCTCGTCCTCGACGAACTGCTGAGGGTTCGCCGTCCAGACTTTGATCTGGAGAAACAAAAAGCAAAACAGTGAAATCTGAACATCACCTTTAAGAACTCAGAATTTAAACCCGTTTACAGCCTGTTTTAGGCCGCACAATAGACTACAAATATTCGTCACCCTATTTGAATAATGGCCAAAGTCATTTTTTGAAGAAAATTGAGTTTCTTAAGCAATTTTACTAGAGATGGTCAGAATTATCAAGAGATGATTTAAGCAAAAAACTAATTTCCATCAAAAACTGACAGGCCATTATTTTAACAAGGTGACAATACTGATATCTTAATATGAGAACTTTGAATACTCTCATCACAAAGTTCTTTATTTATAGCAATAATTTTTGGATTAAAGAGCGTCTTGCAAATACAAGTTATTTGCAACACATGGACCACAGCTGGGAATGAGTTATTTTAGCTAACATTAACAGGACATTAGTGTAACATTACCCTGGACTGTAATGAGTCTGTCACAGTGGAAAGTCTGTTTGCTGACATGCTTTGTTGACACTTCCAACACCCAATGGAGATACTTGTTGAAAAGATGATGTTGTAAAGTGTCTTTCCATCAGTCATATGGAAACCTAAAGCTACGAGTTGTTAGGGAAAATTATGGACCATGCATGCATAAAAAAAGTCCAATACAAATTATATTGTTGTGTCAGTTTTTTCCCTCGGCTTGTATTTTCATATCTCTGCAGCCACTAAGGCGTCACAGTTCCCCCTCACCTGGTCCTCGGTGATCTGCATGTACAGGATGATGTAGTAGATGAGCTCAGGCAGAGCTTTCTTCACCGTGCTCTTGAACTTGTTGTTCTCCAGCAGCGTGTGGACAAACTCGAAGATGCTGAACACCAGGTTCTCGAAGCCCAAAACCTCCCCTGTGAAAACCGCGCAGAACTCCAGGAGATCAGGAAAAGATCTTCTCTAAAAACCTGGATATAGAAGGAGGAAGGATTTTTCTGCTCACCGTCGGAGTCTACAGGGTCGTCCACTTCTTCTGTGTAGTTGACTTCTGTTCGCACATAAGTGAACATCAAGTTAAGGAATCCTGATACTTCAGCTTCAATATCTTGTATTACTACGTTCTCTTATCACAGTTATTGATTGGTCCACTTAGAAGAACCAATCTCAGGACTGGAATTCAAAATATCGTCTAAACACTGTCCTTTTTTTAGTCACATAAAAATGTTTTGATCTCGCTGAGTGAGCATCTGACTCACAGTATAAAGTCTCCTCTGTGTTACAACAACCACGCTGATTCGTGATTACCACGCAGTCATGATGCCCTGCAAAACTTGCTCAAATGGTCACGGCGTGCTTGACACTTCAAAGTAAGATTTTAACGCTTGGTCAGAGTTGTCACTTGATTCATGAGATCGAGCTTGAAAGAAATATTATTCACACTTATTCATTCATGTTAACTGCTGACATGGACACAGATCCAACTTTGGATTTTAGCAGAATAAGTTCACTCAAAAGAAAACAGATGCTGTTATGAGCCTTATTTGAGGCTATAGAGGGGCTTTTTGGTTGAGGTTTGCACTTGGAGATGTAGACCGCTGTGTATTGCTATCATGTGGTCGTTACTAAAGTCGTGTGTGTTGTGTGTGTTTGACCATGACTTAAATTTATGCCAGAATATCCCTTTAATGCTTTTTACTATCACTGTAGACAATTCAGCCTGCAGGGAAGAAGCAGGTAGAATTTCCAACAACCTTGTCCTGCAGAAACATTCAGTCAAAAAGGATATAAAGCTGCACTTTCGGTCAGTGTATTCCAAACGATGGGTAAAATCTGCTGCATGGAGGACACCATGGGTTTGGGGAAGTTCTTCACCAACGCTGTGACTGCCTGAGAGAGCATCAAGGTGGAAAGATGTCATTGCACTGATCGGGAGAAAAACTGAAACTTCAGTTTCTAAAAAGGACAAATATCATAAAAACTTTCGGGATTGAAAATGTGTTTTCTGATTTCTAAAATTCGCTTTGCCTCGCTCTTTACTCCACAGCTTAATATGTACAGTACAGTTCAGAATTTGTGACATTATAGGGTGTCGGGGTGCCGCTATTTTTATCCCTGCAGAGTCTCCTCTCACCTTTAGAACCTCCATCTTGAGCCCGCTATCAGACGAGGGCCCATCAGGCATCTGCAGAGCCTGTACAAACGCCTCTGTGAACTGCTGCACCACGGGGAAGATCAACGCTTTGGCTGCACCCTAAACAAAAAAAGAAGTGCCATTAGAAACTGAATTTTAGAACCAATTAGAAACAAAATTTTTCATGAAATACAAACAATCAATGAAAGAAACGTGATGACAATCTCTTACCTTCTCAAGCTCTTCAATAGCACAGATGAGGTTGGCACAGGTGGTGAAGATCTCCACCGCTCTGGATCGGGTACGAATACTGTACACCTGCAACAAGGAACGTTAAATGCAGCATTAGTTTCACTCTGGACAAACACAGCACAGAAAATCAGGTTTCATTTCGCTTTGTCCTCCTATGACACGGGATATTCAGGTTTTAACTTTCTTTGTTTTTCATGATAACTTCAGGGAAGTACGACATCTCTTTGTTTAAATAAGAAGGTACATTTTCATATGAGGAAGTCGTCTGTCTTGGAATAAGGGAAATAAAAAGCAAAGAAGGAAACATGAGCTGTAACATCACCTCAGCCATGGTGAAGATTTTGTACATTTCAGGCAGGATGACAGGAGCCACCAGCGGCATCTGAGTGTCTGTCACCTCTCGAGTAAACTCTGCGAATAACACACAATGTTATTTACATTTATTTGTTGTCAAGGAGGTAAGATTTATGCCCTGAGTATTTACACACAAACTGTGTTCAACCAAAAGAGACAAATTTGGGAAGATTCAGCTCAAAATTAAACTTCAAAATGACTTGATTTGTAGTTCTGGTTCTTATATTTGTTGTAGATCTAAGAGTGAATGCCGCTTGTGTGTTAATTAGCTTCAACAAATCCTACTAATATTATATACTAAAGCTGGCAAGAAAAAAAGAGACTTTTATTTACTTTTATTAAAAACATCTTTTTCTGATGATCAAAGTAACCTTTTTTTTTAAGGGGTTTGTCACGAGTATTCAAGATGTTATACCGGTTCTTCTTCACATACCCGTGAGGACCCTCATGGCCCCGTGTACAGCGTTTACATCCCCGCTAACCAGCATTTCCATCAGGAGCGTGAAAAGCTGCGGCCAAGCCTCGGGCCAGTCCCAGTGAGCGATAGCCGAGACGGCGTAGGCAACGCTGGAGCGGACTTTGCTGATCGCTTCCCGGAGACCGTTGGGCAGCAGTTCCCTGATGGCTGCTTTAGCCTGGAGGAGAATGACGGGAGTTCAGTCACAAATGAAGCGGATTAAAAGAAGTTAGTTTAAAGTGAAAAAGGGTTTACCTGGTCCGTAGTTTCAGGAGGTCTGAACTTCTCCGACTGGGAACACCAGTGAGTCTCCACATACTGCTTCAGGATGACGGACGCCAACTGTAAACATACAAGAAGACAGACACCGGTAAGAACTTTGATTTTCTTTGAGTTGCACCTGAGTAAGGAAAAAAGTAGCAACAATTATGACGACATAAAAGCAAATTAAAACTCTTTTTTTCCTCACCTGACGGATCGCGAGAGCTCCCTGAGGATCGACTGTGAGTTCAGCCAGGTGGACGCCAAACTCTGAGCGACAAAGAAACCGATCAGAGCTCAAAAACAATCAATAATAAATAGATCAGTATGTTGCAGCTAGGACTCACATTAAAAAATGAGCCATGGTATTTGTTTCTAAACAGAACATCTGTGGGTATTTTCAAACGCTGATATACAAAGTTTAGGTTTAATTTCCCGGGATCATTTTCGCCACAGCTGCGACATCACAACAAGGCCACAAAGCAGCGTGGTTCGAACCCGGCCCAACAGGCATGCAGAGATTAACATACAGTTCAGGATCAGCCTCAGCTCTGAACCGGCTCCCTCACACTGGGTTTTAGTAAGAGTGACATCAGGCGCCAGAAGACAATGTTAGTGCTGACAATCCTACAAAGTGGTTGCCTTATAGAGAAAGGGGGGCCGGCGGAAAGGGTCGGCCTCTCTGCTTCGCTGCGCTCGCTTCGACAGCCCGCCTGCCTGCACAAATAAACCTTTCACCGGCGGTGAAACGACAGTTTGACAGACAATGGAAAGACTGATGGATGGTCAGCTAATCCACTGGAACTGTATCCTTCTGAACATCAGCTTGTTTACTTCATTCTTGCTCCACTCTACTCTAAACGTTAAGAATCAATCACTGACAGACATATACTCGACTTAAGGGGACAGTTTTCTAAAATGTGGACGTCTGCCTGCTGTTATGTTAATGACATGACATTAATCAAAGGTATTTTAATCACTGACAGCAGAATAATACTTTAAGTCCCAATAACGCTATATTATTTACAGATGCTACAGTTTCTATTACATTTTTAATTAGATTATTTTTTTACAGTCAAATTGAGCTCTCGATATTTGGGTTTTTTGCAGACATCATTACACTTCCGGGCCGCTTGATTATTTGGAATGAAAATCATTTCACTCATATTAAGATATTTAACACGATTACTGACTAATTGGACATCTGCATTGGATGCAATTAGTGACTTCATCAACAGTACATATAGGGTCCCAGTCATAGTACTAGACACCAAACATCTTTTTAACTTTCCCTAATTTCTTTAGCAAAGAGACTAAACACAACTCACCTACTCTCTTCCAGCAGCCACTTGTTTTTAGCGAGAACTCAGGCCAGTCCATTACAGACTGTTGCGGGGTGACGCAGCTCAAGGAAGAACATTTATGATCATTTCTTCATGGAAATACAATCAGACTGAGACGCTAAGGCAGAAGAACTACCGCGTCTGCAGTGCAAAATGATTAATATGGGCTGTGTCCGAAATGGATCCCGAACCCCTATATAGGGACTATATGGGGGTTAGCGCCGTTTTGAGGGCTGTCCGAAACCTGAGCAATCATTTCAAATGCCCCATAAAGGCGACTCAAAAATTCCCATAGAGCATTGCAAATTGTAGTGACCATCCGATGGTCATTCACCGGTGGTGGGCATCCCGTCATGCATTGTGTCTCGCTATATAGTGTCCGAAACCTCAGGTGATTGAGCTCACTACATAGTCAGCTATATTAGGGGTTAGGGATTGAGTGATTCATTTGGGACACATCCATAATGATTATTACTTCCAGGAAATGATAAAGAAACAATCATGAATGTTCTTCCTTGAGCTGCGTCACCTCGCAGCAGTCTGTAATGGGCTGGCCTGAGGTCTCGCTACAAACAAGCGGCTGCTGGAAGAGAGACGGTGAGTTGTGTTTAGTTAAAAAGATGTTTGGTGGCTGGGTCCCTATATGTGTTGATGAAGTTAGGTACTGTTCTGAGCATTATTTGTGGCTATAGAGTGGCGTTTTGGTTGAGGTTTGTTTATGGCTCCTCAGACCACTGTGTATTGCTATCGTGCGGTCGTTACTAAAGTTGGTATAACTAGAGAAGGAAAGCGGTCGGCAATATTCATCTCTCGAGGGGGTGTTGAGCCGGAGTATCCCTTTAAGTCCTTTTTTGTGTAGCCTTCTCATACTGTCCTCGTGGTTCTGGTTCTGATGCAAGAAGTTAGCAGCATGTTAGGCGGGATCTCCGGGAGGGTTAAGGGGGGGGGGCCCTCTCCCTTTGGAGACAACTTCGCGGGAAAGCCTGTCACGGTTACCACAGCAACAGCGGAATTAAATGATATGAGTCAGTTGATGAGAAGCCTTGTCTCCTGAGATCTTGTACAAAGTCTCTCGGTTCTGGTGCTTATCGGGTTCTAGCAGAAGTCGGTCCGGGTGAGTAACAGTTGTCATGACCCGGTCATCGATTAGAGTCAATAACAAATATCGTGATGCTAACTGGAGGTTTTTATTAAGAGTCCACCCTGTTGCTGTGCTAACATGTGCTTAATGAAACTCAATGTTAGCTCTGGTTAGTGTTTTTCTGCACACTCAGGTTTGTTTTTTTCACTCAGGATTGATAACACCGCGGTCCAGATGTAGGAGTTCACTTTTAAGCTAACTTGTCCGTCTCTAACTTGTGTAAAAACGGCCCTGCGCTAGCTTAAAGTAGCCGAAACAGTCCCCTTGCTAACAGTACCACAGTTAGCTCCCTCCACAGGTAACTCTGGCCCGGATAGAAGCAGCACACAGGGGTCCACATGGAGCTCGTCCCCGCGGAGGAGGCCCACGCCGTTTATGAGGAAACTGGTTACCCACTCACCCTCTGTCACTTCCAGCACTTTGATCTGCTCCTCCGCGGCGGTGCGCACTTCTTGAACCGGGGAAAGGATAGCCGTCAGAGTCTCGATTAGAGCCTCTTTCAGTCCCTGCTGGACCGGACCGGCGGCCGAACCGGACCGGGCACTACCCGCCGCACTCATGCCTACTGTGTTCGTACCCGCAGCCCGCTAGAGAGTCAGACCACCACCGGCAGCCACCAACTGGGGAGGAGCAGGGAGCCACAGCGAGCACAGGAGCGAAGCGCGCCAATGCATGGAAACGTGGAGGCGGGGCTTACGAGAGGAAGAAGAACGTTTTAACGTCCGGTTCGAAGGATGTTTGACTCTAGGATGGAAGGCGGCCATCTTGCTACAGGCGGCTCGCACACTCATTAGCCTACAGGGCATGTAGCAGTTAAATAACCATAGATTAATTAATCAAAGGTCGAAAAGAAAGTCAAATACTTGGGGATTGTCATCTCCAAGGACAAAAAAGGAATTATGTAATACTGTGGATGGCTACAAAGAGATGTCTCCATCTTTGGAAGGGTTTTGTTATCAAAAATGGATAGTCTGTCAAGACTCATCGACCCTGCCTTTTCTTTACCAATCTCAATTAAAAGAATTAAGATGATAAATACTATAAATATTAGATTCATATGGAGGAACAGGTGTCAATATAAGAAAAAATGAGATGGTTAAAGTGTATGAAGACAGGGGTATAAATGTGATTGATTTTGATGTTATGAATGGCGTCTTAAAACTAAAATGACTGAAATCTTTTCTAACTGATAGGGATTCATTTTGGTTCACTGTTCCTAATTTGGTTTCCAAAAAACTGGGTGGAATAGGTTTTTTGCTACGATGTGATTTTGAATGCAAATCGTTACCGGTTAAACTTCTTCTCAGGCAAAAGAGGCGGCTCTGCCCCTAAGTCTTTATTCTTAGACCAGTCCAACTTATCATCCAGATGTACACCTAGGTATTTATATGATGTCACCACTTAGATGTCCACTCTACAGGTGTTCACTGGCTGAAGAGGGGACAAAATAAATAAATAAATAAAATATAGGCTGTCAGACAAGAAAATAAAATCTCGGTTGTGGTCTCAGCCTTGACAAAGCGACCCAAAGTTAGCCCTTGTGCACAAATAGTGATGAAACAACTGTGCTGCGCGATTAAGTCTTATTTTCTTAAAGAAAATCTGCTATTTCAATATGTTCAAGCATCCCGACTCATAGCCACGTTATTAAGGTCTGTAATAAACAAAACCATTTGTAAATTTGTCAAGATTTCAGCGAGTTAGGAGTATTTTTGATCATGCAGAGGACTAAATTCCCCTCAGCTACCATAGAGCGTACCAGAATGGTATACTGGAGTAAGATGGCCGCCGTGAAGAGACGCCGTTGACTTCACCTCGAGTCATCTAGCCTTTCTTATTTATGTCTATGGGTTTAAGCATTTGATGACGCTTCACAGCCAATCAGAGGCGAAGGAGGCGGGACCTTCCCCCAACCATCCTACGAAAAAGAATGTTCCGGTTCCTGCCTCCAGCCCACGTGGGTTTTTTCATTTAAATGTTTTCTGATCCTATCCTCTGGCTCCCTCTAGTGGGGCGGGGTAAAGTGAGGCCCTCAAATGGGCTGCAGTCTTAATTTCTACCCAGTCAGTACAAGTACAGCAGCGTATCCACCTACAGAACCCAGGACCTCTGAAGACCAGGGGCTTCTTTCAGTGAATTGTCAGGTTTATTCTGCCCCACTTATGTTTGTTTCTAAAGACCATGACGGTGATTCACATGAGCCGGCAAACAAGTGAGAACTCATCTGCCTTACATAGATCTAAAGGCATTACCTTTGGATGTTCTAAAGCTCCTGAGACACTTTGCAGGAGCTTTAAATCAACAAAATCTCCAGTTGCGACATCCTCTAATAATTTCATGATCTGCTTCCATTCTGAGTTTTGTGAGAACTAGATTCATTATATTGAGTGGACAGATTCACAGTAGCCACACTGCAACTATTGTTATGTAAAACACCTGCTTTGGTATCACTGAGTTAGTCAAATTCATGGGTGCAATGCAAACTTTGTTGCCCAAACTTTACATATATTTTACTTATAGTTTGAATTAACAGTGCAGCCTGTTTTGTACTTGCTGTGATTGAGTCTCACTGCAGGTTTCTACCTATTTATCACTTGACACCAGGATTTTTGTCAGCCTCCCTGTATCTGTCAACAAGTGTAGTCCCATCTGAGCTTTAACCTTAATCTTTGTCTCTTCATTCTTTTTAGAGTGACAATCACCCAAAGTGAGGTGAAACAGTGTTGACATTATTTGTGGAGGTGTCAGTCTGCTGACACTGTAACTGTTGGATCATGTTACTGATGAAAGAATAACCAGCTTCACCTGATAATCCTGCTGCTCCTAGAAGGAGATGGATGGAGTTGCAGCATATGACACCGTCATTCTCTTTTGGAGCTCCGGGAAAAGGATTTATCTGGATGCACAATCCACACGATGAGCTTTCACTCTCCACAGGTGTTACATTTCTTCTTCCAGGAGTCGGGGAGCCGATCATGAGAAGACCATGGCAGAGTTTGGATGGCTTTTAAAAAGCATTTGTCGACACATTTTCACAAGTAGGGCAGGTGTGGGTCTGAATGCAGTGAGAGTTTTGTTTTCTGGACATGTTATGTGTTAAACACTGCAGAGAAATGAGCAGAACTCCAACTGTCCCTGAAAATCCCACAGCCTTTTCATGAATCTGTGTCCGTCAGGGTTGTGCTACATATTAGTAATAAACATCTTCAACCTCTTGTAATTTTATGTGACTAAAACTAAAAACAACTGACTCAAAAATGGAATTCAGTTACCTGAATATTAAAACAATAAGCTCCTGGTAGGTTTTTGTTGACAGTGGACTACATATAAAGCTAGCCTAAAACCTTATGAGTGTTCTGTGGGCCCTCTTTTTGACCTGTATTAAAGCCTGGAATACAGTTTTCTCTTCTTGACTTGAGGAATACTGAGTGTACAAATCTTTCATATGACCATGAAGGAGCACGTACTTGCATTTTTGGCAAAACGATCGTCTACAAAGATGTCGTTTGAAGGACAGATTTTAACAGAAAAGGTTAAAATACTTCTGATTGATCCAAGAAAACTAAACTCATGTGTAAGCAGGAGGTGATTTTGGAAGTTTTGCCAGAAATACATTTGACTTACGTAGACTGAGCAAAATCTAATCTAGATTTATAAATGCATGGAGAGAGACTGAGTGAAATAAATGATAAAAAAAGATTAAAATTTTGATTCAAGACATTTTAGAGGCAATCCTTTTTTAAAACACTTGTTTTAGTGAATCCAAAGGTTTGATTTTATGTCAGATTTCTGAATGTGCCAATATCTCTTTTCCTACGCTTGCTTTTCCTCTGTTGTGTTTAACTTTACGTCGTTACGATCTCTTTATTTCATTGTGTTTTTCATTGCTGCTGTATTGAGGAATGTGTCTAATATTTAGCTTACTTACTTATATGAGAGATGTGGGCAAAATTAACTATATTCATGAGCATTGTAACCTCTGTGAAGCTGTAACTGCTTGTTTATCAGACTGCATTCATAGGTGTACCTAATGAACTGACATGTCGTGTAAACCTCAGATGACAGGAGCCTAAGAATGAACCAAACACTTATACAACTGTTTCTTCTTCTTTAAGCAAAAAGAATTTGGTTTATGTAGAAACAAGCAATGTTTTGCAACTGGATATTTCCCTCTCCTTGGAAAGAGTTAAAGCTAAAAATAAAAAATAAAGAAATGTATACCCATCCCATCACTCCCAGGATCACCACCTTTCTGAAATGTACGCAGATGTTACTGACAGAAAGCAAAGGAAACCTGGGGGACAGCTCACATAGGGACATAGATATAAGTGTACAGTACATATATATAAAATATAAAATCTGAAATATATTTTATATATATTAAATTGTGTTAGGGTTCAGTATCTTTCACTACACAGCATTAAGGTGGTGTGTCTGATTATCTCTTTTTTTTCTTCATTTTTTTCAAATCCTATTATATAAACCAGAGGAGAGTCAAAGCAAACAAATGAATCAATGAACAAACAAATGTGGAGGGGGGGGAAGGAAACTAAGCAACAGACGAAAGGCCTCCGCCCCGATCCGATGCCCCTCCCCCCGGCCTCCAGCAGGGGGGGCGAGCTAGCACGGACGAGGTGGGACAGACCCGTCCAGCTGTACAGCGCAGTGAAACATAACTTACATATTAGCTCATTTTTTTACACGTACAGTCGTGATCAAGGCACAGGGATCTTCTACAAGTTATTTTTTTCTTCAATAAAGTTGTACAAAATAATACATTTTACAGTCTGTACAAGAATAATAGTCCAGCAGTAAAATAAAGACAGACGTACTTAAAGCCGGGAGGAGGGGAGGATCGTTGGACTGGGAGAGGTGAGAGAGTAAGACGAAAGATATGGATGGGAAGGACGTTGGGGACAGATGAGGGCTTGAGCGTGTGTGTGTGTCTGTGAGTGTGTGTGTGTGTTCCCAGGTTCGAGTTTCATCCAGTCTTGATTATGTCGCTTCTTTCACTTCATGCTTTCCTTTTGTGTTTGTGTGTTTTTTTCTCTTATTAAAATGAAACCTCTCCTTTAATTCTCATACGCTGAATAGTTTTCAAATAGCAGCAGAGGGGGAGTCAGGGGCGCGAGGATGTATATACCTGTGTGTGTGTCGATATGTGTGTGTGTTTTGTGTGTAGATATGCGGGTTTTAACGGTGCACAGAGGCAGATCACACACACACAGTGTACACCAACACAGAACATGGGGTAAAAACTAACATAAACTTAAAAGTTGAATTGTGTTATTACAGGAATATATAATATTTATATTTATATATATACATATTTATATACACACATATATAAATATCTATATATATAGCTTGGATTTTTTGCACTGCATGAAGTTCACTGGTATGCATGAATTTATGCATTGTATGATATTTTTCTTCTCTTTTTCTCCTTTTTTCTTTGAGTTGGTTTCTGCCGTTCCTACTCGCTCGCTTTTCTTGAAGAGCAGGTCATGTGAGCCGTGTGGTCTAATGTTCAAGTCACGCTTACGTCCACAGGCAGCCGTTCGTGAATTAGTTTGTCTGTTTTGGGCACGAAAAAGGCTCACAGCCCTCCTTTTGTTTCAGTTTGCCGCCCTACATGTCCATCGTGTTCTCCTCCTCCTCCTCCTCCTCTTTCGGCTTCGTCCTCAGCACGCGGTGAATAAACTCCTCTCTCTCTCTCTCTCTTTCTTAGAATACATTATTTAATTCAGCCTCTGCCATCTGTTTAAAGCAGGACTTGGTTTTGAAAAACGTCTCTCTGTGTGAACGTGTGGCTTCGATATGAGACATAAACCTTTAAAATGGTTCTGAATGTCTTATTCTATAGCGTGTGTGTGTGTGTGTGTGTGTGTACCTGCGAATGTGTGTGGTCATAAATCTTAAAGAGAGAAAGATCACTTAAAGGAGGGAAAGCCTGCACTGAGGGATTCCAGTCCTGACCCTCGATCCTGGGTCAACACGTAGCTGAGTACAGCAGTTAGTCCAGGCTAAAAGTCGATGATGATGTCCTCTTCCTGTCGTCGTTTTTCCCACTGCTCTGTCTCTTTGAAATCGTGATACTGGGAGATGTAGGAGTTTTATCGGGTAGGAGGGGAGGACAGGCGGTCTGTCAGTCTATCACTCTGGTATTTGGTGGGTTGAAAGTGGAAGGGTAGTTTGGCTAACTGGTCGTGGGGTCGTAGATAGGTAGGTCGGTAGGTAGATAAGGAGGCGTGACGCCGCTGCCCATCACAAGAGCTCGTACTGCCGTAGGTGCATCCTCTGTATGATGTCCCGACAGTCGTTGAAGACGCGGCGGATGTTTTCTGTGTCGACCGCGCAGGTGAAGTGAGGGTAACAGTAGTGCCGTCCGTCCCCGCTGGCTGTGCTGATCCTCTGAAACAAACAAAAAAAAACAACAAGTTAGCCCTGGTTCTTACAGCAAATATTGACCATCATGTTCCTCGTGTGTTCATCTGGGTGAAAAGAACAATAAGTAACTTCTTTTTCAGCTCTTTATTTGAAAATTTGAACTATTTATTTCCTACTTGTGGTTAGATGATCACCTTAAATCCAGTGCTGTTAACTTAAGGCTAACTTTCTCCATAAGTGTATGTGAAAGCACAGAGAATATTTTGTGAGGGAGTATCCTGCACACACACACACACACTGAGATAAACACATGAAAGTGGCCATCTGCAAGATTCCCTTAGATTTGGGTGACATCTTTGGTGCAAAGCTGTCACTTGTGAGGTTTCTGCTCAGCACATCCAAAAAAAGCTCTCACCAGTCACACAGTTTGGATGTACCTGTGATGTTTTTACTTTGCAGTAAATCTGGACCTTTAGATATGAAATCCATGATTCATGTGCTCTACATCACCAAGAATTAAATATCAGTCAGGCATATAGCAAAACTATGGAAGTGTATTGCATTCACCAAAAAAATAAAGAAAATAATTCTCTGTTTTTCAGAGTAATTTTTTTTGTTCTGTTCTTCGGACAATTTTTTTTCCATTTATTTTTCTTTTCTGTTTTTCAGACAATTTTTTCTGTTTTTCAGACTTTTTTTTCTTTTTGTTTTTCCAGACTTTTTTTTTTCCTGTTTTCAGACTTTTTTGTTTTTGTTTTTTTCCAACTGAATTTTCTATTTTTCAGAATTTTTTTGTTTTGTTTTTCAGACTTATTTTTTTTCTGTTTATCAGATTTTTTTTTCAGACTTTTTTCGTTTTTCAAACTATTTTTTTTCTTTTTCCAGACTTTTTTTATTTTTCAGACTTTTTTTGTTTTGTTTTTCGGACTAATTTTCATTTCTGTTTTTCATACTTTTTTCCAGATTATTTTTTTCTGTTTTAGACTAATTTGTGGTTAATTTTATCTTATTGTATGAGTTTCTCACAGGATTTTTAAGTATCTCGCTTAGATAGGAAAAAAGACAGGAAAAAAAAAGAAAAAAAATATAAGTAAAAAAAGAAAAAAGTCAGTCAGAAAATAGAATAATCAGAAAAACAGAAAGAAAAAAAATTTGTTTCCCTTTTTTTGTAACTGAATGCAATATGCTTCCATACAAAACAAATTGATTTAGTATTCAGTTAAACTTGAGCAGAATTTCTTTTTTTAATTTTATGGACTAAAGATGACGATCATCATAAACAATCGTCATAAACAACACTGTGAGGTCAAAATACCCTTAAATAAGCTGTCTTCATTGTACCTGATTTTACTTACATTGCTGTATAAATATGTGCTGTGCAACACATATACAACAATGAAACAGGTAAAAATTAACCTTTGAACGCACCAGGAACTCATCTCTGATAAAGTATTTTGCCCTTGTGACGCGGGGATCCTCGCCTGGCTCCGGTATTGCTGTTGGAAGAGAAAACAAGAGAGTCATTTCTGCTCTGTACCAGTAAACAGTCTGTGGCTTAACTACTTCTACAGAACAGGAAACATCAACACTGAAATGAAACTGGTTTCAGTTGGTAAAGATGGCGACAACTTAATGAAATACTTTCACCGGTGTCTTTAATTCAGAAACTTCAAATCTGTATTTCAGTCTCATTATTTTCTGTTCACTGAAACCAAACTCCAACTTTAAGATCACAATGCAACTTTAACCATCGTTAAAGTTGCTGATAACTTCTGAAAGCCAGTTTTAATGTGCTTGGTTTTAACTTTGATCGCTTTAACCATTGTGTGTGTATGTCATTATAATGGTAAGCATTCCCAAAAGTGAAGACTGGCAAAAACAAACTCAGCAGCATCACAAAGTCAAGGTCCAGCAGATGGAGATTTTTCAAGGGTTCTCGTTCAAAAACAAGAGGGGAGGTTTGTTTTGATTGGACGGCCGCAGATACAGCAGGGTTAACTCCTTACCATCATCTGGTGTAGTGTAGCGAGCAAACTCCGGGAAGTAGTCCTCGATTTTTGATTTTCCTGCCAAAACCTTCTCGGCGAGCAGGTCCTGTTTGTTCAGAAAGAGGATTACCGAAATGGTCCGTAGCCACCTGTGAGGGGAAGTGGAGAGCGAGTTGGGAGCGTTATTTCTCTTGACTTTAGTTTGGGACCAAAAACAAGTTAATATCCATGGTTGTTTTATATTTTAATGCCCAGGACTGCTGGTTTTATAAATGCATTAAAGTTCTTCTTATATACCCCAATAATCATAATAACGATCATTGCCCGTATCTCTTTTGTCTTTTTACAGCTACCTCTAAAAACAGAGAAAAAGTGCGACTACTCGGTTATTAACCTGTTGTTCCAGATGTTCTTGAAAAGGTTGAGAGCTTCCTGTAGTCTGTTGGTCTGATTGTCTTCTCTGATCACCATGTTATAGCTGCTACTCGCCACCACGAAGATGATAGCCGTCACGTCTGCGTCACACAAAACACACAAACACATCAGAGGCCAACAACAGAAAAAGCAATTTATCATCAAAATAAACAAAACTGGATAAACTAGAGACCAAGTGTTTGGTTACAAATACATTTATCTCTTATTGTTTATTCTGAAAATACAGACGTCTTGTCTGCAAACGTACCGTTAAAACACTGGATCCATTTCCGGCGTTCATCTCTCTGACCTCCAACATCGAACATACTGCGACACAAAGACAGGTCAGAGTTTAATCAGAGAGGGTTTTGATATGTGAAGGTAACTCAAAGTGCTTCTTGTTCAGTAAAACTAGTTCATTCTTTCATTTTTCTGTTTTTCTAACAAAATGATGATGAAATTCTGTTCTTCCTTAACTTTAATTCTGTTCTCAAAAGATGTAGCGATTGGTTACTCACTGGAAATTGACTTTGTCTATTTGAAATTTTGTCTCAAAGATCCCGGACGTCAGTACTCTGCATCTCAACAGGTCCTAAAAAATAGAGAGTGAACGAGCGTGTTTAAGGAAACAAACTGGGACAAGAGAGTTAAGAGAGAATATGAGACCTGAGGAAGATGACATGAGGTTATAAAAAAAAAAAAGGAAAAAATCATAATGACGAGTATAAAATGAAAACTATAGGACGAGTAAATAAAAGATAATATAAAATAATTCAGGATGGATCTGAGAGTCTGAACTCTGGGCAGAAATTATCAAAGCTTCCATGAACACGACTGTTTTCTTCAGTCTCAAATTGTAGATCCACAATTCTAGATACAAAAGATGTAGATGTTTGTCATGCTGTGGTGGGTCAAACCATGATAATATTTAAGATCCAATTCTGCTTAGAAGTTCCAAAAAGAGATGTTTACTCTGTGTGACCTCTTCTGGATGAGACTGATCGCTAATTTTGTCGAAAAAAAAAATAAAAAGAAAAAAAGAAAATCTCTGCAGAAAGGGGATAAGTAACTGACAAATAACTTTCATCAGATCTAGGGAAGCCTGTAGTGTTGTAATGATAACTAAAAAAATTACATAGGGTAGTTTTTTTAATGAATGAATCAAAGTTTGTCTACAAAAATGAAACTTATAGAATATTTAATATTTAGTTATCTGACTGGTTTGATCAGGAGGTGGTTGCAAAATAATCAAACTGTTTTTTTTACCTATTTTTTTTCTATAAAGTCACTAAAAACAGTTCAATTGTGTTTCCACAGCAGAGCAAAGCTGTAGACGGGGTGCTTTAAAATAAGAGGATCATTTTTTCACACTGACCTGATCAGTGGGTGTGTAGTCGTGCTGCCGGACCACGTCGATCCTGTCTAAGAAACTGTAATAAAAACAGAAGAAAACACACGGTTAGACCTTTAAAACACAAGAAAATAAAACAAGAACAGTTCGATAGAAGAATACAGGGACACACATCGTAAAATAAGACGTGACAACACTTCAAAGTCCTGACTTACTGTCAGAGCTGTGTTCATGTGTCAAGTACAAACAGTATAGCCTCCTCCACACAAACTGACACACACACACACACACACACTCCAGGTAAATCCCAGTAGAAGCAGGATAAAGATGGAGGAAGCCGCTCCCTGATCGTCCACCAGGGGGTGTGTGTTTTAATTCACAGAGAGATCAGAGGCAGCCGGTCTGAGTCACCAGCAGCCGTTTGCTCTGTCAGACCAGAGGAGCCTCGTCAATGGAGCTGCTGTAGTAGTACTGTGCACAGGAGGAGGAGAAGTGTGTGTGTGTGTGTGTGCGCGCGCGTGTGAGAGAGAGTGTGTGCACACATCTGTGCGCAGTGGCAGAGTGTGTGTGCGTGGGTGGGTATGCAGGCCTACAGTGAGTTCAGATTTGCACGGCGCCGGCCTGAATGCATGTTAATTGTTCCAGAGAAGTGGCCTACATTGTTGCTGCTTTTTTTAAGGCGTGTGAGCCGCTCTGATGTTTTCAGGATGACTGTGTGCGGGTCACCTGCTGGAGGTGTGGACCGCAACGAATCGAGGTTTTAAAAACCGGCTCCTTAAAGACTTCTGACACTTTGAAAGAAGACAAATGTCCTCTCAGATATTTAAGAAACGTTCAGAATCGGTATTAGAGAGTCAGATTCAGACGAGAACAGTGAGGACAGAGTTTGAACTTTAAGGTGAACAGAATAAACTCAGTGTTGACAAGAAACAGGAGCTCTTCAGGTTTAATCTCTGAGAGGAAAAGGTGATGGAGGATCATAAACAGGTTTTCCTACAATAATCTGCCGAATAATGAAGCAACATACAGAAACGTATGAGACCTTCGTGAACAGATTTAACAGAGGTAGAAGCGTCCTCCATATTCAGGCCAAAAGACACATTTCTAAAATACAACATGAAGCTACAGAGCATGAAAAAGCAGAAAAAGGTCCAAGAAAAATCAGGTTTTATTTATGAGTGAACTACCTGCCTGACTATTTTTTCCTCCAGCGTGGTCAGAAGTTGAATCTCGAGTCAGTTTGGAGATAAACAGGAAATTAAACGACAGTACGGAGCAGTGGGCGGAGGAGGTCATGGTGGATTTTGATTCTTAAACTTCTTATTTTCTTTTTTATTTTATGGCTCATTTTTCTGATCAATTCGTCAGTTTAATAAAGAACAGATCTTTTATAAAACAAATCAACCCCTAAAAAAAAAAAAGGACACATTAAAGAGTGAAGTGACTGTTTGTGTAATTAGCTTGTACCTAATTTGACAACATGATGAGACAGCCTTCAGCTGACCTTCAGTTTAGGGTGATCCTGTTTAACTTGAGAGCGGATCTCCTCCTCCGTTTGATCCCTGCATGTCTGTCTGTGTGTGTGTGTGTGTTTACTCTTAATCCGCCCGCCGCCGCACTTACAAGCAGAAAGAGAATACGCTCCCTGGTAGCTGCTTCTCAGGGCAGAGGTATGTAACCCCCTGTGAGATAACCAGGAATGTGGCGGGCAGGGGTGAAATGTGACAGGAGGGCTGCAGGTAACACACACACTCACACACACACACGCATGGAGGCTGGGTCTGCTGGAGCTGCACTGAACCGGGAGATGAAGAGGGGGGAAACGGCTCTGACTCAGGAGGGAGAGTGAGACTCAAAGAGGAAAAGTTTGGGGAACAAAGTGACGCCCACGTGCATTTCTGACAAAACACACACAGATGTACTCGAGCAGCTCAAAAGTCCGGCCTCGTATCCCCCGACTCAGACCCTCTCCGATTATCTCACATCATCCCCGCTTACTGTACATCCCCCCCAGACTCATAAATAACCTACAGTGACAGATCTAAACCTGCAGCTCTACAGTGACAGAGTTAACATGGCCGCCGCCGTCGTCGACATCTGCCGAGGCCAAACTCTTGTTTATCTTCAGCGCTGGTCTGAGGCGACGACACGCCCAGGACAAACACACAGCAGCTCAATTTTTAGCCGTTCTCCCTATTAATAGGAGAAGTGCCAATAATAACCTCGCAGAGTAAGTCGGACTAAATAATAGTGGCTGCCCCAGTAACAGAGAGGGCTGCGGTGTTATGTTTAACCTGTCAGGGTTATTCTGGGGCTGCAGACACGCTGACTTCAACTCTGGAAATACACACACTGCTCTTGTCTGGTGAGTGAAAATAACCCACTATTTACAAGAAAAGATTAAATGGATTCTTCACTTTAGGGATTAGTTTTGTATCTTTTTGCACGGTTGGCAAATTCAACAATTACTGACAGACGAATGTAAACCATCATTTACTTCATATGAAGCTGTTTTTTCATGAATAAATGGAAAATATCTTTTTTTTTTTAAGCTGTAAATAAAAAAATTTAAAGAATGTTAAATTGGAACTATTTTCACGCCATTTTGGACAATTTTGGGAAATGATAAAATTATTTTCAGCTTTGATTTTAAAATTCAAATTTTTTTTTTAAACGTTTTTTTAATCGAACCCCCGACTTCTCCCTGACTTTTCTGATAAACAGCTTTGAAAAATATATTTAAAGGACTTCCACTAACAAATTTAACCCAACCAAAGGCAGCGTCAACTCATGCTTAATGTGGAGAAAACTAAACTCATGTTGTTTCCATCTACAAGAAACACTGTCAGAGAAAATTGTTAATATTGACGGTCAAGAAATTGAGTTTGTGTCTTCTTTTCTTTCTGAAAACTTGTCTTTTAAAGAACATATTCAGCATGTTGTTAGAAAGCTGAAAACAATTCCTGTTTCTCTTTTAATGTTACAAAGAGACTTGTGGAGTCGACATTCTTACCTCCTCTTGATTATGGTGATGTTTTATACACGAATGCCTTTGCCCAGAGTCTGTGAATGTTGGACAGTGTTTACCACGGAGCTCTGAGATTTATAACAAATTGTGGATTTTTAACTCATAGCTGTATTTATACTCCAAAGTCAGTTGGACTTCTTTAAGTACTCGTCGGATTGGTCATTGCAAAAATCCCGGACTACCTCTCCTCCTTATTGATCTTAAAGGACGGATTACACAACCTGAGATCATTGAGATTTGTACAGTTCGTTGTCCCCAGAGTCTGAACTGAAATGGGAAAGAAGGCTTTCAGGTTCTCTGCCCCCTCAGCGTGGAATAATCTTCAGACTGAATTTAAGCTGCAAAACTTGGAGTCTTTGACTGTTTTTAAATCTGCAGTTAAAAAGGTTGGAGTACAAACTCTCAGAATGTCTCTGTTTTCACTGATGTTTCCTCACATTTTTGTTTATTGTATTGAGTCTGTGTGACTGTTTGTTGTAATCATGTATTGCTCCAAACCTGGTTAAATAAAATAAAACCCTTTAATGCCTTTTGTATCATATTTGATACATACTTTTATGATACTTCTATCAAATCAATATGATCAACAAATACAACACCTGAATACTGTCCGATAAATGATCTAATAACATCTAATGTACCAAATGAGATCAATAAATATATTTGTTAAATTTTAAGGACATTTTGATTTATTTGGTTTTTCAGTATTAAGTGAAATAAACATTTTAGCTCCAAAAAAATGTGAATTCTCTGTCCATAATTTGTGGTTTCAGGCTTTAAAGGGTTAAAACGTGTTAAAAAATTGACATTTCTCATCTAAAATTCTGTCACAACCTGAGCATGTCGATCAGTTTGTCTTCCCTGAACTTAAACAGCCGCTCTGACTGAGCCCTTTAGATGCCGACGTGAGAGACTGCGGCATCAACATCTGGACTGACTAAATCTACTCACACTCCCATAATGCATTTATCTTGTTAAAGTGGCAGCATTAAAGACAAAGGATTACCCAGACTGTGACCCAGTGAGGTATACATCTTCAGCTCCACATGGGATTAGGTTACTCTGAGCCGCGCCGCGCCGTGACTCATCTGCTCTGCACACGTAAAGCTGGATTACACGTTATTATGAGCTTCGTTTACCGGCTGTAAACACACCCTAAACTACGTGGGATAGCTATACAACATACTTTAAATTAGGCCTGGACGATATAGAAAAAAAGCATATCGATAAAAAATAAATCATATTGATCGATATCGATAATTATCGATATAATTATTATAATTATTTAACATATATTTTAATTGCAGCCCTGGATGTTTTATGCTATTGCTTAATGACCTACTTTTAATAAAGAACACAGAAGCACTGAATTCAAATTTAAACCTTTATTCAACCACCTTTTTTATTTTACCACAACTGAAAGTTTTTTAAAAAAGAACTAAAAAAAAAAAAGAAATCAACTTAAGGGGCCTGAGTGACGTCAGTAAATACTGACAAACATAAAGACTAAAGTGACCAGAAAATCTGATAAATAAATATTTAAATAGTCTTTTGATGAAAATAAACAAAACAAACAAATATATAAATAAACAGAATAGCTTTAGGTGGGAATAACATACTACCAGTTTTAACTGTGTGAGAAACTGCCCACAGCCTGGTGTCTGAACACTGAAATATTTCTCCCGGGGTCGGGAGATTTATTTTTTTTAATTATCATGTGATTGACTTGATACGCAAACTGAGCACGAGAAGCAGGACTTATCCACGCCGGTGTTGTGTCGTAGAATGCACCCCTGCCGAATGCACCCCCTGCTAGTAGCCATGATCCAAATACTCGCGTCTTTGCAAAATATGAGCTCATTTTCTTCCACTTTAAGAAGCTAATGAGTGGACGGGATGCAGGGGTGCATTCTTCTCACCTTTTCAACCCCTGACCTATTTTCATGCCTGAAGCGCTGTGTTTGAGAAATACTTGCGGCCGGGCACTTCATATCGCGGGTCGAGAGTGGCTAGAAGCTGGTCGAAGCAAGGCTTTTCAACGGTAGTTATTGGCAGTATGTCCCTCGCTATGCAGCATGTTACTGCATGGGTGATGTCCTTATGCCGCTCGGACGCTTTGTCGTATTTTGGCAAGAAACGAAGTCCAGTTTGGTCTGCTTCACATGCTTTATGCTGGTGCTGGCAGCGGTTCCAGAGGATTCCTCCGACGACGACGTGGAGCCGCGGCGCGGCCGACACAGCTCGTACTCCTGCGGGTGCGACCGGTTTAGATGGTAAAACAAGTTGGTTGTGTTACCAGACTTGGTTTTTACTAATTCTCTGCAAATTTTGCAAACGACCGCTGTTCGCTTTTTGTCAGACTTCTAAAAACCAAAACATTGCCATGCTGGTGAACTACTGACAATGTCCTCCGCTTCTCCTTGCTGTATCATTTTTTTCTAATACACGTGCTGTCTGTTGTGGTTTGATAGGGGCTGGGCTTGGTGCCGTAGCGTACCTGGGTCTGCGTTTGTGATTGGTTGGGAGGAAGTAATGACTGTAGCAAAAGCTACATGATAGGCTATGATGAAAAAGAAAGGGAAACTGTGTTTTTCTATCGAACTTTTTTATCGACCCGTTTTTTTTCTATCGCAGCACACGTCTATCGATCGATATATATTGTTATCGAATTATCGTCCAGCACTACTTTAAATCACCTCAGTTATGTTCCTGGTTATATTCTCAAATCATGATTGAATATTTGTGCTTAAAATGCTCTCATTTGTTTAACTTTTACAACATTATAGTCTTAAAAAGTCACGAGTGAGTTGAAACATGCGCTAACAACATCTGGAGACCTTTGCCCTGAATGTGAGGAACTCAGCTGATCACACACGCTTTCACACGTACGCCCTGGCGGACAGGATCGTGTCCCTAAAAAAAAAAAAAAGAGCCTCTTTCCAAAGTCCATTCACGTCCTTCAGACCCTCAACAAGCTTTTGATTCTCATGTTTACATCATCCGCTTTCAAAGGGAGCGCAGAAATCATCCCCCCAACAAAGACTTTTCTCATGAACAAAGACGACTAATTTTACATCTCTGTCAAACTGGGAGGGCGGCAGAATCGACTGAAAGCTCCGAATGAAGCGGAGCAGTTGTTTGGTGTTACATAAATAAAACCAGGCAACAGGTAGGAGGGTTAAAAAGAGGATCTCCGACATGAATCTGGGATGAGTCACCGCTGAATAAAAAATAGATTACTATTAATGTTACTGGTACATTCTTAACACGGAGGTAGAACCTGGGGACAAAATGCAGTCGTGTTTACGAAGAATCTGGTCTTGAAAAGTCGACTACAGGGGGGCAAAACATCCAAATGCCCCCCAAAAAACACATTTAATCACATCTTTTATACTTAGAAGAATCAGAGTTATTACAGACGTTGGTTCAGATACAAGGAGTTGAATTTGGCCTCTGTGGGCACACTGCTAAAATAAAAAAGTAGAATAGTGTATTCTAAAAAAAAACCAAAACTAAAATGAAAAATCTGGATCCAAAGAAGTAAGTCGACTTTTTTTTGCCTCTTGATTTGGAGTGATTTAGATTCTTGAACTTACAGAGATGCTTTCCAAATATTTATGTAAAGCTTTATGTAAAATTTGTACAGCAGATATTTTCTTAAGTTTTAAAGGGGAAATAAGATCTTGAGACTTCTAAGCAACAAGTTCACAGATCACCGTAAAACTCATTTATTGTAAAGACTTTGAATCGTGGCACACAGCTAAATTAGACGACTAGATATGAGCTGAAATGAGAGCAAAACCTGACTGAAAAAAAAATAAAAACATTTGATTTTTTGTGGATTGAAGATCCTGAAATCAGATAAAAAGTAAAATCATGAAACAATCTTTGACTCCTTCTTTAACGCAGAAAAGATCGAGCCGATCGGAGAAGCTTTACTGCTTCTTTTTACGCTTCACTCTGCAAGCAGATCAAACCTAAAGCTACACCAGCCGATCCTTAATCAAACACACACTCTTTCTCTTTCTCTCTCTCTCACACACACGCACACACTCTCTCACACACACACACACACACACACACACACACACACACACACACACACACACACACACACACACACACACACACACACACAGAACATCCAATGAAAGAGAGAGAGAGATAGAGCCAGGAAGAGAAAGACGAGGAAAGAAAAGAGAGAGGAGGCTGTGTGTGTCTGACATTACAGCGCCGCTCCAAAAATAGCTCCCCGGCGCCCTGGCCTCCAGCTTGGTTGTCATGGCGACAGAACCACAGGCGCTATAAATAGACAATCGGCTCCAAATCTTGTGCGACTGGAGTGAGGCCAGAAAGAGGGAGAGACAGACAGACGGGGAGAGAGGGAAGAGAAAATAAAAGAGAGAAAGAAAGAGAGAGAGAGGGAAAGAAAGAAAGAGAGAAAGAGAGAGAGCGAGAGAGAGGAACGAGCGACAAAAGAGAAAAAAGGAAGAGGAACGATAGAAGAGGGAGGGGAGTGAAAAAGAGAACAAAGAGACACAGAGAGAGAGAGAGAGGGGGAGAAATGCATGGAATGGAGTGGGAAAGAGAAAGAAAAGGAAAAAGTCGGAGAAAGAATGAAAATGTGAAAAAAAGATGGAGAAGAAGAAATGAAGAAATAAAAGGATGAAAAAAATCAAAGAGAGGAACTAAAAGCAGAAATAAAAACGAGATTAAAAGTCACAAAGAAGGAACAAGATGAACCAAAAAAGTGTGACATTAAAAAAACACTAAAAGATAAAAAAGATGAAAAAATGAGAAATGATCATTTATTTAATCTGTAATAAAAAAAAGGGACAACATGACACAAACAAATGAGAATAATGTGAAATGAAGAAATGAAAAAAGGGCAGAAGAGATAAAAAAAATATTAAAAGACCATTAAAATTAAACGATAAAGAAAAAAAGGAAGAGCAACAAAAAGAGGGGAATAAAAATACTTTAAAAAGAATGGATAAGGAGGGAAAAATATTTAATCTCATTTATTTTGTTATAAATAGAAAAAAACGACTGAGCTGCATGTAAGAAAAAACAAACAAACAAAAAAAATTTACTTGGACTTAAAATTTGAAAGACAGGAACGATAAAGACAAAAGGGTCATAAAACAGAAAGGAAACAAAATGTTATAGATTTAGAGTTTTTCAAATTCAATAAGAGCTGGAAATGAGCCCAAGAAAAGAAAAAATGTCTTATGAAGGAGAAAAAAAAGTAACATGGAAAAAAAATCAGAGAAAGAAAGAAAAAAAAAGCAAAGATAAGAAATTAAATATGCTGGGGAGAAATGAAGGAAATGTAAAATAGTAAAAGAAAACAAAATTATTATGAAGCTGGTTACACAGCTGATCAACACGACAGAACAACACAATCACTGAACAAACAACACGTTCAGAAAATCACAATCCAGTCAGATTAGAGCAGCTCCTGTGAGCCGTCTCCAAACTTCCAAACCGACCTCCTGAGTCATGCTATCAGCACGGCGAGGGCACCGCGAGAGCACGTTCAAAACCTAAACATGTTCAGACTCACTTTAAACCGAGAATGAACACCAACACCACTACACCCCCTCCCTAAAAAAAAAAGAAGAAAAAATCAGTTTCTCGTCTCCCCTCTCTCCCCTCATTCCCTCTCTCTTTGCGATGAGTCAGAGTCTCAATCCGAGCCATTTTCTGTCCCTGCAGAAACACCACTACACAGAGAGAGACAGAGGGAGGTGGGTGAGGAGGAAAAGAGGCTCAGGGGAGGATGTCGGAGAAGTAAATCAGGGGGACTCCGGCACATGATGGCACATTATCCCTGAGACCAGACTTGAGAGAATCAACTGATAACCGGAGGACATGTGATGCAGTGATATTTAGGTCGATTTGTGTTTTTTTCTGTCAACTTAGGGAAAATATTGGGGTGTCTTTTGGGGAAGATTTGGAGTTTCTTTCTTCCATACCCCAAAAAACATGCTGACACATTTCTGCACGCACTCTCATACTCTCAGCCAACAAGTACAGAACAAAAGTGACCTGACATTATCTTCTCAGGAAGGGCTTCCATAAATTTTCACCTGATATCCACATCACTTAAAATTTATACATTTGTCAAATTTTTTTTTTTTACAATTTTGATTTATTGTTGAATTTAAAAAACTAATCTTGTTTTTGATCATTCCATTATTTACGTTTTAACAGTTTTTTGGGGTGCTCAGATGGCTGAGTGGGTTAGCGGCCCCTGCAGCAGTCGTGGGTTTGAGTCTGGCCCCGACCATGTGCTGAATGTCCTACCCCCTCCTCTCTCTATCTCCCCAAATTTCACACTGTCCTACCTATAAAGGCAAAATCAACCCTAAAAAAAAAAAAACTTAAATAAATAACGATGCACGGCAGTTCTTACCAGAGTCTTTATTTAGGAATCAAATGGTGCGATTCCACCAGCTGGTCTACTCTGGTTCCCTACAGTTTGGATCGGTTTGGTACAGTAACCCTGATCTTGATAGCATTTCTTAGTGGACTGTACCCAACCCTGAAGCTCATCAGGCTGCATGATGGTCTCAGAACATCTTGGTTTTTTGGCGTGCCGACACCAGGGATGGGCGATTAATTATTGTTCATATATCGTCAGAAAAATGCTCCATGATAAATATTTGCCATCTTATGATAAATACGATAAATGCAAGTTGATGACATTAGGGATTTCCTCCGTCGGACAGTGGATCTGCTGCTGTTCACTCTGTGCAATAAGAGTTTTTAACAAATGTTGAAAACGTTTTCACATTTGGGACTTGTTTGATGTCATAAGATTTCTCATTGACCTACCACTATCTTATTTGACTACTCTAACTGGAGTTCTCAGGACAAAATGCGTCAAAAATATGGATTCGAATTATAATATTTTTTTAATCAGGACTTTTATCGTTATCTCCAGAACGGCAAATCTTATAGTGGTAAATTTTTTAGACCATATTGCCCATTGCTAGCCGACACACAAAACCGTCATGAGATGAGGGCTGCATTTGTTCTGTATTATCTGTGATTCTGTTACAAGCAGGAACCAAAATAAATACCTGCCACATGCAGAAGGATTAAAAAAAAAAGAATGATAGAGATAATTTAAAGGGATTTTTAAAGGGTAATTACACCGTATATTCTTTTAGATTTGATGTATATGGGCATTCGCAATAATTACTCTGCTAAAAAGCAATAAACGCTCAACCTCTGTGTTTGCTGAGACTCCTCTTATTTAAACACAATGCTTTTATTTTGAAGTTACATCCAGGACAGTTGTTTAGCAAAAGGCACAGCTCTATATTCAGACATTTTAGACGTTTTATTGGAAAAAGGTCACATTAGCTGCAAATAGGCCACATTAATTAATAAATTCTATCAGGTTATGAGAAATAATTCATCTTTTGCAAACTCCTCCTCTCTTTACATCTATCTCTGCGCCCCTCTCACTGCTCAGCTGGTGTCAGTGCGAGAACCAAGAGACTGAAATGCAGCTAAATGAATGCTATTCAACATTCTTTATGGTCTCAATCATAAGTACTGCAATGCAACCAAGACAACGCCTCTCAAACTGGATTCACCAGTACATAAAACATCCCTCCAAACAAAAAGTAAAGGAGCCGGTACGTTTTAATGAACAAACAACGCCAACAAACGCATCAGAGAAGAGCATGACCGAGCAAAAACACAGCGAGGGAAGCTCCACTGACTTCCTCTTCATCAGACAGAGACAGAAAAGCATCACCGCCCGTCAGTTTCTTCTTCTTCTTCTCTTTTTTATTTTTATCACGACACGATTCAGATGATATAATTGATGTTTTATGAAAAAGGAAGAGGCGGGAATGTGTGGGGTGGCCCTGACTTTTCCTGAGCTGATCCAGGCCTGACATTTTCATTTAATGCTAACAACCTTCATCAATAATGCTGAAGTTGTCTCTCTGCTAACACACTCGCTCATTCTTTCTCCTTCTGCAGCCCGCCTGGGTTAAAAATAGCTCTCCCCTCTCTCTTTCTCTGCTTCTCCGTTTACATAAGCACATAGAGGGGGGAGGGGAGCACTTCCGGTCTGGCCACCCAGCCCAGCATCTGATCCATAACACTGGAGCTGCTGGGTGTGGGAGAGGAGGAGGAGGAGGAGGAGGAGGAGAAAAGGAGGAGGAGGAGAGGAGGAAGAGGAGGAGGAGGAGGAGGAGGAGGAGGAGGAGGAGGAGAGAGGTCCCGCAATGCAGGGAAGCCCTCTTTTTCTGTCTCTTCAAACCCTTTCTTATTTTAATAATTCTGCCTCTATTTACATGCAAGAATATTTTTGAAATGAATCTTCCCTAAAATATCATTTTATAAACTGTCTTTCTTTTAAAATAAAACGCACAGCGACCTGCATGAAGACAACAAAACACCTGCGGAAACACATACAGAGAAGGCGACACTAACACACATCTACACCCACAGTAACATGTTCGCATGTGCTCCGCTTAAAACACAATTTCACTTTTTTTAAACTTTCAACCACCGGGCAGTTTCTCAAATAGAGGTGCTCTAGTGATTCGGTACTATTTATCAGACTGAGGTTTGACACTAAAATAGGAATGGGCGATATGGGCTAAAAAAATTTATCACAATACGATTTGACATTCTCGCGATAATGGTAAAAGTCACGATAAAGACTATTATAATTCCAATCCATATTCTTGACTCATTTTGTCTTGTGAACACCAGTTGGAGTCATCAAATAAGATTCTTAACCACAGGTTTGAGTGGTAGGTTATGGAAAAAACTAATGTCATCAAAAAAGTCCAACAATTGTTAAAAACTCTTATTACACAGAGCAAACAGCAGCAGCAAAAGAAACATCTTCTTCGTTACCTTCGGCCATGTTTGTTTGTTATTCTGCTCTGTGTGGGCTATGGCTGCGAGTCCATCTGACGATATATCGTGAAAAGGGCCCGACCGATTGAGTAAGTGGGGAAAATATGAAAAAAAAAAAAAAATCAACCCAACCCTTTTCTTTTCATCAAAGTCAAAAAATTTAAGTTATTCAAAGTTTTTACATTAACTGTTTTTATTAAAATTCTGCCATTGCTGATGCATAATGTTACAATAAATGTGTGGGGTTTCCCTTACATGTAATTAATCGCGGTGCACAGCCACAACAAAATAAAAGCTGCTAAACTTTCAAAATTAGTTTTTTTTTACCTGGCGCTACCTGGGACTCAGTATGTCTCAGCTTATTCAGCGCACATGGGTGCAAAAACCGTGGGGCGTGCGTGCAAAGTATTACCAAGTATTAGCAAGTTGTCTGCAAACACTCAGTAGATTAATAAGGAACATTTTCATCCTGTGTGAACATTGAGTGTATATATTTTTACTGTTAACCAGCAGCCTTTGTTTTACACAATGTGGCGGGTTGCTTGTTGGTCTTATTTTGGGCTTGTTTTCATAGAGCTTGTTGCTTGTTTCTCTCAGGAGATCTGGCAACACTGGGTTCTCCAGTATGAATGCGAGTCCCTTTACCCTCCTACTGTCAATCAAACTGATTTTCACTTCTGTAGGAGTTTGACTGTAGGTCAAAGCTGTAGGGGATATTTAAACAAAACCAATGATGCATAATGCTTCAGAGTCACAGCGAGCTTTATATGCAAATACAAACGACTACTTCCCACATACTGTACACGGGCATACATGCACAACACAGGAGTCTGCAAACACCCCAGCGCACTTTCCTCATTGCATGAAGATCAAAACGACACAATGAGTTCAAGAAAGGAAGGCTGAGTCAGATCAAGAATTCAGGATAGATTAAACATGATTATTGACTTATAGTTTAAATACAGCAACAAAGTGACAAATTCTCAAAAGGCAGCAAAGTAAAAACAGTTCTGCTCACTTTCATACCAACAACAGAGGCAGCCCGACCCAACCAACATGTGGAAGAGGGCGCAAGTCGCAACATTGGTTGTCTGGGGATTCTTCGGATTTAGAAAATCCGACAATGATCAAAGAACGATACCACGCAAAGAGTGTTGTGTGGCTGTCGTTGCTGGAGGAGGAAACACCAACAACCTCTTCCACCACCTAAAGATGAAACACGTCAAGCTCTATGATGAGAGCCAAAAGATGCGTGGCGCACCTGCTGCACTAAAAACTAAAGCTGCAGCATCCCCTCTTGTACAAAAGATCTTGGCAGAGTCGTTCGCCAAAGGTACGCCATATGATAAAATATGTCCAGACTGGTTTGACATTTTGTTTGCATTTGTAAACCAATCTGAGTTTAAAAACAAAAGGACAATGAACAAATGAAAATTGAATTTACAGGGTGAAAAAACATACCGTGATATATACCGTTACCCTGATATGAAATCACTCATACTGTGATACAAGATTTTGTTCATACCGCCCAAAACAACTTCACGGTAAATATGAGAAAGAAGGACAACAAAAGTGATCTTGTTTAAGAAAGTGTGAAATAAAAACTCAGAAGCCCTGGATTGTCACAAGTCAAGTAGATCTTAAATTTGCATCAAACTCAGTGGGAATCCATGCAGCTGATGTGGAGATATATAATTCAGTCCGGACGGAGGTGTTGGACTGACAGATGGGAAATGACCCGGGCATAGCTGAAACCTACACAAAACATCTGGGCCACACTATCCACTCTGTTTCAGCATTTTAGTGAAGAAGAAGAAGAGCAGTTTGTTGTAACTTCACTTCACATCATCATCATTCTTCTGCTGTAAATGCATCATCACTAAGAAGACAAAAATAGCACCAAAAACAGAAAACCTGAAGAATTTTAGATGTTTGAGAAAAATAAAAAACTACTTTTTTCAACCCCTGACATCAACACAATCCCACATCATCACCAGCTTTATGTTTTACAACTGATTTACAACTTTGATTTCAGGTGAATGCATGAGAGTGAAAAAAGGAAAACCATAAAATAAATAAATAATAGAGTCTTACTACTGTGCGCAGTCGATGAGTTGATATTCATTGGATCTTTCCCAGCAGGCCCGCACACCCTCATCCTGCCAGAGGGTCTTTGAATGGTCGTAAAACTCCTGGAAAGAGACAGAGGGGTCTGGATTAACAACATACCTCCACTCGAAATAACAGCGAGCCAGACTCCTGTTTACGGTTCCCTGAAATAAAGATATGATATCCCAAACAGAGCGAGGGGAAAAGTGGATGTGTGAGTAAAACAAGAAGGTTTCCAAGAAAACAGCAGCTTCAGTCCGACATGACATCCTTCAAACAATGTCATTTTAATCTTTTATATTTGGATAAAGAGTAAAAATTAGAACTGTTACTGAAAATACCCTCTGAACAAAAACGCAAGTTCACCTCTTATTTATTTTTTATGGTACACCAGATTTTAAGCGCTTGGAAAATGTTCAACTTTTTAAAACTTCATGTAACATTGACGCTGTCCTTTTCTGATTTTAGCCAGTTCTTCTCTACGTGTTGACGGAGGGGAATAACTCATTCAGAAGTTCGCAGTTCGAAGGCCCTAGTCTTTTTGCTCCAGGCCTGCGAGCCTCAAACTACAATCACACATAAAAAGTACGAAATGGTAAAAGCCAAATATTGTCTTCGTGTTTTATACAATAATCTCACCTGAATATCGTCACTCAAAAACATTTTTACTCAACAGTAGCTACAAAAAATGTAGAAACGCTCATGTCATGCAGATTTCCGCCATGTTTGATCGAGTCAATATAATCACAGCTGATCACCGTGATCGAAGTGGAATTTATCACAGTTATATAATCGCCCAGTCCTACTTCTGTTTGTCGTACCTGAGAGTCAGCTAAACGGGTTCGAGAAATTTACTGTCGATCAGGCGAAAGAGGAAATTTAGGGAGCTCATCTTAGGCTGTGTGAAATTAGAAAAGACGCTGTACTCCACTTGCTGATATTTCATGTAGGATGAGGCTGGTCATGAAAAAATGATCAGCTGATCATCACCCAGAAAAATAGTGATTATCTCCAGCTCTGATAAATAGTGGAGTTGTCCCTGATTAGACATAAACTGCACTGAGCTGAAGATGGAGTCCACGCATTAATGAACGAATCTGTTCAATCCAGAAATAGTTTGTTAGTATTTTTAGAAGAAATCTGTATTCAATGTTTAAAACCAGATTTCTCATCTTATTGTGACGATGTTGGAGGACAGATGGAGGGGTTTGTAGTTTGTAGTTAAAGGCCGGCTCGGAGAGGAGCAGCAGATGAGAGGCCTCTGACTGAGGCCGGAAACAGAACAGTTCACTGAGTTCATGGAGAAACGGACAGCTTTGTACTGACACAAGGTCTGGCTGTCACCAGGCAGGGGCCGATCTCCTCAGTACAATCTTCGCTTAGTCACATCCACAAATCAGCCATTACGAGTCGAAGGGAACAGTAGAAATTTTAAATATTCCACTTCAGAGTCGAGGACGAGCGTGTTGTTCAGAAACAGAAACACATTCAGAAGCTGTGAGTTCAGTGGGGAAGTGACACTGCAGATCAGGTGTTGACTGAAAATTTTCAGACTATAATACAGAAATTTTAAACCAAGGCATCATTCATAAACACTGTCTCAGTGACGTCGACCAAGCCTGTTGATGGAAATTCTGAGTCAACCTAACTTTAGGTCGAGAGCTGGAATTGAGGAGGACCTTTAGCCTCCATGACAAAAAGTTTTAACGTGCCTGACTGTCAGTGAAGTCAGCTGTACACTTAACCTTTGACCCCATCCACCACACCTATATGGATATCTATGAAAACTTTGATTTTTTTAAGGTCTCTGAGGAAGGAGGTTGGCCCTCAATGTGGAGACTTTTGAAAACATCTCTTATTCTTGTCATGGGGACAGCAAAAACTCAAGCACTGGTAATGCTCATGTACCTGCACCACGACCAGTTTGCCTCAGTCTACTTGGTACTGTTAGGTTCAAAATAGGGCTGCACGATTTTGGCCAAAAATAAAATATCTATTTTTTTCTCTGAAAACTCAATTTTCAATTTCGTTTTTTAATTCAGTGACAACTTCACAAATAAAAAGTTTTTCTACCATTTCTTAAAACAAAACCACTGAAAACGATGTAGTGCATATGCCAAGCCAGTACGTAGCGCTGTAACACTGCAGAGGAAATGCACAAAAGACAGAAGAAGAGTACAGAGCATGTGTATAAAGGTTGTTTTGGCCGGACACGCACAGGCGCCACAAAAGAGTTACAGATAGTCATCCACACGGAGATGAGACGGTAGTCGTTTACAGATTTATGCACTCTCTGACCTGTTTTCAAAAAGCACCATTTACAGTCACCCGAAACGCTGTTTCCGTGTGGATTAAACGCCAATATGAAAAAAAAATTTTTACTCCTGAATTCGTTGATACTGCCTTCAGACAGACTTTGCAGCCGGAAGTGGTTCGCCCTTTATCCGAAACTGCGAAGCCGTACCAATTCTACTCGACTGACTTGCTTTTGCCCTATCTAACCATTTCTAAAGTTTGTCCACGGCTCCATAGGGATTGCTAGAGGAGGCGGGATTTATGATCTATACCACAGCCCGTCACCAGAGGGTGCTGTTCTCGCAGTGGCTCCACCCAGTGAGGAGGCAGATGGCGTCCATTCTATATACAGTCTATGGTAACAGATCACTGACCGAACAGATCAAATTTCCAACTCCATCGACCTCCAGCCGGTGATTGAGGAGGTCAGGAAGGTCGACTTCACCATCTGCTTTCCTTTGAAAGTTCTACAATTAAAAGGGGAACTGTTTTCCATCATAAAGTTTATTCGTGGCTTGCTGTATAATTCAAAAAGTTTGACTTAGGACGAAGAAGAAGAGGAGAAGGAGGAAAGCTACTTTATAATGCCTCTTGATGTGGTTGTGCTGCCCAGTGAAAGTTTAAGAATAGGGACGGCCATGGACTGGGTTCAAAACTACAGTGAGACGTTACTCTGAACTGAAGAAAAGACACTCAACGGAGTCTGTAAGGCAACAGCTGAGACTGTGTCAGGCTTCAAATATTAAAACTGAGAGTAAAAGACAATTTTTCTCTCATTTTAAACAATCTGATGGGCGACTAAGTCCATCAATCAGTATGAGGACTGGTTAGCGGATTAACAAATATCCTTCAAAGCACCAGTCAGCTGGAAGTTAAAGAGTACAAAACTACATTTATACCTGGTTTGAGTCTCAAACTTCTGAATTTTTCCCCTTATTTTTCTTTGCAGTTTTGTTTTCGAGTTTCTCTTTGCCGAGAACTTCTAAAGAATTAGTTTTTCTTGTTTGTTTTTTGTTTTGTGAAGGTTGTAAAGCGCTTTGAAGCAAATTTGTGATCGACATATTTACAGTAAATAAAACCGACTCGACTGCAATGACTTGTCTCTGCACTGCTGCATGCTGGGAGCAAAGGAGCTCAAGACAGGTGGCAGTGGAGGGCAAAGGAATAAAAAAGTCTTGGCAACAGTTTGAAACGATGAGGAAGTACATTCCACGAATAAAAAGTTTTACCGAACAATAACTACAAGGGTTAATAATTAAAAATGGATGACAACTGAAGAGGTTTAATTCAGGCCTTGTGCTCTTTCTCTGTCTCTCCTCCTCCTCCTCCTCAGCTAAAAGCAGAGTCAACCAGTCCAACTGGTTTCCAGTAAGCCCTGAGGGCAGCAGAGGAGGGGGAGCTGAGAAAGAGGAGGAGGAGGAGGAGCTGGAGGAGAAGAGGCTGAGCTCCAGATCATTTTCTCCTGTGAAGATTCAGTCTGATTCAATAAGAAGAGTCTGAACTTTTTGATTCTGATCACTTTTTTTTTTTTTTTACAACTTTACTTTAACTCCAAATTTATTCTCTACACCTCACAAGAACAAACAAGCAAAGTTCCAGACCCAGAGTCAGAGCTAGTCCTTTTGGGAAGACCCTGCAGCAGGTCTTCAGTGGAAGTCTACAAACCAACCAAAAGCCTGAGGGACGGGTCAGCTCGAGACCAGCCTGCATGATAAATTTGCCGTGAAGTAACAGAGACATTATCAGGAGACTTCTTTTTGCTTACAGACAAATACACACACTCGTCACTGGAAACAGGCAGTGTAAACACTGAAACTATCCTGCTGGGAAAAAAAAAGACAGGGAAGACATGGTGTTCTTCCTCCTCTACATGAAACCTTTCCACAATCAGAGAACAGCTGACGTACAATTTAACAAGTCAGAGAAAGATCCCGGCTCTTTTCTTTTTTCAGTTTGTACATGAAAAGTTAAAAATCCCGTCCTTCAGTTTGATGAATTTCTCTGAAAGTTTGTTCCACCGACAGACTAACACTACTTTTTAATGCTCACTTTTGTACAGCATTTAAAGCAGCAAGCCCACGTTTTGGGACCGTCATTGAATCGGAAGTACTTTTTGAAATTCCTTAAAATTAGACATAAACAAAACATGTTTGCTGCTCTAAATGTCTTGTAAAATTAAACATTGATAATTAGTGTAAAAAAGATTAATGTCACACTGACTGAGAAGTTTCTGAAAACTAAACTGGTGGGAGTGACTGACAAAACTATAACTATATAACTAAATATAACTGTACTATTGAGGGATGCACAATGTCATCAGCATTACACTGATATTAGCAACACAGAGAAGAGCTTAAAAAGTCAAATATTGGTGCCGATGTGTTTGCTAAGCCCTATAAAGACAGGTGGTACTAGGAGGAGTGAAACAACAGTCCTTTGACACTTTTAGAAATAGACTGATTAATCGGGCTGATTATTGGCATTTATTTTAGTAATCAGCATCACATCGATATCAGCTCTAATAAGGCCGATATCACCATCATGTTCTCTAAATTCATTCAAAATCCTTTTAAAATACACTACAGGTCAAGATAACCATGAATGTTTGATTTTCATGTGAATGAAATAATGATAATAATATTTTTTGTTGTGGTTGCAAATTAACCCTTGATATTTTTCCTTTTTTTTGATAATCTAAGATGGCTGGACAGACTTCCAGAATTCCTTTGTAGCAAAATTTTACAAAGCTAAATATTTTTCCATCTTCAGTTTTTTTACATATGTTTGGAAATTTTGTTTCCCAGTATGAGTGTCGCTAAAATGTTGTATTTTCTCAAATGCAAAAAAGGAAAGTTAACAAATATAAATATATCATGGCCATAGGCCGACCTGCTCACTCTGCGTTGGTATTGGTATCGGCTGCTGAAAAACTATCATCTGTCAACCTCTGCACACTACCAAATGCAAAAAAAAATTTCTTCAAAAATTTTTTTGAAAAGGCATCTGCAAAATTTGCTTTCTTGGCTTCAAGAAAAGGACAGAAAAAACACCGACCACTTAAAAGCAAAAGAGCTTCACAAAAAAAATCTCAGAATTAAATTCCTTTAATGTCGTGGAGGACACAGGCTTTCACATGCTAATGCTGTACCTGGATTGGTATCAGTATTAATGTCAGTGTCAGTATCAGTATCAATATCGGTATCAGGAAATTAATATCAGTATTGGTATGTCAGTATCAGTAATGGTTTCTGTTTTACAAATATCAGCCTATTGGTCTTTAACCCAGTGGAAGATTCTGGCTTCCTCAAGCTAAAGATGGACTTGGACTGGTACTAGTATTGATAACAGTATCAGTATTGGTACCGATATCTGTATGGACCAAAATGAGTTTTAAAAACGCAGCATACAGAATATCAGCAAACATCCGATATTGTGCACCTCTATATATCTCTTGCTACAGCAGGACACGACTTGGTCATTTGACCTTTTTTGACACTGTACAAACTCTGAGTGCAACTGACTGAGAAACTCCAGCTGAGTAAAGCTTCAGTCTTCCTGCAGATATGACTCAAACAAACTCAACTCCTGGTTTTATTGCTATTCAGTGGAGTGCACTTCCTAAATTTTGGAGAAGAAAATAAACTGGATTGAGATCAAAACGAGCGACTTTCCTGAAATTTCAAAGACTATGTTAGCAGCCAAATTCAAAACAATATAAGAATGAATTACAACCTCCTGAAGGTGTAAAAATAAGTTAGTATTGTAGTTTTTTTTTTTTTTTTAACTTCTGATAAAATAAAATTAAAAAACACCCAGAAGACTTCGGTAATTGAATTAATACATAGTCCAGCGGTGGGACCTGCAGTGAGTCTCTAACAAGCTTCTGGGATCAGACTGCAGCTCAGGTAGGAACCCTCCTGAGTCTCTGTGTTTGTGGAGGACAGGTCCCTCCAGATGCATTTAGGGTTATTACAGACAATCAGTGCTAATAGGCGGTGTGGATCTCTCAGGTGAGAGGCTCATTCAATTCACGGCCTCCCAAGCGGAAGCACACCTGCTAATTACTCAGTCGCTGAGCAAACACAGCGAGCTGCCGTGTGAGGAATCTGACTCACCTGCAGCACACCAGACCGGGGAATCTACTGGATTCAGAGGCCGTGAGCTCAGTGACATCAACTAGCAGAAATATTCAGACTTTGAGACCGATTTCATAACAAAAATATAGCAAACACTCATATTTATTTTAAAAACCATGGTTGTAAACTTTGCAGCTGGTTTTCATCATCGCTCTTTTATCTGCATATATAATAAGATGGTTTACATTACGCATGAGAATTCAAACCGCAACTTGAATGTACATGTAGGAGGGACGGCCCGCTAGAGGACATCTGTCTCTTTCTATGTTTCTCTGTGATTTTAGGAGGACACTCTGCCAACAACATTTCTTCATGGAAATACAATCAGACCTAGACGCTAAGGCAGAAGAACTACAGCATCTGCAGTGCAAAATGATTAATATGGTGATTATTACTTCAAGGAAAAGATTAAGTAATGATCATAAATGTTCTTCCTTGAGCTGCGTCACCCCGCTGTAGTCCGTAATGGACTGGCCCGAGGTCTCGCTACAAACAAGCGGCTGCTGGAAGAGAGTAGGTGAGTTGTGTTTAGTCTCTTTGCTCAAGAAATTAGTCAAAGTTAAAAAGATGTTTGATGGCTAGTACTATGGCTGGGACCCTATATGTATTGTTGATGAAGTTAGGTGCTGTTCTGAGCATTATTTGAGGCTACAGAGTGGCGTTTTGGTTGAGGTTTGTTTATGGCTCCCCAGACTGCTGTGTATTGCTATCGTGCGGTAGTTACTAAAGTTGGTATAACTAGAGAAGCAAGCGGTCGGCAACATTCATCTCTGGAGGGGGTGTCTAACTCAGTGTTACTGTGTGTTTGACCCTAAATTAATTTTACGCCGGAATATCCCTTTAAGTGAAAGGTTGAGCAACAAAAGACTGTCCAACAACAGATCCCAGAAAGCATCACTCTTCCTGACGAAAAACATGTTACTAATCCAGATGTAGTTTAATCCTCCATGACACTGCAGGTCAGGTGAATTTGGCCTTTGGCAGCTAAAATCTAATCAGGTCATCATCACTTTGAAACAGACTTGTATGCAAAACTTAAACATATTTCCTCCAAAGGTTCCTGAAATATCACCTTCAAAAGAAAGGGACGGGAATATGAACAGATAACTCATTTCTCTCTGGACATTACAGAGTCAAAATGAAGTCGACCTTTGATTTTGAGAGAGAAAAAGCATCATTAATTTATCATTTTATCCCTTTTTTTGTGAAATTGCCTCCAATGTAGCATTTTAATTCTTGAAATAAAGCTTTATATACAACCCTCGATATGGTCTCGACAAGGAAATATTCAGTGTGGTAGAAGCATGAAGAGTTGGACGCAGTTACCCTGATATATTATAAATTTGTTCTCTGATACAATCAGAAAAGGGGGTTTCTGGTTTAGAAAGATGAGACCAAATATTCGCATATCTCTGACGTTCAAAAGAAAAGGTGAATCAAAACTTACCGTAGGAAACTCAAAGTCCTTCTGGTTTATTTGGTTCATGACATAATCGATTCGGCACTGGTTTGCGGGACAGGCTAACTGGCATGGTGGTGTGAGCGTGGACATGGCAGAAACAATTGTCTGTCACAACAAAAGAAGAGACGATCAGCACAAACACAAAAAAAGATCTTTGAGTAGATTCTTTAAATATGTAATTGTAAGAGAAAAGAGATGCCTTATATACTTTATCATGACTTGTATTTTTACGAAATGTTTTACAGTGCGATTTGGCCAGACAAAGACACAACACCTTTTGTTACGAACAGACTGTACTATGGAGGAAATACACAACTAGCAGTTAGCAAACATCCAAACTCAGCACCCAATTCAAGGGTGGGAAAGTTTCATTCAAGCATCTCAGATCTAAAGTCTCATCCAAGCAGGTTTTCAGGGTCCGTTTCTTACCTCTATAGCTTCTTTGATGTTGTTTTTAATATCGTGAATTTTCTGTTTTTTCTCCCTGGGAAGAACAAAAGAGAATCAGTGTTAATTTTTAATAGCAGAGGAATCTTTTTTAATAAAAATAAGGCATGATTAACTAACGTGAAAGGGTTAAAAAGTGACTTCAGCCTGTCACTTGAACGCTAACACAAAGTTTATTTCCAAATAAAACCCAGTAAGGAACAAGAGGAACTAAATTCAAATAATAAGAAGATTTTTCTTATTAAGAATTCAAAATAAATACTAAAAAAGTCATTGTTTCCTCTCTGTATAGTGTGAGTAGGTCTTGCCGTGAGACAACCCTTCATTGATGTGGTTGACTCAGTCAGACAAAGTAGAAACAGCTGAGCCAAACATCCTTATTATGGTATAAACAAGTATTTTCTGTACATTTGGAAAACTGTTTTAAAATTTCCCTTTCGACAAAAACCTTCCGTGAGGCAGAATCCGAATGATCAGCAAACAGAATGAGAACGCTCCACGTTTTGTCCTTTTATTCTTGTAAAGATAAAGAGGATTTCAGCACGGCCCCCTCAGTTTGTTCAGTCTGGAGGCGTCACTGATACCAGTAGTAAAAGTCTGAATGTCACGCAGGTCTTTCAGAAACCAGGTCTGCCACGGCAGGTATGAAATTCTATAAAAAGTTCGACAAATGTCAGATTTGATACTGAAATCCCCCAAATGAATCAACCTGAGAGTTGCTTACACAATCAGAAACCTGCATGGTGTGATTTCTTCTGAATGACCCCGGAAAAACATTTCTGTGCATCAGAACGACGCTGAGCTGTAGAAAAGCCACATGCTTCATGATTGAGTGAACTGTGGGTTACATTCATGTTACAGCAGCAGAGGGCCGAGACCCAGAGCAGGGGCGTATCCAGTCTTTTGAACAGGGGTGGCCCTCCTGAAGCATTGTCTCATGAGGGGGAAAAATAACATTATTTTGAGTCCCCCAAAAATGTTTAAATAATTTCTTTCAAGTGTTTGTAACCTCGCAATGCAGTGACTCGCTTTTGTTGATTGTATAATAGATGTTGTCATTGATGTAAAAATGCTTTTCTGGTCCGAGTTTGATTCATGATAAATATGTGGAATATTACTGAGATGATCAGTCGGTCTTCCTGTCGGTGTGAAGAGCAGTAGCCTACAGTATATCGATTGTTCCTCATTTTGAGTTGGAAGTTAACTTAACTGTTTGCAGGTTACACAAAATATCTCATTCTTTTAGTAATAAAAAGGATTTGAAATGAGTTTCCTGCATTTAATTCTTTGAAGAAGTGTTTAAAAGGCTCAAAAGCAGCCATGTAGATAAATTACTTAAATTAACAAAATTTTAAAACTTAAAAAAATCGGCCGATTAATCTGTAATCAGATTTTTCCCCCCCTAATCATCGGTATCAGCATCGGCCCCAAAAAATCCATATCGGTCGGGCCCTAATATACAATATATCACACACCCCTACCAGCAAATCTTAGTTCAGGGTGGGCCAATAAGATTACCACAGGGGCCCACGCCACCATTTGAATCAGCCCCTGCAGTGGCAGAATATCCTGCAATGCTGCATTGGTATAATAGACATGATTTACACGCAAAGACTTTGTTCAAACATTAATATTCTAAACTAATTCCTAAAGACTAAACAAAAAGTTCTATGATGATGTTCTGCGGTTTGGTGGATCAAGGGGACAAATAAAGATCCCACTGTTTGGAATGCAGCCATGGTCAAAAAAACTTTATGAAGCTGACACATTCAAGAAGTCACAAGTGCTTTAAATTGTTTAAATAAGGTTGTTTTTTGTTGAAATTAACTGATTCACGCCTAATTGAATCCATATGCAGGAAATATTCTCAGTAATTCAAAGAATTCTGGTAAAATTGACCAAAAATAAATCAGGAAAAAATTGAATTTTTTTCAAAATAGATAAAATGGTTTCAGTGTCTTACATTAGGCTTTCTTTGTATTTGTCACAACTGTTTATTGATCATCTTTGGCCAAGGTGCAGCGAGTCAGACGAAACGGGACATTTACAGATGTCAAAGTGGGCTCCAGGTACCTATGATGGGCAATTTTAAATACTTCTCAACATTTTTTTAAACTAAAAGATTAATTAAAAAATGACCTGCATTTGTACCAACAACAGAGATCACATTTCCTTTTAGAGAGAATTTACAAAAAGCCTGAATAAGAAGTCTGAAGATTCTTGAGAAATTACCTCTAAAAATAAATTCCTCAAATATTTCAAAATATTGAAAAACTATCGATCTGATTCCTTCCGTTTGTTCAGTAGATGTTTGAGGCAACAAGAGTTACCATGTCCCTCTTTTGAACCCTTAAATCCTTTTGTTGTGCACGGCAACAATATCGCCTCGGAAAAATGATAAAATTAAAACAAGCATCTACTTTTAAACAAACCACCAAAATCTCCTCACCTCTCTATCCTTCTAATTTTACAGTCTCACCGCTCCCAGCACCCTGCACTGACTGACACTGCCCTGCACCCCAGAGAGAGGTGAACCCCTTTGGTCCAACACAACTCGGCGGTGGACTGTGGGTTTGTCCTGACAGCAGAGCGTCTGTGTCTGTGAGGAGCATCTGTTCGACCTGACCCAAAAATAAGCACATGATGATGCTCCTATCCCAGCATCCCTCTTCTAGGAAACCCATGATTAAGAATAGAAAAATGTGACTTTAGTTTCCATTGCATCAATTTGGGATTGAATTTTATGACATTCACAAGACGGAGTGGGTTAAAAACACCCAGGGCAAAGTTTCCATGAAAAACCTGAAACAGATAAATGCTTTCTTCTGCTGTCACACTAACTAACAAAAATTTACTCCAAAAAGGGTTTTATTCGAGGGTTATGCACCAAACATTTCACTAAATTTTCTTCATGGGATCAGTTCGGGTAGTGTTATTTTACAGTAATAAGTCTCTAACCCTCCATACCAATGAAAAGGGACATTACCGTATAGAAATTAGACGGTCGATTCAGATCCCTTTGTGAAGAGTTTCCCTTCATCTAGCAAACTTTTCGGTTCCATAAGGTTACACATTTGAGAACAGGGTAAAAGTACTCATATTCTACTTTTGGAAACTGAAAGCACGTCCACAGCTTGAGAAAGTCTTGTTGAGTTTTTTTAGACATTAAATCAAACTTCTTCTCAAGCTAAAAGAAAAGCCGTATACTGATACTTTGGAGCTCAATTCATGCATTTGTTCTTGTGGATATTCTCCTGATACGGCTAAAACACTGTCTATGACTTTTCCACAGCATCATAGTTTCAGTGCAATGAAGAACCATTTGCAATGAATCGGCTTACTATATTTTGGATCAATGGATCACACCTTTTAGTCTGTAAAAAGTTGAAAAAGAGCAAAAAAGATCATTAAAAACTGTTTCCCAACTGTTCCTGGTGTTTCTTCTCTCCTCAGATGAGGACTCTAACAGCAGAAAACACTGAACTCACCGGAAATCGCTCAAAAAACGTGATGAGAAGCACACTAAAAATGGAAAATCTTGATGTTTGAGAAACTGAAACCAGAGAAAATTGAGCATTTCTCCTTGACAAATGACTCTGATACTTGGAACTTGTTATTTCAGCTCAAAAAGGATTTATAAGCTATCGAACAAGCGTATCAAAAACTGCATGAGGAAGTAATTCCTGCATCATAGATTCCCGGCTGTAAGATCTTAGATAAGTCAAGTCTGTGTCTTTTTTTAAATCATCATTAAAAACTTTTTTTATTGTGCTGAATCTGTGTATTATATCTTTTTGTGTGAACAAAGCTATTACTTTCATTATTATAAAACATTGACTTTTTAACCTCTTTCCACTGCAGCTTTAAAAAAAAACACCCCAAACTTATTCTGCTCACTCTTATTTGTATTTATGTAAACTCAGGTTGTTTTCTGAAGTCTGTGTTCATGTTTGTTTTCATTCACTTTTACAATCTTCATAATAAAACTGATGGTGAAATGGGCTGACAATCGTCTACCTGCATGACATTAGCACTCCTGGGTCATTTCTCCCATTTGTACCTCATGAATGCACCAGTAGGCTTCTCCAAAACAACATTATGTAATCCAGGTATTTGGTCAACAAACGTTTTCATATTTGATCCTGCCAGCAACACCAAATTCTACTCTCTATATCACTTTTCTGTGTAGTTAGTATATTAAATGTGAAATGGTAGTGTGTGTGTGATTGACAGCTGTGATAAAAGAATAAAACACTTACTCTGCGTTGAAGCCATTTACGTGCAATATTCGCATCTGTTTCACTATCGTGCTTTTCCCAGATTCACCGGCCCCTGAAAACAGAGACAAAAAAATGTGTCAGACAAGAGCTACGTTTGCACAAAACTACTTCAACAACTATAACGACAAAAAATCCACAATGGAGATCCACCTCAGACTGGGATATTTGTGATGAATGCTGAAGTTGATTACATTTGTGGCTGATTTCAACAAACTTTTTAGTCCCTGACACTTGAACACCCCATTCCTGCATGGTGCCATATTTTACAAAAATAGAGGAACAAGCATGATGGGGACCAGAGAGGACGAAAAACTGCTGATCTAAAGGTCCAGGTGAGTCTGCAACCATCTGGCTTGTTGTGCTCTGTTAGGGAGTAGCAGTGCTGATCCTCAGAAGTACTTAACTGAAGCAAAATTACAGCATATTTAAAACTTCACATCAGTATTTTTATTTGACTCTACTTTACAGCTCCACTCAACGCAGCTACAGAGGAACGTTTCACATTTATGTAACAGTGATAGCAGCTAATTCTGCTTTAGAGCAAGGTTATCTTTCAAAATAAAAGACATTCATGTTAGTAATAAGGAGATCTATTAGGAGGACACAGGATTTCATTGGAAGAAATATTTGACATTATTATTTATCCTTTCTAAATAATATTTTGTGTCCTAAATGACACAGAACGTGTACTGATACGACTGATGCCAGATGTGAAGTGGGCTGACAGCATCTTGGTGAGGATAGGAGGTATCGGTCAAATCAATAAGAGAGATCAGCAAATTAACTCATGATGACATGTGAACAAATGCCCTGCTAAATACTTCTAGGAATCATGAGAGTTTTGTTTTCCACGATTCTCCTGCCGTGATAAATCTCTGCCTCCTTGTGCCTTAGCATATTAGAAATGAATCAAACCAGGCCAGAGTATCTCCTAACCTGGAAAGAAGGAGCTAGGCTATTCAGGCCTGCTATTAGTGCCTGAGTCTAAGTGTTCAAATCTAGGATCAATTTCAGATTAGAATGAACGGGACAGTGATTCATGGGAAGCTAGCTAGTAATCCTAATAGTAATCCTAATTTGCTCTCGGTACTCCAAGAGGCTTAGCAGGATAGTAGCCCTGGCCTTGAGGTTCAGACTGTAGCGTGACATGGAGGCCTGGATGATGAAGCCAGAAATGACTTTGATGAATTCAAATCTGTGGACGATACCTGGGATCATCAAAATCCCACTAAACACTCCAGGTTTTGTCATTTTTGCGCTTGTCCTGTGTAAGAAAACAAGCATGCAAAGACTAAATAAAAACCCTATTGGTGGTCCTCAGGCCTTAGCATGCTGCCTTCACACAAACAGGGTCCTTCTGTCTCTCCCTTGTTCTGTAACCATGCTCCACAATGACCCATGCAAGCAGGAGACAGGCCTGTTTATTACACTGTAAAATCCGGTGGTAAAGTGAGATCATACCCAGCTTGTTTTATGCTGTAAATCATCTTTTTCCTCTAAAAATATCAGGTTTATTAGCATAAATAGCTCGAATACACTTGTATTGTTGTATAAATATGTGTGTTTGGGTTAAAAATGAAGTCACATTCCGATATTTTAAGGATGGATTTAAGGAAACTTACCTAATAGTAGTAGCCGGTGAGTGGCCCGGTATATCTGTTTGTCTTTTTGGAGCTGCTTCTCTATCTTTTTGTTGGCCTCCCTCTGTGCCTTCTCCTCATTTCGTTGGTCTTCCGTCTTACTATTGCCAAGACAGCCCATCTTTTCCCAAAAACCCAGTGATAGGTTCAGGGGGGAGGCAGGCAGGCGAGCAGGCAGGCAGGCAGGTAAGGGTAGTTTGGTAGGTAGGTGGGTGGACGTTTGGTGGCTGGGTGTTAGGAGGAAGGGGGCAGGAAGGGAGGAAGGGAGGGTGTTGATCAGAAGAAAAATCAATCAATCCAAAATTCCTAGACTGGCCCAGCAGAGGTACACCCGGCTCAAAATGGGCGTCATTTAGGTTGCCAGATGCAGATGAAACTGTCGTACAGAAAAAAAATGTCAGGCTCCACCAGGCTTTGGAAATAAATGGATGTGGCTATTTACTGGCAATTTATTATCCAGGGATCCGAGCAGAGCAATGATGCCGCCCTCTCAGACGCTTGATTCTTGTGTTTTTCACTGTAAATCCGCAATGAAGTCATCAACATTGATATGAGAGTGGATATGAGATTTCCAGCTTTGCAGCGTACGTGAATGCAACGTTGGTGGTCCAGGCTTTAAAAATCTAAATCTAAAACTCTCGATATTTCCACGCTTTAAGCCTAAATTTTCTCAGCAAATGTCTCCTCTGGATCCCATCTTCGGCAGATATCGTACACTGCCTTTCAATTCATTTCCACTCACAACCAAAGCCCTATTTTCCTTCCTTTTCCCCCCACCATTAAATAGGTATTTTAGGTCAGTTTTCAAGGGGTTGGTACCAATCTTTCCTCCATGAACCAGAGAAAGAGAAAATAAAAAATGAAAATCTCCTCTTAAAATGACGGCATGTGAATCATCAGGCTACACCGGGGCTTCTTTCTCGATCACAAATCCGTCACATTATACACCGTATTTTTAGGAAGGAGGGGTTGTCGTCGTTATCAGTAATATCCTCCTTTTAGCCGATGTCAATTTTTGTTTCCTCTCCCCGTCAACAGATGCTGGTGCTTATTTTATCGGAGGGTTTTTTGACCAGACCCCCCTAAAAAAGGCCCCTTTCTCTGTCCTTTTTCTCTCTGTTACGTTAATTTGTATTTCTCCTCACATCGGGAAGCTTCTCCGGCCGAGCGAAGAGGCGGTGTTTGGCAGTCTGATGTCCTTGAATAAAACGCGATATCCAGGTGGTGTAGGTGAGAAATCCTCCGTTATTTCCACCCGTTTTGGCGCAGGTAACGTTACAGCCCGCTGTCAAGCCCCTCAGCTTTTTGTATTCCCTTTGAATCCGTATGGTAGATTATGGTTACATGTGCATGATACATGAACGTACCGCGGTGTTTTCAATCACTGATCCAACGGCGAGACGTTTGTTTTCCAACCGCCGACAGGCCGCGTCAGCTCCGGTGAAGCAGCGGAGGGGATGAGGATGGTCTCTTTGCGGTGTTACTCTGAATTATTTTTGCCCCCTTTTTTCTCTCTGAATTGAACATTGAGATAGATAGCGTTGAAGAGGTGGGGTGGGGCAAACGGCTCTCACGGAACCCTGGGAACAAAACGGCGGTCAAGCTCCACCCGACGAGAATTTACAACTTCCGGTCGTATCTTTCACAATAAAGCTCAGTGGGACTCATTGTTTAAGCGTAGGATAGAAAATGACTAGCAAAGCTCTTTCTTACTATTAAGTTTAAATTCAACAAGACAACAAAGGTTTTGAATATTACCTCCCTGTCTACTCTCTTGTAATATACAGAAAATGTTTGGTGGAAGAGAGGGCAGGTATGTATCATAAGCCACGTTTATATGGGTAGTTTTCCTCAATCTGATTGAAATCAATCGGATTAAGTGAATCTGATTCCATCTGTATACATGTACTTTAAGTAAAGAGATCCACGTTCAATCCACATTTGCATGGCCCCAGCTGAATCCCATTGTATTGGGTTTTTTTTTTTTACATGCCCAGAAGGTCACTCTGCCACTACCTGCAAATGTGTAAAAGAATAGGAGGTGCACTACATGCCTCCTGTTTACCTGTAGAAAGACGGATCCGCGTTGTGTTTTGTTGTGTTTTGCTTATTGTGTTGTGGTTACATTTATTTGCGGCTCTGAAGTCACAGCAGTTAATCGCCATGTTTGTTTTCGTTTGGGCGCACTCTGCGTATGTCACTACGTGCCTCTTACGTACTACGGAGCGCCTGCACAGACCAAACAAGCCTCTCTGTAAACCCAATCCGCTCCACTCAGCCGTATATATGGAGCATGGAGCGGATTATCAATCGGCGTAGACTACCTCTTACAATCCGACCCGAAATACAATCAGATCCAGGTGAATCAGATTGGCTAATGTGTTTATATGAGACATTTTGAATCTGATTGACCTTTCAATCTGATTGTAAATAGGATTTTTGGACCCATGTAAACAGGGCTATAGACTGTATATACTATGGACAACTGGTCGCTGTGATGACAATCGACTGGATGAACTATGCAATCTTCATACGCTCATATGTGACGAGATAAGAGAAAAACATAATAAAAGCTGATGAACTGAAGTCATTTGAAGCAGGCATCTAAGTATTATTTGATAAATACAAACATTATTATACTATTCATAAAAGTGGATGTAGCAGTGTGAAAATGACCCTTACGAAAATGGTTTTAACGCCATCAAAATGTGATTAGGGGTGTAAAGGTCAATGTTTTCTTTTGTTAAAAGTAGCAACATGGACATTCCTGTAAATCGATGCCAAATGCCTCAAACTGTGAAAAAAAATGACAGAAAAGAAAAATAAAAAACTTATTTTTCGACTACAAGTAAAAATGTGTGTGTAGACTGTGTGTCATTCAAATTCAGTAGTCTGAAGATAAAGATAGCGGTATATGTTATATATTTTATTTTAGTTTAAAACATACAAACACGACAGTACTATGCCTATTATTTTATTATATGCATAGTATATTGTAATATGTTATTTTATTATTTTTATTGATATTGCCTTTTATATTTACTATCCTGTTTCCGCTCTCGACCCCCCTTTTAATTGCATTTTCTTTTTTCTTAAGTATTTTATGTTTTTATTTTGGTCCTCATGGTCTCATTTTATGTTGCATGGTTCTTGTATTGTCTGGTTCCCTATGACATGAAAATGGCCTTTAGTTCTGTTGAAGCTGAGCTTTTTGTTTTTATCTGTCTTTTTCTATGTGCTTTATGACTATATGTCAAAGCACTTTGTAAACTTCTGTTTTTAAAAGTGCTATACAAATAAAGTTATTATTATTACTGTTATGACACACTGAATTTCTAACATGGTCATACAGCATTTAAAGCCTGATGTTGACACTGAGTAAGAATAGAACGAACTTCACTGATGAATTTATGAGTCAGACTTCTTCTCACTTGAAAACGTACTTTTACTTTGAAGTGAAAATAACCACACTTCCGGTTTTTTCTCTGTCGTCGCTTTACGGATCTGGACTGAAGCAGGCTCAGATCACATGATTGCCCGGAGCGTCATGAAGCAGAGGTACAGAAGGGGAGAGGCGCCCTCTTTGAAGCAAAATGATTATCAACCTGTCCTCAAATAAGGTTTCAATCAACAACAGTGATAAACGCTAAGAAAGTTACTCTCACTTTAATAATAATAAACTATTTAATTGATATGCACTGAGCAAAAACACGAAGTGAACAATGACACCAAAAAGTGAAGGATACTCTGCTCACTGAACCTCTTAAGTCTTGTTGTTCCATGCAGGTCATGAGGGCCTGGCACAGGGGGACAAAGTCATTGTTGTGTCTCAGGTCAGCAATGACAACAGGTCCCAAGTCTAAACTTTATGTTTCAAGTCCACCACATCATTGACCCTTTTGCATTTTCTTCTTTGTTTAAATCCTTTATACTCTGGGTCAGTTTTGGTTACTTCATTAGCTCATCGTCACTTCATTTACTGAGGGATGGGGGGGCTCAAATGACAAGATTAACAGGTTGAACCGGACTAGAGTCATGCCCACCACAAGCAGCTTTAGTTATTTTATAAATATGTAGAAAACAATAAGTCATGATTTGATTTTTTTTAGTGAGATATACCGAATTTTATGACAAAAAACTGCATTAAAGAGTGTAGATACAAAACACAATGTGATGATACAAGAAACAAGGAGGGGTTTGTTACACATGAAACCTTAGGGTGATCGCATGCTGTGGCTTTTACTATCACTATAGATCAGGATCCAACTATTATGTTATTTTCATTTTCACTTTTAATCTTTAACCCACTGGGATACTTTACAAATCAAAAACAAGTCAGAACAAACAAACATTTAGTCACAGATAAATCCAACAAAACATCTCTAAACTTAGGACCTCAACTCAAGGAAGGACTTCAGGATATTGGTTGTATCATAGTTTAAAATAACAAACAACTATATAATATTCATGTTAAGCAAACTACATTATTTCAACTTTTTTTGCGTTAATACATTCATACTGTCAATTCCAGTCCTGTATATACTATAGATTGGCTTGATATTGATAAATCTTGCACTAATCTATGAGAAGATAACACAGTGTTTACTAGTTGATAAATGACTGATGTGCCTCTGTTAACTCCTCTTAAATCCCATTTTACTCAAAACAGTTGCAGCATTGGTAAAATTGATCAATACAGTTTGGGAAATGTTAACTATGCAACCCAGACGCTCTGTAAGCTTGACTCTCCGAATGGTTATCTGAATTTTTAAAGAGCTCCCTGCTTTTTTTTTACCCCCTTTGGCTACATGCCTGCACTGACACACTGCATGAAAAATCATACACACACACATACACACATGCACAACACCTCCCTCCACAAATACGTCAAAAGGCAGGGGAGAGAAGCTCAGGGCAAAACACATAAAGGTCATCAACGACAACTATATGCGACTGTGACTGTCTAATGAACCCAGACAGACAACTGAGAGTAGAAGAAGCGATTGCTCAAATATGAGCAGAAAATTACAGGAAAATATCTCATCCAAAATAAGAAATCTTCTTTTTGTGACTGTTCTTCCCCTTTTAACAAGACAAAGAAGTTCATACTCTTTTCTGAAGGTAACAGTCATTAACCAGTCAATACCCCCGTCATACTGTCATGGAAAGTATCAAAGCATTTACTGACGTACCCACTGTTATATCCTTGGACTTTTTTTTACCTGTACCTCTTGTGTCTCGAGTATTCCACCAACCTGCTTCTTAAAAAGTTGGGACACTGAGTAAAATATTCAGAAAACCAGAGTTCAGTGGTTTGCAAATGATTTAACCACAATAATTAATCATTTAAATCCAATATTTAGTGTTGAATTGAAAATGAAAATGTGAAGACAGCACATCAAACATCAAAACCGAAACACTTTTTTGCTTTGTGAAAAAATACAAATGCTCATTTCAAACTTAATACTTGAAGAATGTGGTTTACCATTGTGTTGCTCAGTCTGCTTGTCTTTCCTTAGGAAAGCATTATCTGGATGGCAGCATAGATTGGTTCAAAGTCTATTCAGTATATACTGTTCAGCATTAATGTGTAGGCTCCCTGTACCACCAGTTCGAGGTGCATCTTAATCGGCCCAGACCTGAAGAAGTTGCAGACATTTTTGGATCGTGTTTCTATATGGTTTGAATCAACTATATACGTATGTGGTAGAATCAACTATGTCCATAGACAATGGTTTTCTATAAATGATTTTGAATCAATGCAGTGATTTCCACAAAAAAAACATCATTGTTTTAATGTAGAGCTGCACAAGGGCCCAAAGATTTAAACCATCCAGAATTTCTTTAGGGACCTTCTCATCTTTTACAGTTTTTTTTTTCCCCAAGTTCTTTTATCGTGGATAGTCACATGTCAATACTCTTTACAATTTTACGGTCAGGATCACTTTCCTGAAATCTATTTGCGCACGCAGTCTCAAACAGAGTGGTGGACCTACATCTTTCCTTCTGAGAGACCCAGAAGGAGTGCTCTTTGTAAACCCGGTCATGTTACTAACCTACTAACCCGCAAATTAACTTGATTAGTTATGGGATTTTCCACCAAGTGTTTTTAAGCACTGTACAACTCTTAAACTGTGCTGTTATCCTTGTTACAGCTATTTTTAGACATTTCTGGTGTGAAATCTAAAATAAGCCTGCATAATTTTACTGTTTGTTCCCAAATTTATTCCTAGTACATTTCAGATATATCTGGCATGAAACAGACTTTGATGAAAGTATATATTGAGGTAGGGCCTCAGAGATCCAAACAACTTGCAATAATCATTTCTCTGGCGATATCATGCCATGTCTGTAAAAGCCCTCTAGATGGCATTATTGGTCATGCAGAATCCCCTCACTGCTGCAAACTTTACCCACCTTCATGGCTGGAAACAGAAACTGTTCATTTTAATCTTCTGCTACATCAAGAAAAAGTTGTTAAACTGATCACAATTTTGAGTATTCAAACAGATTTTTGCTCCAGTTTTAATTTTGAAACTCAGTTTTGGTTTTTGTTTTTTTAATCAGACAAAGTGGGACATGTTCAGGACATGTTATCTTGCACTACAGAAGGTTTTTTTCTTAATTCATCTGCTCTTTACTTTCTTTTTCCTGTTTCTGGTTGGTAGTTTAGTTCATAGATGTATTTTTGTCATACATAGCTGACTTGGTAAATTTTTGCACCAACTTTTTTCCACTACAAGAGTATGCAGTTTATTAATTTAGGATACAATACGATGATATCATGAAAGATTGTTACAACATCCTATTTGATGCATTTAAATATTTTGGTTACATGCAATTTTAAGGGCAACAAACAATATATAGAAATAAAAGAAAGCACAGAAGTTCATCGTAGACAGTCTTTTTTTGTTTTCATAGCAGATAACAAAGTAGTTGTGGTAAGGTATTACGTTTTCATTGTGTACTTGACCCCTTCGAACCCCTGTGCTTCAAGGCTGAAGGGTGACTTCCTGACAACACTGATGACGTCATTTCTGTTATGATATAAAAGACATGAGAGACACTGAAGCCTATCAGAGAAGCCCAGCTGTTCTGCGTTCTCTGGTCTGATCATCATGCGTGAAATTGTGCATCTGCAAATTGGACAATGTGGCAACCAGATCGGCTCAAAGGTAACCAAACAAAATCTGTCTTCACCATTAAATGCAATAACTTTTTTTTTTGTTCAAGTTTGATGAAATATTGGGTTTGATAAGAGTTAATTTAAATTTTGATCTACTTGCTGCATATGTGCTGAATGAATGAGGTTGCTGCTGAAATAATTCAACTGTCCATCTCACTGCGATCAAATCATTTTAATTAAACAAATTTTGAAGCTATGGCGCAAGTTTTGGCACTTTGTGTTTATTTCCATGGTGCTACTGACAGTTTTGAGTGACACAGGGTGTTCCCTGTCATGTATTCAGAGTAAAGATAAGAGGCGTATGCGAGACTGGCATGGGTGGGACTTTTTTTATCATGGCAGCCACAAAAAAAGGGAAGGGAGCTGCAAGATAATTAAGCTGTAAGTTGCCTTGAACATGCCATGCAAAGAACAAAGACATCATATGAGTATTATGTCAATAATCTTAGTCATTTTATCTTCAACAGCAGAGATTTATAATCTGGTCAGAACATGTCGTGAGTACAACCTGATTAGACAGAGACTAATATCGGTAACATGATGTATGTAGACCTGCAGGAAGGCCATCAATTCTAATTAAAAGTTAAAGCCACATAAAATCCAAATTCTGAGATGACTGCAAGGAAAACAACCAAAATGGTGGTGGACAGAAAGAAAATCGACAGATGGGAATTTCACATTATCTCCTAACTCTCGGCTGTTTGTGAGTGAGCACCTTACATTCTGTCAACGCCTCTGTCCTTGTAGTTTTGGAGCGTGATCAGTGAAGAACATGGGCTCAACGCAAATGGAAACTATGAGGGAGACTGCAGCCTCCAACTGGAGAGGGTCAACGTCTACTTCAGAGAAGCTCATGGTGATAACACTGACTGCAAACTGTTCATTTACCAGTTACTTTTTGCATTATTCTTCTCTATCATTACATTTTTTTTACTTTGACACTTAGATAAACAAATTTTAAAGATGAGGATTCCCATTTGCTGTTTTTTTTAGGTGGGAAATATGTCCCCAGGGCCCTGCTTGTTGATCTGGAGCCTGGTACCATGGACAGCGTGAGAGGAAGTCGCATCGGGGCCCTTTTCCGGCCAGATAACTTCATCCACGGTAAGACAATTAATGTGGAAGTCAGACTGCCAAGACTGTCCTGTTCATTTGCTCTTTAATAAATGCCACTTATGTCATTATGAGGAGAGGAAACTGTAAACATTCATGGTACTGCCAAATAACCAGGGTCAAGTTTGCCAGACAAATTTACAAACTTGTTGATGATTATGTGATTCTATTTTTTTTTGTTTTTTTTTGCATCAAACGCTGACATCCATTATGGTTGTTTAGGAAAATGTCTTAATGGTATACAGTCACCAAATTCAACAAATGCCATATTGGAAAAGGTTGTGATTGGTCGAATATGAATTAGGTTGGATGAAAATATATATTCAGCCGTATGTGAAAAAACTCTAGGGCTGTGTTTCCATTATGACTGTGATTGTATTTTTACTATACCAGTGTGATTGAAAAGTGATGGAGTAAGACGACCCTTCAAACCTTTATTATTATTTATGTGTGTTACAGGCAACTCTGGCGCTGGGAATAACTGGGCGAAGGGCCATTACACTGAGGGAGCAGAACTGGTGGAGCAGGTTATGGATCGAGTGAGGAACGAGAGTGAAAGCTGTGATTGCCTGCAGGGCTTCCAACTTGTTCACTCCTTAGGAGGTGGCACCGGCTCCGGCATGGGGACCCTCCTCATTAACAAGATCCGAGAGGAGTACCCTGACCGCATCATGAACACCTTCAGCATCATGCCCTCCCCTAAAGTCTCTGACACTGTGGTGGAGCCGTACAACGCCACCCTGTCAGTCCACCAGCTCCTGGAGAACACAGACGAGACTTTCTGCATCGACAATGAGGCCCTCTACGACATCTGTTTCCGCACGCTCAAACTGACCACGCCTACTTACGGGGACCTCAACCACTTGGTCTCTCTGACCATGAGTGGAGTCACAACCTCCCTGAGATTCCCCGGGCAGCTCAATGCAGACCTGAGGAAGCTGGCTGTCAACATGGTACCTTTCCCTCGCCTCCACTTCTTCATGCCAGGCTTTGCCCCCCTGACTGCCCGCGGGAGCACACAGTACAGAGCCCTCTCAGTGCCCGAGCTCACTCAACAGATGTTTGACGCCCGCAACATGATGACAGCCTGCGACCCAAGGCGGGGGCGTTACCTCACCGTTGCTGGCATCTTCCGAGGCAAGATGTCAACCAAAGAGGTAGATGAGCAGATGCTTGCAATGCAGCAGAGAAACAGCAACCACTTTGTCGAGTGGATCCCTCATAACGTGAAGGTCGCCGTCTGTGACATCCCACCAAAAGGCCTAAAAATGTCCTCCACCTTCATTGGCAACAACACAGCCATTCAGGAGGTATTCCGCCGGGTAGGGGAGCAGTTCTCGATGATGTTCAGACGAAAAGCTTTCCTGCACTGGTACACAGGGGAGGGTATGGATGAATTGGAGTTCAGTGAGGCAGAGAACAACCTCAACGACCTGGTGTCAGAGTACCAACAGTATCAAGACGCCACCACTGAGCATGACTGGGATGCAGAGGATGAGGAAGTGGATGGACCCTCATCAAAAACGATGACGCAAGTCCAGTCCCAGGTGGAAGTCAAACTAGAAACAGTGATTGAAACAAGCAGAGAAACTGTAGAGTAAGAAGAGGGTGCAAAGTGTGGTGTGTTGGTTGGACACATAGTTGGAAAACTTGTCTCATTGTCCATCCAAAGAAAATTTAAATTTAATTCAATTTAAATGATTTAAATAGCCTCAGCTTGAAAATGTGACATTTTAATAAGGTGCTCTTTCTCTCATTGTGTATTTTTTCAGAGTGTGGGCCTGTATCATTGTCTAAATTAGAGTAAAATCTGTGTTTTATATTATGTGTTTAAAGATTGTGGAAATGTATGTAAATATAAAGACTGTTATGCTATGCAAACTTTATGTGCTTTTAAACAGAGGTGGGGGAAAGTCCTTATGTTGCATAAGTCCAAGGCAAGTCCAAGTCCTTTGCTCTCAAATCTCAAGTCAAGTCCAAGTCAACACAGACAAGTCTCAAGTCAAGTCCAAGTCCTTACCGTGTCTTTCAAGTCAAAAACAAGTCATATCAAAGCCATAAACCATGTTATATGTAAAGATTAACATAAATCATGAGCATTTTTCACTATTTGCATTTATTATTAAACACTTGTTTGAGTTAAGTTACATAGTGCAGCTTTAACCAAACTATTTTACATGTCATAAAAAAAATAATCAGATAAACTTCAATAATTGGAAACTTAGACAATGTGCACAAAAATAAGGAAGAATCAAATACAATTAAACATTAAACTGATGCTCTAATTCACTGTTCCAAAACAAAACAAAGAGAGACACTAGGCAACACGTGGAAACAGGCGGGTAATACTAGCGAGTGATGTATGTTCAGTCCTCCCGGTGTTGTCGTTATGAGGGAGGCTAGAGTTTGAGACAGTGTTGCCAAGTTTCGTGAGAGAAATGAGGAAACAGACCTCCAGAAACAAGCCAAAAAACAAGTGATTTTTCTGTGGGAAACAAGCAGACTTGGCAACACAACACAAAAAGACTTTTCAAGTCATTGGGCTCAAGTCAAGTCAAGTCTCAAGTCTTTAGCAATCAAGTCCCAAGCAAGTCCAAGTCATTTCTTGATCATCAAGCAAATCAAAAACGGGACTCAAGTCCAAGTTGAGTCTCAAGTCGAGTCGTCAAGCCCCCACCTCTGCTTTTAAGTTATAAGAATTTAATTTTGATTGTTACACTGTTTGACATTTCACTCCATGTTCAGTATATGTTTCATTGTCAGTTTTGTCTTTACAATAAATACATCACCAAACAGAGAAGTGACCATTTCTAACAAGCATATCATCTCTATAGCACAAATATTTCCCACCTCATCCAGTTTTATCTTTCAAAGCCAAACAGGAATAAAATAAAATTGTATTTTGTTGCAGTGATGGACAAGCCCCTGACAGCACAGTGACAGTGACACGGTTGAAGGCTGTCACAGTTTCCTTCTCTTCTTAAGGATCTGGGACATAGAGATTACACACGACTCGGCCAGTGCGTCTGCACTCCAAGATAAGCATGCGACGTGGCATTGCCTCAGCTGCACTGTTGCAATGAGGCTGAAGACACATAGGCATTGAAAAGGAAGACGATAATGCATGTAATACGTGTAGATGTAGGTAACAGGGGCAGACGAAGGATTGCCTCATAGGCCAATGTACTTACAGGTCCAAAGGTTGCAATGAGGTCAGGAGGCAAGCACTCACTCAGCATGCTGATTTCAGTGGGCCAGTGGTCCCAAAGTTAACCTATTATTTAACTGAGCATTTACTACGAGCAACACTCTCACACAGTTTAATCGAGGGGTGATTTTTGACTTGTATTCCATATCTTTTAAAATAAATCTAAATCTAAAAGTAAGCCTAATAAATGTTTTATTCAGTTAGACAAAGAAGTCAGTATAAGATATTTGGAGTAAATGATATGTTCTCCTTAAAAAAAAGAAAATTATCCCATTACAAGACTTAACACTCTTCAGATTCATATCTTATCTTGTAATTGACCATATTTGAGAGTCATCAAAGTTTGATTATGTAACTTGTCATATGAATAATCATCTCCCATTGCAGGTTTTAACCCTTTCTTGCCTTTTGTATCATATTTGATACATACTTTTATATACTTCTATCAAATCAATATGATCAACAAATTACTAAAATAACACCTGAATAAATAAATCAGATAAATGATAAAAATGTCCTCTTGTAGTTTATCAGTTTCCAAAAACATCTAACGTATCAAACAAGATAAATAAATATATTTGTTAAATTTTAAGAACATTTTGGTTTTCAGTAGTAATTGAAATAAACCTTTCAGCTCCAAAAAAATTTGAATTTTCTGGCCATAATAGTGGTGTCAGGCATTAATAGGCTACTAGCTTGAAAATTATAAAGCCCATCAAATTGAAACTCATATTTTAGAGCATTATGAATGAGGATTACATAAAGGTTTGAGTACTGAGTCTTTGTGCCTGGGTCTTCCCTCACTCTGTCAAGGTTGCAGAGGACTTTTAACCTTCACTGAGATGCATTGTGCAACATTGAAGGTTAAATTAATGATATCTCTGAAGGTTAAACTCGGATAGTAGATCCTCTGCACGATGTAAGCTGAGGTGAAGTGTGGCATTATTGAGAGATTTTCTATTTTCAGTCAATCAGTTGATAAAAAGTATATTTTTGTAGGCTGTAGCATTGCTCATGCACTATAAACGAGACTCATTCGTGTTGTGTCATTCGCGAACGAATCGTTCAAAAGAACCAAATCTTTTAAGTAAACGTACTGAACTGAATAACTTCATCGAGTGATTCGTTCGTTTCTCACTTCAGTTGAGCTGAAGTGAGAAACAGCATTGCCAGGCCAGCAGCCGGCGAACGAGGGACCACATGCACCAACGCCTGAATCACTTGGTGACCAAATCACGCATTGAACTACACTCTCTGGAATCATTATTGTTGGACAAAACTACATTTTTGTTTTCACTGCTAAATTGCCACCACAACAACTTGTATACAATAGGACACAGCATGTAACAAGTAATGCATTAAACCCACAGCATCATTGCAGAGGTTTGCGAGGGAATGGTGTATGTTCAGTGTGAATTCTTCCATGTGTTCAGTGAACAAATCAGCGAGCAGATCTGGTAAATAGCATACCATAGGACAGTGCATTTAAAACATCATGACTCATAAACAAGTTCATTTTTACAAACCTGTTTGCCAAAGCAACACAGCCAAACACTCTCGTCTCCTGCTCCCAGAAGCTTTGAATTAAACTGAATCCTGAACTGTTCAGCTGTGTATCAATTCAGGAGGTCAGAGTCGTAGGCTTCTCCCGGTGATTTGGTGAACGAATCTTTTGAACGAATCATTTTAGTGAACCGATTCTAGTGATTCAGTTCATCTAAAAGAACTGCAGTGCCCATCACTAGGACTCATGCGGCATTCACTGACTGGCGGAAGTGCGTCACTAATCCCCCTCATGTGACTGCTGTCTCTGGTACAGTGGGCGGAGGCTGACAGTCGGGTGTCTTTGAACGTGGTTCGCCGACTCCATTCAGTGTGACTGCAGCTGCCTTTGCCTGCTTATCTCCACTCGACTCCTCGGCATCACCAGCTGTCAACCAACAACTTTCACCATGAAGATCTGGACGTCGGAGCACGTTTTTAAGTAAGTTTACCGAGACATGTTTGATTTTTTTCTCCCGTAATGTGTTTAAGGACGGTCCGCTTGTCGGAGGTTCACTGTCTGGTTCAGGCGGTTAGGTAACGGTGGCTGGCTTCGAGATGAATCTGCGAAACATGGTACTGACTTAAGGACTAAAAAACTGCAGCTGTGTGTTTGTTTCTGAGTTATTCGCAAGATTACAAGTAATGCAAGCTCCGTTACAAAACCAGACTTCGAATCGTGTAATATTAGCAGTTGTTTCGTGAACATCACACTTTAACGAAAGTTTGTAATATGTTAATGTATTTAGTTTAAAATTAACATTTAATCGAATTAAACGTGACCGTTAGACCTTAAATATCTCATCGCAGGAAGAAAAAAAAGAGCTGCCATATTGCATAAGACGCCGGTCAGGTCCAGCCCCCTTGCGCGCGACCTTTCCCCTACATTTTGCCGCCGCGTATGCTTACGTCACAGTACAAAGATGGCGCATGAACGCGTCTCCTTGACAACCACAAGTAACTCCGGCTTTCACTCGTATTTTAGCTTAAAAAATACAATAGAAATTGATAAAACACAGTGAAATAAAGACGATAATCTTTAACACTAGAACACTATCGCTAAAATTCGTAACACCATCACTATTCCGAAATAATATACCCAAGAAAAAGTCAAAATATATCAAAATAGGACAACACATAACAAATTAAAGTAGTTTTCTTTTATTTTTAACTGCACAATGTCCGAAGGAAGGGGAAAAGGTGCCATGAGGGGACCATATAAAAATGCAACAAAATAACTGATGTGAGGCATTCATGATCACAAAATTCCTAAAATAAAATTTCATATAAACTGGAGACTTAGTTTCTTTTCCACCTATTCCTGGGGCATGTGAGTCTTCCCTGGTAAGGACTGCAGGAGAGAGAACCAAAATATGGCAGATTTTGAGTGAGTAAAAATGACTAGCTGACTAAAATATTTCTTATCACCACATGAACTCCCTAGAAAATCACTCCTTTGTGATAGTCAGCATGCAAATTCCAGGACCACTCTTACTTACCTTATTCCCTACATACAGCTATCAAATCCACCCAAACCTACTTCACCCTTTATCCCAGGGACCCATGATACTCAGACAAACGCTACATAATGAAAATCTCGTTAACATATCTGATCAGGTGAAAATCACCGGTGATAGTGTTTCTAGGGTTAACAAAATATACTGTAAAGTTTTATAAAACTGCATGAAATAAAGACGATAATCTTTTAACTCTCAGTGCTTAGAAAAATATGTAGACATTTGTGAAAGCAATCCTCATTTAGTTTCACCACATTATAAACTGTGGCACACTACAGTGATTAGGTTTTGGTCATTTAACAACCAGTCAAGTTTATACAGTTAAAAGAATATCCTTGCTTTGAGAGTAAGTACACAGTTTTCAGTCTTTCAGGTAGTCAAGCAGTGAATGAATAATTTTATTTTTGCCCTTCTTCCTGCAGCCATCCATGGGAGACAGTGACCAAAGCTGCGATGCAGAAATACCCCAACCCCATGAACCCTAGTGTGATCGGAGTAGACGTTTTGGACAGAGGCATCGACACACAGGGACGCCTTCATAGTAAAAGACTGCTCAGCACAGAATGGGGTCTTCCATCTATAGTCAAATCTGTAAGTTTTAACCTATAGCAGTAGCACTGATTTGCAATCTGCAGCATGTCGGGGAATACTTAGCTGTCGCTGCCTTAAAGTGAAACATGCTGAAAATGCGCACATGTGACTCTAGATGGAGAAACCCGTGACCGGCAGTAGCCAGTTTGTGCTCGTGGTCTGGGTGCTCTCCTTTAACACTATTGAATGAGTGCAATGCGACACTTATTACAGAAAGTATCAGAACAAAGTGAACTCAACTTCTTATATTTCATGACTTAAAATAATTTAAAATGTCAGACCTGATGCTGTGAGTCCAGATATAGTCTGAGTCAGTCATGTGCCGGACAAAGGGTTAATGCTTTCCATCCCGTGTACCATAACCCTGCAAGGCTATTTCTGTCCAGGGGAAGAGCAGCAGACCTGCTTGCTGACTGGAAACCAGGCCAGTTTATGGCTCTGTTCCACGGCTCGTGTTGTACGGGACACTCTAGTGCCATTTCAGTCATAGCAGGGATGTAACCCCTGACTGCAAGTGATGTAACTTTCCATAGCTGTCGGCTCGGGTTTGAACTAGAGGTCAACAGCACCGTGCAGAACAATGACTTGCTTTGCTTCTGACTGTGCGCAGCGTGTTGTGAACTATTCCCTTTCTCTTTTTCTTTCTGAGCTTGTTAATGAGAAGGCTGGGTAAAGATAATTTCCAGCTTTTAAGCCATGTTTTAAACCGTGTGAAAACTAGCCAATCAGCAGCTCCTCTTTACCACTGACCTCAGCTTGGATGTTTAAAGATGAGGTTGGACTCAGTGGCAGAGCCTATGAATAGCCCCTTTAATTCCAAGGGCAGCCTATGGCACAGGATGACCCCGTGAATGATACCACATTAACTCAACTGTTAATCAGATTGTCTCTAATCAAGTCAATCCTGTGTCTGAATTGAGTATTAACTGAATATATCATGACACCGTCCTCATATCGGTTTATCTTGTAATACTTTGGGGGCGAAACCTTTTTATTTAAACAGACAACGACTGAAACAAAGACTTTAAAAAGTTCATAAAATGATTTGTAGGTGAAACTGAGCCTCTTTTTTTCCCTCTAAAGACCTCCCTTAAGAAGCTTAATCTGACCTCCTCAGACTCAAGATCTAAATTGGCAAATATTATTTTAGTGTTTGTGGATAAATTATAGAAATAAGTAGATTTGTTGTAGCAACAGCTGGCACTGATGCATTTCCCCTTAAAATCCTGACTGAGACAATTTCTTTTGATCAAGGAGATGAAGTCAGAACCAACAGCTGATTTACGTGTTGTGCTTGAGGGTGTGAAGCTTTGTGCTTTTAATTACTTTTGGGGACAGAAGAAATATTTTGATTTAAACAGTTAAATTCAGTTTGTAATAATGTGATTTTCTTTGTCTTCCTTTAGATCATTGGTAACTCACGGACGTACACATACGTTCAGGAGCATTCGGTTGTTGACCCCCAAGAGAAAACTTTTGAACTCCAGTCCACAAATGTGAGTACTTAAGACATAACACGCAACATTATACCGACTTTTTTCCTCATTACACATCTTATGAAACTGTTTACAAAACGAATCAAATTGTGTGTCAACCCAAAACAGACATTACATATCTAGATCACGTTGTCCTGTCTTCTGTTTCTCTGAGCACACTCAGAACAATGTGTTAAACTGTCTCAGGAATGAGGTTTTGCTCGTTCGCCGGGTCCATAGATTATAGCTCAACAATGAAAACTCATAATGTGTTCTCATGCTCCCGCTGACTTCATCTTTAACCCTCACTCAATCATGTCTTATGTCTTCTGTAGATCACCTTCACAAACATGGTGTCTGTGGATGAGAAGTTAACATACAAACCACACCCTGAGGATCAAGACAAGTGAGTCTTTGTTGAGAGGAGTTTTAGATCACTTATGTCTGTAATTTCTTTGGTAGATTTGAGACTGATTGTTTCTCATCTTTTTAGGACGATACTGACTCAGGAAGCTATCATCTCTGTGAAAGGAGTCAGTCTCAGCAGTTACCTGGAGGGAGTTATGGCCAGTACCATCTCTGCTAATGCAGGAAAGGTAAGAATTATTATTATTTTGGTCCTGTGATATTTGATCATCTGTATCCTAACTGTCTTTAGATATACTGTTACTGATGGTAACCTAAGGTGTGAGAGTATGGGCTCAGTAGGATTTGTTGTGCTCTAGTTTGCACACATTAAAACCTGCGAGAGGAAGCTGTGGCAGCTTGAGAAGGCTTAACCACACTGGTTCTCAAGGCCATACACCTGCACCACTACTGCATGAAGTGGGTGTCCTAATTAGTTTTAATCTTGAACGTCTTCCTGACTTGGCTGTCACACATCTAACATCGAAAAGCTGATAGGGGGACGACAGGCTACACACGAAGTTTAAAGTATACTGACCTGCTACTCGTTAAAGTCTCATACTTCTTTTTTGTTTACCAGGGCCGTGAAGCCATGGAGTGGGTCATTAGGCGACTGAATGAAGAAATCGAGGAGCTGGCAGCCACAGCGCGCACCACCATACGCACTCCCATGGCTGCTGCTGTCACCGAGAAATGACACCCGCCCCTCTTTTACAGCAGAGCCTGAGAGAAGCTACATGCCAGTACAACCAGCGTCCCTTTGTGATGCTGCTTTGGTGCTCTGAAGATTTTGTATTATTGAGGGTAAACTTCATTCATCTCATACTATCTACATTAGATATCTTTTTAACAGCACGAAACACGAAATGATTCTGGGGGGTGTTTTCAGTGGATGCTGCTTAACAGGACTGCGGTGAGGAAATGTCAGTGGCCAGCTCAGGGACAAGTTTAAACACCACTGTTAACTGTGTTTGGTAATATGTAGCATTGCCAAAAAGGCAGGAGGGGCACTGAGTGAACTGAAAAAAAAAAAAAAAAAACGTGCCAAAGCAGACGCACCCCTTTTTGCCTCGCCTCTCAAGCACTTTTGCCAGCTGTGTTCTCATCCGAGCACATGTGAGTCTCCTCTGGCATGAAATCTGTGCTGGCAGCGGCAGAGTTTTAAGAAGAACAGTTATGGTGAGAGGAACACTCCTGCTGCTGCAGCAACAACAACAACAATGCCTTGTTGAGGCAGGGGTCAGGTGTGTAAAGGGTACATGGAATCGGTTTCAGGTGACAAAGAGTACAAGCTTGGGTTAGCACAGCCAGCGACACTGACATGTTAATGAAATACTTCTCTGTAACTGCAGAGAGCTGTCTCCTCAACAGTGTTTTTCTGTGGGACCTCAGTAAATAACAAGACACTCTGTACCAGGCAAAGTGTGTGCGCCTGAATGTATACTGTATTTTGTTATAATGTGTTAACTAATATTGCTATTGAGGTATTTAAGTGAAATGAAGGGATCAAGGTACTTGCCATGTTTATGCTTTGAAGTAGATCCTCTCAAATGCTGTTGAAATCCATTCGAAGTGTAGACACTCAATCAGTAAGAACTTTCGGCTACATACTAGACCTGAACATGTTTGCTGAACTCAAACAGTTGTATCAAATTATACAAGATTATAGTTCCTCAGTTACGACAAAGACCTCTCAGCTTCTCTGTGGAAAAGCTGAAACATTTTATTTGCACTTTCGGGTTTTTAAATCGATAAAGAAAGCTACTTAACTTGCTGAGGATGACAATAATCTGAATATTTTGGTAAAGCTGTTTGGGACTTAAATCGTTGTTACAGTTAGCATTTGAGAAGATCTCTCTTCATGTAACAGACAGTAGTGTGGTGATGGTGAAAGTTTCTGTAATTTATTTTTTTTACATGTAACAGGAATATTTATTCAGAGAAACTTTTTGGTTTTGAGTAGTTAGCTCTAACTTTGTCTGACCAACCCGGTAATGTGGCAACAACTGCTTAGGTAATAAATGTGTTTTTGTGAATTTTGTGCCTATGTTAAAAATGTCTCACTAACTGCAGAATGTGAAAATAAAGTTATGTATTTTAAACTACTTCAGACGTGCTTTTTCCATTATTTACAAGATGTGCAACAGATTCCTCTACAAATTAATGAGTACATGTTCCTGTTTGAACATAAAACATTGATTTATGAAAATTGTGTCCTAATACCAACCTAACCGCTATGTAAATGTAGCACCTCCAGTACATATTATTATTATTCAAAAATGTGGAAATAGCCTCTGTGACTCGAGGATATTCTCTAAATATACTTTGTAAAAGTCAGTGTTTGCTGGGGGACATGATGGTAGCTCTGTGAGACTTGGGATTATCAGTTTGCATACTCAAGCACAGGTGTCAATAGTAACTTTTAAAGCCTGAACCAGAACAGTTTTAACGTATTTAACAACTTTCAGTTTTATTCAATCAATCTTCTTTATTCAACTCGGATACATTAAGAAGGAAAACTATGTTTTTCTTCATTACAACCTACAGTGTGGACCTTGCTTTTCATTTATCTTTTTATCCATCAGGTAATATTTAATAGGTAGATAAAATTGGCTTCACCTTAACCACATGCCATAAGAAGTCAAATTTACACCAGATTGCATCACTTGTATTATGAGGGTCAAAAAACATACCAAAGATTCAGCCTTGTTCTTTACAATTTTCTGTCTTAACATTTTATTCCTTTTCATAAAAAAAGTTTTAAAGAAAGAAATTTATATTATATTGTTATAGAGAAATATAGTAGAGTTTCTTGAATGTCTGAGACGTGCTACCACTTTTGTAAAATCTATTGTAGGTGTGGACAAGTAAGACTGCATTCATTTAAAGTTAGTCATTTATAGATGATCCAGGTTTAAAGTGGAAGGGTCACATGCTGCCACATGGTGGCCAAACAGTAGACTCACATTTGAATTTATTTTCTAAATAATTACTTTTTCAAAGATGTTACCAGTGTTGTCCTGATTTTTTAATACTGTCAGAAGAAAAGTGTAATTTGAGGTTGAAACTGTGATGCTCTCATGGGTATGGTCTGCCCTTCTGGATAGGTTTACTGGATTAAATTGAGCATGTCTGTGTTTGTTTTTTCAATACACAATGATATATAGATAAATAACATAAAATGTGACTTAACACTTGAAAGGCTCTGATCATCATCCTTCAATGCAGGTATGTCCCTGCTGTCTTAAAGTCAGTGTGAAATATTCAGCTCATTATTTTCATCTCCTGTAGTTGTTTTTAAAAGTCTCTCATGGCCTCATTCTTTTTTTATTTTGCTCTACAAAAATGATATTGTCTATCGAGGAATAAAACTGCCAAAATTGAATAAATACATACATCATTAAATAATTACTTAAATGTCCTGGTAAATAATCAAAAGTGTCAATAGATAAATACATGTATTATTAAAAGTGTCATTAATTAATTGTGTCAATAAATACATGTGTCAATAATTATCTATAAGTGTCAATAATTGTTTAAAAGTGTCAATAATTATTTAAAAGTGTTGATAAATAAAAGTGTCAATAATTATTTTAAAGTGTTAATAAATATTTAAAAGTGTCAGTAATTATCTAAAAGTGTTAAATAAATAAAAGTGTCAATAATTATTTAAAAGTGTCAATAAATAAATGAATAAAGGTGTCAATAACTATTTAAAAGTGTTAATAAATGAATAAAAGTATCAATAAATAATGAAAATACCATTTTCATGAGAATACATATATTTATTTCATGGTCCGGTTTTGTGATATCCATCATTTTTCAGGTTTAGGACATTTTTGTATATTACATTCAGACAAGAGCGTTAACCGCGACGCTACCCTCTGACTTCCCTTTACGTCATGACGTTTCACGACAGCCAATGGCTAGCGAGCAGGAGCATTCCTTCAGCCAATAGGAGTCCGTGATGTATTAAAAGGGTTTGAACGGAGGAACATTTGAAATCCAACGAACAGAGTCGAGGAGAAGAAGTGTGAAGCAGCCACAATAGACGTCTGTTTTCTATCATTTTCAGCCTGAATTAACCTCGTTACAACATCGGAACGGCTTCGAATGGGACTTATATTTCGTAAGCGTTGTCTTGTTGCGACGTGAAAACGGAATCTGTATGTATTTTTCCACAAACTCTAGCTGGCGTCAACGGACCGACGTAGCTGCTAGCTAACGTTAGCTAACTGCTTCAGAGCTGCTCGGGGTTTGAATTTGGAGAAGTCCCTCAGTGGTTATTGTGTAAAAAAGTTAACATACAAAGGTAAGCGAAATATCTTTAAAGGTGTTGTTTGAAGTATTTAAGTAAACCTCGTCTTTCACATCCTTGGCTTCAGCGTTATCCACACGGTTGTTAGCCACATGACGGATATGCTAACGTTTAATCCCTGTTGACGCTAACGGAGAGTTAACTCGGGAGAGAATTACTCCGTTTATTGTTATCATAATAATTTCCTTTTTTGGTAGGCAGTTGAATAACCTATTTACACGTTCCCTTTTCCAGGATATGGACTCTGCTGCCAAGCTCAAGCTGACTAAAGACATCAAACCTCAGAGGCCTGATATGAAGGTATTTGCACCACTTTCTCAGTCAAAACTGTTCATTAAAAAGGATAAAAGGGTTTAGCTTTAGTTTTTTAGGTATGCAAGTGAAACAACAAAACCACATAAACTATAAACAAATGAAAGGATGAGTTTTTGAGAAAAACTGGTAAATGAAGGGTGGGTAAACATTAGGTCTGGGATGATATGCTTTTCTCCCGATTCGATTCTTCTACTATTTGACGCCCGTTCGTAAATTGCGATTCTACAATATTGACGATTTTCTCAATTTTATACTGCATTTTTAACACCAGTGAAACAGTTGAATGATTATGATTGTCTAGTGACTATTCCAGGAACCATATTTCCTCAAAAAATACACATCACGTGTAAGTCTGTTTTAAAGATTTATTCTTAAAATCGATCTTTGGACATAAAAATCGATTTAAAAATTGTGAAACAAAAAATTGTGATGACTAAAAAATGACTAAAGGACATTACAAAGCTGCCGATTGAGAAGTGTAGCTTAAGGCAATGAGTTGAGGCGTAAAATTCATGAAGGGTCAAACACACTGTAACACTGAGTTAGACACCCCCTCGAGAGGTGAATGTTGCCGACCGATTGCTTCTCTATTTTACCGACTTTAGTTACGACAGCAGGATAGTGATACACAGCGGTCTGAGGAGCCATAAACCAACCTCAACCAAAACGCCACTCTATAGCCACAAATAATGCTCAGAACAGCACCGAACTTCATCAACAGTACATATAGGGTCCCAACCATAGTGCTTGCCACCAAACATCCTTTTCTCCCTTATTTCTTTAGCAAAGAGACTAAACACAACTCACCTACCCCCTCCAGCAGCCGCTTGTTTGTAGCAAGACCTCAGGCCAATCCATTACAGACTGCTGGGGGGTGACGCAGCTCAAGGAAGAAATGGAAATGTAATCAGACCGAGACCCAAAGGCAGAAAAACTACTGTGTCTGCAGAGCAAAATGATTAATATGGTGATTATGACTTCAAGGAAATGATAAAGAAATGATCATAAATGTTCTTCCTTGAGCTGTGTCACCCCGCAGCAGTCCGTGATGAACTGGTCTGAGGATAAAAAGTTAAAAAGATGTTTGGTGGTTAGTGCTATGGCGGGGACCCTATATGTACTGTTGATGAAGTTAGGTGCTGTTCTGAGCATTATTTGTGGCTATAGAGTGGTGTTTTGGTTGAGCGCCTGGCTCTCTGTATTGCTATCATGCGATCGTTACTAAAGTTGGTTTAACTAGAGAAGCAATCGGTCGGCAACATCCATCTCTCGAGGGGGTGTCTAACTCGGTGTTACTGTGTGTTTGACTCTAAATTAATTTAACGTCGGAATATCCCTTTTAAGGCAATGAATTGAGTCTCTGGTAAGAAGTATTGCGGGGTTTCAAAGAGTTTTCATCCCACATCACCCATGTCGACGTGGATAAACCCCAGATACCAGATAATGACCGTACTAATTCAGACATCAGGAACTTCAGACTTCTCATTTTTATTACTGACACCATATTGAAAATATCTCGAATGTAGGAAATAAGTACCACGGCACTGTCATCTCTCATTTTAGTGATTTTTCTTTTGCATGGATTCGCATGAACTTTAAGTTAAGGGATCACACTTCATGCCAATATTGTTATGCTGTCAATGCTTTCACACATTGCATGTTTTTCTCTTATCGTTTGGTCCTTTTTAGATTGATCAGTAATTCCTTGAAACCCTGTTCACTTATAAAATTATTTGATTTCCTATGATTGCAGTTGAATATTGATGGGCCAAAGCGAGTTCCCACGTCCCAGCAGACCCAGATGACTTCTGTGGCAGTCACACCATCTGCATCTGCCCAACACCGTGTTTTGGGCGTTTCAAATGGACCTCAGCGAATTCAGCGGCCCGTGAGCCACCAGAAACCAGTTTCGCATGTCCCTGTTACTTCTAAGTCCAGGAATCCTACCAATCAGAATGTGAATCCAGCTACCCACAGTGGAACATCGCAGCCCAAACGGGGTCCCCAGCAAAATCAGCCAAAGACAAATGAGCCCAAGGTGAATTCAGAGCCGGCAAAACCACCGTCGGAACCAGAGAAGCAGGACAAACCACAGAGTGAGCATCATTCAAAATAGGATGGGCTAATCAACAGTGTATGTATGTTTTTATTTTCTGTGGCTTCAATGAATCCTGTTATCTTTTATTAGATAAACCTGCCAAGGATGATTCTGCAAAGGACTCTGCAAAAGACTCTGCATCAAGGTACGTAGGACAACAGAAAAACATTTGTTACATATTAAATTATTTATTTTGCTTTATTTATTTTTATAGATATTGTCTGTAACCACATGATTTTACTCATGCAGCAAGCGATGGAGTTTGGACAATTTTGACATTGGCCGTCCCTTAGGAAAGGGTAAATTTGGCAACGTGTACCTGGCCAGGGAGCGACAGAGTAAGTTCATCTTGGCCCTGAAGGTGCTGTTTAAGAAGCAGCTGGAGAAGGCCGGGGTGGAGCACCAGCTGAGACGAGAAGTCGAGATCCAGTCTCACCTAAGGTAACAGTCTATAAATACACAGTGCCAAATAAAAGTCCATATGGTAATTCAGCCTACCACAAAGTTTGCTCACATGGTTGTTATAAGTGAAAAATGAGCAACAGTACAAAATTGATGTTGCTAAGTTTCAATAAGACAGAAACAGACACCCAAAATTCTCAATTATTTTGCCTGAAAACTTAGTGTAACAAATCAAGTTGAACACTGACTCTTTAGAAAGTTACAAAATTGCACACCTTGATCTGCCAATGTATTGCAGTAAAGGTGGACTTAAATGCGAGCTTTCTGTGTGTTTAATATTTTACACACAGCCTTTGTGGTAAATGTGTGCACTTGTTGAGCTCCAGGTGGTCATGCTCAAATGCCACACACTGCTAGATTCAGCATTCATTGAACCAGTCTTGGCTTGAGTTTCCTTCAGGTTATTAAGATAAAACCAGTAGCACCATACTGAGCCTTTGACCTTTTATTGCTGGCATTCATATAAAATTCCAATCCCTCTGCTTGCAATGTCGGAGATTTTAACAATATTTATCCGACAACTTCTCTGCATCGGCAACCTGCAGGCACCCCAATATCCTCCGTCTCTACGGTTACTTCCATGATGCCTCTCGTGTGTATCTCATCCTTGAGTATGCACCCAAGGGTGAATTGTATGGAGAGCTACAGCGCTGTGGAAATTTTTCAGAGGAAAGAAGTGCAACAGTAAGTCCTTCAATCCATCTACTCTGAAATGTATAATTATTATTCTCAAAGGTTACAGTAATCCATGTAAGCTGTACTCAAATGCCATTCTAAAATGTGAAGGGTTTGCTTCCTTAAGTTTGGGGAACATCACAAATTTATAAGAATGCTCTCAACCGAAGTGTGATGAAAGTTTGGTTGACACTTTTGTCTTCTTCACTAGTACATCATGGAGCTGACTGATGCCCTCAACTATTGCCACTCAAAGAAGGTGATCCACAGGGATATCAAACCAGAGAACCTGTTACTGGGGGCCAATGGGGAGCTGAAGATTGCAGATTTTGGCTGGTCTGTTCACACACCTTCCTCCAGGTATGCACATGTGATTTGTTTAAATTGCATCCCTTTTTTTTATCAAGAGTTGTGTCTTTTACGGTTTTAAGTGATTCTGTAATATGGTTTTAGGTAGCATTTGTTGATAACCTGTCAGTTTTTGGTGTCTGCATTCAACCCATGAATTGCTGTACTGACCTTATCAAGAGAGGTTTTTAGAAAAGACTCTGTAAAAATCAAATCTTTTTCTTTAAAAATACATTTAGTTTACAATACTTAGAGGAAATGAGTTAATAAAAAATGTTTTATCACTTTTCAAATGAACCCATTTAATACCCTAAGACAAACTGGTCATATGTCTAGATAAAGCACTTATATTATTGGTATTTAAAAACAATAAAAATAAAAATCTGTAGTCTCAGATGGATAATAAGCCCATTAATGGCATAACTTTGAACTAAGTCAGATTGTCAAGCATGTTAAGATGATGTTTTTTGTGCCCTTTTTTGACAGTTTTCTGATATCTGCTAAGAAAGTTATAGCTTCAGAACTGACTTCACCTTTTTTTTTTCCATCCAGGAGATCCACACTGTGTGGAACTCTTGACTACCTGCCTCCTGAGATGATTGAGGGGAAAACTCACGATGAAAAGGTGGACCTGTGGAGTCTGGGTGTTCTGTGCTATGAGTTTTTGGTTGGAAAGCCCCCGTTTGAGGCTAAAACTCATGAGGACACCTATCGTAGGATATCAAGGGTAGGTAGAAGGAAACTAAACACCCCAAAAATCTCACTTAAAATAAATCTATTTTTTAAAATTCGTTAATGCAGACTGAAAATGCTGTACTCTTATTTAAACTAATGTGAAACACTTGAAATCATCCCAATTTTATGTCTCCACTGTAAACCTTGCACTGATTTTTTTCACTTTTTTAAATTCAGGTGGAGTACACCTACCCCGCACAATCTAATATCAGTGCTGGCGCCAAAGACTTGGTTGCCAGGCTCCTGAAGCACAACCCCATGCAAAGACTGCCAACCCAGGGGGTTCTGTCACACCCTTGGGTGGTTCAGACTTCCACCAAAAAGCCCACAACTATAAAAATCGAAGGGCCCAGCCAGTGAACCTTCTTGTTCCCCGCAGTAGAACATCATGGGATTTACTGTATTTGTAAGTTTGGAGTCGTGCACAACATCACCTGAACAAAAGTTAAAATGAGATCACTGAGCAGCTAATTTAAAGTATCTGCTTGTACTACTACGCTGTCTATGAAATCTTGGTGGAGAAGTCTTTCTGAGCCACTCGGTTTTCTCTCCCTTCATATTCAATCTTTATATCTCTTCGTAAGTTTTTTTCTTCCCAATGGCATCTGTTGCCTGTAAATATGTCACTGTTTTTGTGTTATGATGAAAGTTTTATTGAACTTAAAATGTCCCATTACTTGAAATAAAAGTAAATTATCTTTTATGGAGTTTGTCGCTTTGGAAACAAGCAGCTGACACCTTTCAGTTAAAAGTATTTTAATGTTTTATTATGTACATATTTCAAGCTCTCATGCTACTCCTCAGGTTTTGGGTGGTGAAGAATTTGCACTGTTGCCAAATGAGTGAGATAAAGGCTGTTTTATGAGTGCATGATATTGTGTGTGGCCAGCAGAGGGAGCTAACATACCACTAGAACTGAACTGGGAGGGTGCTACAAAATTTAGGTAGGCTAATTCTGCTGTGAGTGTTTCTAATTCTGTTCATTATCATGAGTTTGTTGCACGTGTCTTGCAATAAAGGATAAAAAGTAAATATATTTTGGACAGCAAGTTGCCTTACTATGAGTAAATTGTAATCAAACAGAAATGTGTGTTTACAGTCGCCAGATCATTTAACAGGTATAATCGTAGATTCTAGTGTAATCTAAAAGAACATTTCTGTTGCTGCTCTTACAAAGAAAGCAACAGAGTGTAACTGGGCTTTATGCACAGCTCGACTGCTTCCCGAAGTTAAACTCCTTTATTTCCTGTCTTTCATTATTGGACAAACTGATTAGTCCAGGTGTCACTGATCATTGTGACTACTCAGACACACCTGGATTAATTAGTTTATTCAATAATGAAAGAGGAAATAAAGGAGAAATCTTAAATTCAAGAATTAGTGGAGTTGTGCATGGAGCCCATTGGAGTTGTAGTCTGAACTGCTTGTTGACTAAACAATGGATTTTGTTATACTTGATATTATAATACATATTACAAAAAATGAAAGCTTTTATTCTAATTCACCCGTAAACAATACAGACTCCCATTATTACTTGCTAAACTATATAGACCTTGCTCAAATGATTGAGAAAACTTGATGTATGAGCTTCAAAGAAATGAACGCAACTGCAGTGCTGTTGCATAAAATTAAACTAGACTGTTCAGCTGTATCAGATGCCAAAGTGGCGCCTTAAAGGTGAGTAATTACAATTTTTTTGTCAACAACTGCAGTCAAATTAAACCAAACTTGGACCTTTTCCTACAAAGCTGACCTTTCTTATCGCGAATCCATCAAACTATAATTGTGTTTTAAGACCATGTAATACAACATCTGTGTATTATATGACACCACTTTGCTTTAAGCTGAATTAGAAGACAGTACAGTTGAAACAAACATATACTTTTGAAAGGTTTTGGTGAATAAAAGTAAAAAAATAACAGCTTTATTAATAATATACTGGTGCAATTAAGCACGCTGCGATGTTTGATAGGGTTTCTATGCAGTATCTTTCCTGTCCACTAGAGGGCTCTCCAGGCATGATAATGTGTGGTGACAATATCGTGGATATGACTCTTCTTTTGCATGTTTATTGATGAAACATATTCGCTTAGCTCGTAGCTTGTGGATACTTGAATCGGTTTTATTTTAGTTGTATTTATAAAGGTGAAGATGCATCAGTTTTACTGAGTGAAATAGTGCAGAAATTGTTGGGCTTTTTCATGAGCTTTTGTTGGACATGTGCTGGAACCAGACTATCGGAAAGACAAATGCACCTGCCTTGAGATGATCGGTTCGAGCGTTTGATCGGTTCGAGCGTTTGATCGGTTAATCCTGTGATCGCCTGTGGAGCTTTTTTCGGTGCGTTTAAGTTGCCTTTGTCTGTTGACAGTTTAGGTAAACAGTCCGCACTGTCTTGTTAAGCCGTCTGTAGGCCTACCATGTGGAGATATATACAGTAGGTTGACGTTCCAGCAGCTGCAGGATTAGCCCACTCCCTAAATAAAGGCTTCTCCAGATGTTGCGCAGGAAAAAATCAACACAGTGGATGAACAGGTCGAGCATAAGGCCTGATGCCTGCAGCGGAAAATCTGTCCAAATGCTCTTTATTGGTGCATGGAAACCTGACTCCAAACATGCATGCTTTAATTATTTCTGTACACATGCAGATTAAAAGAGCAGGATTTTATATGGGATTATGATCAAGCAAAAGGACAGAAACACGATTTTTCCCACTAAACCATCAGGCCTCTTCAGCAATCAGCTAAAGAACGAATATGAATACCACTATTTTCTCCATCATTTTCTGTCTTTTATTATAGAGAGAAAAAAAAATACATGTTCTGACCGTTTTGTCGTTTTACATAAAACCACACACATTTTTACAATATAATTTCACTTATGTCTTTATTCTTTAATATTAATTTCACGATATATGATAACGACTTTGAGATATACATTCCATCTTTTTGAAACCACAATAACACACTACACAAACGGTTTTATAACATTTCCACAGGACCCATTGCATTGCACAGAATGAAAAATGTCTGTATGCACATTTTCCTCGAATGATCGATCATTTTTTAAGATTTTCAGACACCGAATTTTCGACACTGGAGTCTCTCAAATTAATTCAGAACAGGCCATGTTTTACTCTATGTAATGGAAGGCATTATGGGGAATTGAGTGTGCAGGATTTCAATTTAGGGTCCCCATCTAAAGCGGAAATTTGGTCCCAGGTGTTATGGGAGGGGGGCTTTAATTATTGCCGATTTAAGAGCTCGATAAAATAAATCCAAATGCTAGAAAGAAATATCAAAGTATCAACACTTTCACGCAGAAAAATCGAAATGTTCAATATTTTTTCTTCTCTTTTTTTAAATTTCTACTTCCCAGTTTTGAGCTGCTGTGTGTCTGAAATATCATACATTCAATGCATAGTTTGTATAGCTGCTGCGTAATTTGATATTTTGCATGAACAGTATTTTAAACTGATCGGGGAAGGTCCAATTTTCTTATTTCTAACGCTTTCCATTAACCAAGACAAGATGCTTTCACGTTTTCACTGCTGGTTATTGCCATTGTGTTTGATTCCCCCTCTTGTCTCTATAATCACACTGCAAGAAGAGGGTGTTTGTTCATATTTTTGATGTTAAATAAATCGTCTTAATTCCTCATTTAATCACATTTTGCCATCGAATACCCGTCCATCTTAAGCTCAAGCGTTACATTAAGTGAAGTCTCTCAAGAGCGACGAAAAGACAAACTGTCCTTCTTGCAAATTTAGTGTATGGTTGATATTGTAAACGTTCACTCCACTGGAAAATATGTTTATGTACGTTTGTTCGCATATTTATACAACATGAACTGTTCATATAGTGTGCTGTGGATGCATTAGGTTCCCTCGTTGTCAGCGGCCCTCTTTCTTTGTGGGAGTGTGATTGTGCGTGTGTGTAGAAGTGTGTGTGTATGTGCGCGCTCTTGCTCTTGACTGATGCCAGACTGTATGTGTGGGCAAATGTGGTCTGTGTGCGCTTTTACGCATGGATTAAGCAGAAGGGGGGGCTGCGTTGCTGCAAAGTCGTGAGTTTTATTTATTTATTTCTCTTTTTTTTTCACTAAATGGGGTTGCAGTTAACATCTATTTTCGGTAATGGCTTGAATCTACTCCTGTATGTTATATTTGAAAGCCTCTATGAGCCCCTCCATGGAGTGGATAAAACCGGATATGCTGCATATACCTCCTATTACAAAGATGGAGACATCAAAGAAAACCTGGTGCCACTGCAGCTTTCTCCATAAAAGCTTGAGGTGGAAGAGACTGGGAAGCAGAAAGCACAGGCCTGCACCCGTCAGGCTGCCGGTGAGACCCATGAGGAGGGCGAAATGTGGCACATAGATGGCCATGAGCAAAGTGAACACAACAAGGCTACAGCGGAGAGCGAGTCCCCAGGATTTTAGGCGTCCATCGCCTCCGTAGCAATCTGGGAAGAACGCGCGTCCCCCTTCCTGGAAAAAGGATTTCTCTAATACTTCTACGGCAGCGAAAAACGGGAGCGGATAGGACAGCAAAGCTTTGGCCACAAGGAAGATGTTGACGACAGCTCGGATACCAGGGGGCAGGTTGTCTGTGATGACCTCCTTAGTTTCATCAGCCCAGGTCAGGTAGGCCACGAGGGCGAAGAGGCCCTTGAGGATGCAGGCAGCGATGTGAGTCCAGTTCATCATGCAGTGGAACTCGCTGGGTTTCTGCATGTTCCCCTCCAGAGACGGCAGGAAGATCTGCGAGGTGTAGCTGAACACGATAATCCCAATGGAGATGGGGAACTTCTTGACATCGATGTAAAACTTAACCTTGTCCCAGGCCCAGTCCCGCGCTCTGGAGAGGCAGTACGCGATCACCAGGACGTTGATGACAAAGTGGGCCATCGTGCACAGCAAGCTGAACTTGGAGACGGCTTTCAGGTTCTTGAGGAAGGCGCAGGGGAGCAAAGCGGCGGTGGCGATGATGGCCCAGGACTTCTGGGAGATGGGCATGTTGGGGAAGCTGTTGTACATGAGGTTTCCACTGACCACCACATAAAGGATGCAAGTCATCACAAGCTCTATGATTTGGGCTACATTCACGATATGGCCTCCTAAAGCAGGGAATCTGGGCTGGCAGCAGGCGTTGGCAATGTCCACATAGGAGTCCCTCACACGAACCAGCTGCCCGTCTTCGTCCTCCTCATACAGGCAGGCAATGAGGATTTTCCCCGTGTAGCAGCACACCACGGCGGCGAAAATAATGAGAAAGAGTCCAAGGTATCCTCCATGCAGGATGGCATAGGGCAACCCAAGAACGAACATCCCCTAAAAAAGAATAAGAAGGAAATAAAACGATCAAATGCGAGAAGATCATCAAGTAACCAAAGGAATTCATGTCGAAAAAACGATCGTTTTTTTTATTCGTATATTTTAACTTTTACGGCAGAGGAAGTAACTCCCGTTTTTCATGTTGTGGGTTTTCCACTTCGCTTTGAGCGCATCCACCCGCCTCTGACGTCACCGAGAGTTCGAGGAGACACGCTCTTGCGTCACGGTGACTGCCGTGACCACGACCGTGATAAGGCGTGAAAAGGACTGCGACTGGGGATTTTTGTCGCAGAGCCTACAAACACCAGGGAGACTCCGCTCTCGAGTAAATCCTCACACTTTAAAGAATTAATGGCCCCTTTACGTATTTATGATAATAATTATTTACATCAACTATCCACTCTTGGACTATATCACTGCACACAGTTTGGCTCCCTGTGCGTAAAAATCTTAATTACTCTCTGCAAACACATTTGAGCAAAAATTAAAGTCAAATAAGAGACTCTACAATCTATAATGTGCCGCGTAAAAATTAGGCCCACGTGTTTACATATACCAGTTTTATGTACCTGCAATTTATTTCGATGTTTTTCGCGTAAAATGATCCAAATTTACAGTCTAGCTTACACTCCCCTTGCACTCAAAATCTGTGCATTGCTGCTACTTTTCCTTTGTTATTGTTTTTCATTGCCATTCATATTATAAGTGAGCAGTTATCGAGCACCGGCATCGATGACATTGGACTTATACCTGCAGACAAAGAATGTGTGTGATAAAGAGGAGGAGGGGAAGAGGAGGGGGGCACTTGGCATCAACTACCTCCCTTTTTTCAGCGCATTGTACCGTGAGCTGCTCTGAAATCTCTGCATTGCTCCAGTGAAAACGTTTGAATTCAAAGTCTTGGTTGTTTAGAGAACTATTTCTAAACCACACTTTAAAAAGGTGTTTTTACCATACTCACAGTTTTGTTAAAACCGTTTTTTGGGGGGACGAACCTTGCGGTTTTTGTTAAGAACATTTTATGTGGGCGTCAGAGTGCGTATCTCAGATTTTTTTCACTGTTTTTCTTGAGGCGCACAGCCAATTAGCCCTGCGCACCGGACCCGCCCGTTCTCAGTCCGTGAAGTGCGTCTTTTACCTGGATGGCATTCGTGACGTTCCAGCCCGCCTCCCAAGCAGTGATTTTTGGTTTGACTTCATTCAGCTCGTTCGATGAACCTCCATCCTTTGAGGCTGAATGCGGCGGACCGGTACCGTCCCTCTGGTAGTGGCTGTCCCCGTCCAGTCCTTCTCCGTCTCCTGCGCCCTCACCTCCCATCTCCTCGCTTGTCAAAATGTCCATCTGCATGCCCTGCCGGTGATCGTAGTCCAGGTCATCGCAGGCGGCGAAGCCCAAAGCCTCATCATCGGTGGCGGCCTGGAAGCCCATTCTGGCGAACATGCCGCTCACCTTCGCCTGGGATTTGTTGCTGACAGCGGTGGCTGCATTTGACAGTTTATTTGAAAGCTTGCTTTTGATTAACGTCGCCATTTTCGCTCCTGTGTTTGATCTCTCCGCAGGTTAATTAGTGTTTTTCTCCTCCAGACAGTAAAAACGTGAGGCTACTTTGGGTGGCAGCTCTTGGTTCTCTGCATAAAGCCACGCAGGAAAAAGCACAAGTTAAGTTTCAAGACACCGACGGTTTTCAGTTGCTATCTCCACTTCTTGCTCAGTAAACGCCTGCTGCTCTTGATTATCCCGAGGTTCATGTCACCTTCAGACGTCGCAGCTCCGTTTCTGCATCTTGGCACTGCGCTCTGATGCTCGACGAGTAGCGCACCTTTTCAGTCTCTGAGGCAGTTTGGCGGTGTGCGCAAAAGCTTTACGCACGAAAAAAAAGGCGAGCCACAGGTTCCTACAGGGCCTATAAGATCGCTTTCTTTCGGGTTATAAGGTGGCAGGCAGCGTCTCCAGAAGTCGGTTGTCGGCTTTCAGGTGCCTTTACTGAAGCCAATGCGGTACCGTGGAGCCCGAGGGGGAGGCAGGGAGGAGACACGTGTCCTCATCAGCCTGCCAATGCAAAGCACGTCTCCAGCCCTCCCAGTGCCCCACCAGGAGAAAACGGGAGAGATTTGCTGCATTTCTAGGGGAGGTGCTTGTAGTACCCCCACCACCCCTTCCCCAACCCATAATCTATAATACCTCATCCGAACATCCAATGACATTCCGGGGGCCTCAAATCTTGCATAACTTTACGCGTATAAAAGGAGGTTGGAATTCGAAGAAAACCCCAAATCTATGGACCAAATAAAAATAACATACCAAACTTGATATATATATATTTTTTAAAGATTTATATTTGAGGAGAAGACGCGGCCAAAATAGTGAACCAAGTTTTCTCTGGGACTACAGGGATCGAGCTTAAAATCCGCGGTGCAGTTGTTGTTGGGGAAATACATTTTCCTGCATTTTATCTTTGCCTTATGATGGTAAGATATTAAACTCGAGGAAACGATATTTTAATGCAGTACAAGTTAAAAAATGGTGTCATTGTTTCACAAATTGGAGCGTATAATCTGCTCGGTTTTTTATTCCTCCGGCTCTGTTTTTCGGTAGAGTTTTCATTCAGGACGCTCATTCATCCATTTAGTCATTCAGTGACTCGGACTATGTGTGTGCGTGTGTGTGTGTGTGTGTGTGTGTGTGTGTGTGTGTGTGTGTGTGTGTGTGTGTGTGTGTGTGTGTGTGTGCGTGTGTGTGTGTGTGTGAAGCTGTCTGAGACATGGTGTTGTTTCCGTTGAGAAAAATGCATGCTTCAACATTTGTAATTAAAAACGTCAGCAAACTGTAGTCTGGGGTGAGAGTGCGCACTTGTTTTCATTCTCGGGATGTCAGCATCAGGATGGGCCTGCTTACGCTTTTTTTCTTGTCAGCCATAGATGCGTAAAAATTAGTTTCTGCCCTTTTAAAAAACATTTTTAAGAAGTGATACTGACAGAAAAATAATACATATTAATAAGACTTCTTATCTCCTCAAATGTGCACAGCCTGCTTGGTTTTATTCGCCTTAAAATAGCCACGCACGCTTGTGATATCAGTGATTCTGTTTTCCATTAATGGAAGCCTAAGCGAGCTTCAAACAGTTTGTTGACATTGTCCTGTCAGTAGTACTTTGTGTCCAGACTGTGCTACTGTTTCCTCCGGCTGCAGACTGCGGGATCATGTGATCCAGAGCCGAGGCCTACAAACACTGTCTGAACTACAACACCAAACAGAGTACCGGAAACTGCTCTGCTGCAAACAACCAGGCAGGATCAAATAACAGCATGGCCTTACGTGCATACCTGAGAGCAGCTGGAAATAGGACACTGAGGAAAGACCAAAATAAGTGTGTTCAGAAGTTTAAAGCAGAAAGGGCCAAACATAATATTTAAAACAAAATGTACTTTCAAAGCAGAATAATTCATCCTTATCCTGCTTGAAGTGCACACCGAGGAGTGCGTAAAAATGCGCCTTTATTCCAGTATTTTTTGATCCACATTGTTAAGCCAAGCTGCGTCACGACGCATGTTGGAGGCCGCGCTCTATCAGGCCTAAGCATCTCTGCTAAACCTGCACTCTGATCCAAACGACAGGATTTTCATCCTTTGCCAAGACACGTGAATCGCTCACTCCGACGCCTCTTGCTTTTTTTGGTGTGTGTGTATTTTTTTTTTATTTCAACTGTGGGAACAAAACATGGCTGCCCTCCTCTCAGCGCTGAATGAAAGAGTTAATGACAGAGGCTGTTATCAGCGCGCTGCAGCCCTGCTCTGATCTGCGCTCTGTGCTGTCTGATGGAGGCTGCAGCAGGATGAAAAGAGCAGCCGTGACACCGGCAGCCTGCACACCCTCTCCCGACCTGCTGTACGCACGACAATAACAATAATAACAGGCATATTCGGCTTGTCAGGTGTGAAGGTATTTGGACTCAGACTAAATGATATAATATCAAATTCAACACAGATTTAAGCTCGTTTAAGACGCAGTTTTAAATGTAGTTTTGCTGTAGGTTCACTAAAGTGCCTCTAACTGGTGGGATTTAAAGGTTTGGAGACTTAAAAGGTTTAAATTTCACACAGGCCTTGTCTTCTCCTCACACACTCACGTTTCTACACGACTATCCTTCATCTCCAAACGATACTTCATCTCCTCAGATTATCACCCATCTCAAGAGTCATCAGGGGGTCAGGGGTGCCACGTCCCAAGAGGGTCCTGCTCTCTGTCGATACAGTTTTAACCAATCACATCTCTTTATCTACGAGCTGCACACACCCCTCTTCTTATCTCCCAATCCCACACCTGCATGAAGCTCATCCTCATGTTTTTTTTTTGTTTCCTCTGGTTCTTGGAAGTCAAATCCAAAAAGAGTCACTGTGATCTGACTGTGTCCTCAAATTCATTTCCTCTATTGTACCCACCCCCCATCCTCCTCCTCCTCCTCCTCTCACTCCTCACTATTTCACCCCCGGCTCTCCTTTTTCACATTACACACATGGGTGAGCTGGCACAAGGTTCTCCGCCTCCGTGCACCCCCCTCCTCTGCCGACACCAACCCCACCCCACCCCCCATATTTTTCCTCGAATCACAAAAATAAAGGTCTCATTTTTAGGGGATTGGTAATTTTCTATCCTGCAAAAATAGACCAAAAAAAAAAAACGATTTCGTTGTCAACTAAAACCTCAACAGGTAAAAAGAATAATCATATTTGAGATTTATCCTGCACAGAGAGGACTTTTTGATATTTTTACAACGTGTCTCATGTTTGCATCCAACTGCGCCAAGCAGTAGACACACTTGGTTTTATGTTTCCATGGCGCTGACTGCAATTATGTAGGTCTACAATGACTTCCATTGTAGGCTATCATTACCTAACCCATTGAATGTTTTCAGGGACAAGGTAATGACGAGTGTGGATTGAGTGTGTGTGTGAGTGTGTGTGTAGAGGAAGAAAAAGAAGTGTGTTACATGAACATTTGACGCACGACCCAGATAAAGCCGAGATAAAGGAGTGGTTCAGAGAAGGAGTAAGAAAGTAAGGGTTTTTTAAGTGATGCGAATGATTAGGTTAAAAAAAATCTCTCTTCAAACCTAAACCTTCATCCTGTGTAACTCGAGCTCTCTTTTAACCCCATCATTGCCCGGCTTCTGCTGCGTCTGTGCGCCCAGTGAGGCAGAAAAACACCACCAACACTCCTCGCTTAGTAAGAGACAGTGAAAAGGCTGTCTGGGCTCTCCAGGGACTGAGAGGAGGGGAAATTAGCCCGCATCAGGCTAATCAGAGGACCTCAGAGTCCATTAACATTTGCATCACAATCACAGGTAGCACGCTGTCCGTGTTATCGACGAGATTATGTGTCGTCTGCGTGGAGCAGGGCTGTGCAAATCGGTTTGAAGGCAGAGGAAGAGAGAGAAAACATCCACAGGCTGCTGTAGAGGTGGATCAGATTTCAGCACCACGGACAGCGTTAGGAGAAAGTCCACCCTTAATAAATGCGTTTAGTGCGTTTATGAGTAGGAGATACATTGACAAAAGAAAAACAAAACCTCTCTGTTTGGAACTTAATTGATGTGTAGATTTGTATGCATCAACGGCTATATGGAGTAGTAGTAAACAAAAACAGAACAAAACAAAACATTATTTTCCATCAAGAAGTCCTGGAGACAAGACTTATATTTGTAGCCGAATTTCACTCGATAAAATGCAAAGATGACTTCCCACTTTTCATGATCTTAAACTGACCTGCAGATACAGTGCCGGTCATCTTAATATCAGCTCATCTTCAGTTCATACTGGTTCAAGAAAGCTCTAAAAATTAAAACCACAGTATCATAGCAAAATGTTTCAAAATGTTCATTTCTAACATGAACTACAAAGCCACACATCTTTAAAACATCAACGTTTAAGGATGTCATTCTTTTAACCCAACAAGACTTTTAAGTTTTTAAGTTTCACACTTACGCTACAATCTGTATAGTTAAATCTTACCAATAATTTTAATCCATGTTGACACCTCTATGAGATTTGGGAAACAAAAAAGGGTCAATGAGCTTCTCTTGGGTCTTTACTTTAATTCAAATATTAATATTGGTATCAACATAAACAAAAGAAAACCTACTCAAAACTAGGGTCCCCAACTGAGTAAAAGCTTGCATAAGCAAAACATCAACATCATCAATAATTTTTAGTTATAAACCACTTAAAAACAACTTAAAAAGGTGAAATGAATCAGATCAGCCAATCATAAGATAATACATAAGAAACATCTACATTTATTTGTGAGGTAGCTCTAAATAATTCTACCCTACTTGGCTGGTTTCAAACAAATTACCAAAAAAAAAAAACATCAGTTCATACCCCCCACCCTCCACTCTCACCATAACGCTGACTCAACATAACTTCTGGTCAACCCATGAATGTCTCAAATCTCCAAGCAAACAACTGCATTAGGTCCACTTGTCATTCAACTCTCTCCCATCATGCAAATATACATAAAATTCCAACTCCTAAAACCTTACTTACTTTATTTATTGATTTAGAACAAGCTGTTGACACAGTCTTTAACATGAGTGTTAATAGGAATCCCCCAGCTTTTGCAGCCAGCCTCCTAGTGGACACTTGAGGAACTGCATCTTTGCCACATCTGCATTGCCTTTGACCTCAACCAGGACAATGACCTTAAATAGAAAAATGTTGAGTGGTCAAAGCAAAGACAAAAATGTTATACTGACTAAATCTGACTCTCACATCAGCTGCTAAACACCTATCAAAGTATTCACTATGCTGAACCTAAAAAAAGACGGTATATTAAAATCCATTCAAATGTTTTGTAACATGTTGATGCCCAAACAAATCCATCCCATTTATTACTGTCTATCCTAGACTACAATGCATTAAGTTATACAAACACAAGCTGACAAAACAATACACTGACTCTTAATGCCCATTCCAAAATAGAACAAAGAGCATCATATTTAGGTACCAGACCTGTTCATGATAGCATGCCATCATGCAAATAAACATCACCACAGTTTTTTTTTTAAACATCCTATCATCATAGTTCAGCTGCACATGAACACAGAAGAGAAAAAAAAAATCCAGGTGGCCCACAGTGGTAAACCACTAAGAGCCTTTTCATTACTCCTAATGCGCCTGTGTAATGGCTTATTATGGGCTCCCCAGAGACTTCCTCTGAGAGGGGTTTGTATTAGTCCTGCATGATGGAGTCCGCCTGAGAACAACAGTGACACATTATAGCACAAGACTATCTATCTATCTATCTATCTATCTATCTATCTATCTATCTATCTATCTATCTATCTATCTATCTATCTATCTGGGGTTGGAGAAAAAATTGATTTACCACAGTATTGCGATTTTTTGTTTTACAATTTTTTTGTTCAAAAATCTTTTTTTTTCTTTTTTCAAATTCAAGAATAAATCTTAGAAACTGACTTACATGTGACATGTATTTTTTGGAGAAATATGGTTCCTGGATTAATGAGTAGATAATCATAATCATTCAACTGTTTCACTGGTGTAAGAAATGCAGACTAAATGTCGATGAAGTCGACAATATTGTAGAATCGAGATTTAATGCGAATTAGCATCCAAAAAAATTGTACATCCCAGCCAAGTCTGTCTGTCTGTCTATCTATCTATCTATCTATCTATCTATCTATCTATCTATCTATCTATCTATCTATCTATCTATCTATCTATCTATCTATCAAGGTGGGAGGAAAAATCAATTCACCAAAGTATCTCGATTTTTTTCTTTTACAATTTTTTTGTTCAAAAATCGATTTTTTTTTTCAAATTTAAGAATAAATCTTAAAAACTGACTTACATTTGACGTGTATTTTTGGGGGAAATATGGTTCCTGGATTAGTGAGTTGACAATCATAATCACTCAACTGTTTCATTGGTCTTAAAATGCAGACTAAATGTCGTGAAAGTCGACAATATCGTAGAATGGCGATTTAACGCAAATTGGCATCCAAAAAATCGTAAAAGAATCGAATCGGGAGAAAAGCATATCTATCTATGTATCTATCTATCTATTCCTATCTCTATTCCGTCTAAAATAATACTCAGTATGGCACTATTTCATTCCTCGGAAGAATCTAAACAGCGTCTTAACGTGAGTTTCTCTCTCTCCTCCGTGTGTGTTTGATATCAAACGCTCCCCAGACGCCGTTTTGCGGTTAACCCACGTTGACTCCGCGCTCTCCATCAATCCTTTGACGCGCAGGTCGGGTCTCCTCTCCTGCTGCGACACATTAACATTGTAATTGCCTTTTTTTTTAACACAATAAACTCAGTTACTCCGCGGGGACTTGCACGGCCCCGGGCTAGAGCTGGCACAACGCTATACCATCGATTTCCCCTACTCGGACACTCACACACACTCACACACACACACACACACACACACACACACACACACACACACTACTGCTGAAATCTAAATAAATAATAAAAAATCTCAAACATGAGCACACATGGACCTGGACATGTTTGTTATTTCATGTTGATGATGAAGAGTATCTGGTGCGCATCTGACACCTGCCTGAGGGCGAACAAAATAAATAGTGGAATAAAAGAGCACATCATTGTTTTAATTAGCTTTGAACACTTTTCAGATGCTTTTATTTTGAAAGGCACTGAGTATACGTCTCCTGTACTGATCAGAAGTAAAGGTGATGAACAGTAATCAATACCTATCACACCTAATCCACTCTGTTTTACAGTAAGAACTCTTAGTACTGGCAGTATTGATGTATGTGTGTAAAAGTGCAAATGCATGTTTAATTGCACATGTTTTCTCACCTGAAACAGTGTGTCCATGTTGTGTGTGTGTGTGTGAGTGTGTGTGTGTGGTCTTGTCAGCCAGTCAATAAGGAGCAGACCTCAGCATGTGGTTAACTGATGTGTAATAGTTTTGTTCTCATTAAAGTTTGATGTCTTGAGAGCAGGGACATGTTGTCGGCCCTCACAGGGATTCCTCACGTTCGAATCACTCTGACACTTTGACTCGCACAGTTGAGAGGTTCACAGTGTTTCATCCACACAGTCACAACACACACAGTGACAGGAGGTTTTCCACCTGAACACACCTGCCTGATAGGAGTGGTTGTGGTTTACAGTGCGGCAAAATCATGGCTGTTCTTTGTTTAAGCTATCCAACATGTTTCACTGCTTTTGTCCACAATGACAGTCAAATTTTTGACTCATAGCTTCTCTGTCCTAGCAGGAACTACAGCTAAACCAGGACACACATGTAGGTTAACACAGGTGCTATTACTCTCTTGAAACTATATAAAGGATTTGGTCCTTAAATAAAAAGAAAAAATTAAATACACATTCAAACAGTCTTCGTCAAACAATGCTTTGCATTATCTGAGTGCCAGTGCGGTCAATTCTTGAGTCCAAGTACCGAGACGAGTCATTCAGACTCCAGCTGGACTTGATTCTAAGCCCTGAACTTGAGTACAACAAGACTGCCTAGAAAATCGTAGTTTTGTATTTAAAGGGATATTCCAATTAACTTAGGGTCAAACACACCATAACACTGAGTCAGACATCCCCCCGAAAGATGAATGTTGCCGACCACTTGCTTCTCTAGTTATACCAACTTTAGTAACGACCGCACGATAGCAATACACAGCGGTCTGAGGAGCCATAAACAAACCTCAACCAAAACGCCACTCTATAGCCACAAATAATCCTCAGAACAGCACCTAACTTCGTCAACAGGACATATAGGGTCCTAGTCATAGTACTAGCCACCAAACATCTTTTTAACTTTGCCTAATTTCTTTAGCAAAGAGACTAAACACAACTCACCTACTCCCTTCCAGCAGCCGTTTGTTTGTAGCGAGACCTCGGGCCAGTCCATTACCGACTGCTGCAGGGTGACGCAGCTCAAGGAAGAACCTTTATGATAATTTCTTTATCACTTCCCTGATGTAATAATCACCACATTGATCATTTTGCACTGCAGCGAGGTATTTCTACTGCCTTAGCATCTTGGTCTGATTGCATTTCCATGAAGAAATGATGATGGAGGAGAGTGGGTGAGTTATATTTTGACTCTTTGCTAAAGAAATTAGTTTTCTGTTTCAATCTTTGAACCTTTTGGCAATTGTCAGATTTGATTTGCTCTAGGACAGATTGCAGGTGCAGATCGCTTACAGAAATAAAAATCTCAGATTCACACAGATGGAAGCTACAGTATCATTAAGACAAAGGTGTTATGTTTGCTTTTGCTTTACTGTTTTTCCTGTACACTACGGATGGGGATCGAAAACCGGTTCGATTCATCGACATTGTTTACATTTCGTCTTGGGGTGAAAACCTATAGTCTACTTTTCTCAAATCAAAGAAAGGCATTGATAAAGGAATCGTTAAAGAATTGAATCGATAAGCAGAATTGATATTGATATTGATAAAATCTTATCAATTCCCATCCCTAGCCTACCTGTGCAGCCTCTACATTTCTGCATTGAATCTGTAATGACAGTGAGCCTGTTCTGACTGTTACTCTTGAGGTGTTAAGGTACAGTGAAAGACAACACACCGACCAAAGAGGTAATTCTTTTCATATCTTTAGAGCCCAGCTTAAGATCCTTAAGTTGCTTCTATTCAAAAGCCATAATGTGTAAAAAAGAAAAAAATGCATTTCCCTTACTGGCAGATTTCCAACAGGAGCATTAATTGTTTTCTTTCTTTTAACTGGATGCTGGATCAAAAGCTGAGATGAAACAAAGACAGGAGACACCGGGATTCCCGTTTTTCAAAATTAGCATCGGTGCTTTGTTTATTCTAACGCATCCCAGTGTTTTTATTAGTATAACCCATCCATTTCCTCTCCCCATCCAGTCTGAATGATTCATTGAAATGCACATCTTGTTTGCAATTGACTACATTCACAACCTGCTGAAAGCTTTTTGTTCGGGCCCTGTGATGTCGGCAGGCCTTCAAACGGCTTTGATTTAATTGAAACTCGCAGCGCTCATTGAGAGTGCTCGCAGCTTAATAAAGGCAACCGCCGGCCATGTCGCATACAGGTTTGTGAATAAAAACCACGTATGCTTTTGGAAATGGGTTTTTCCCTCTGCGTCTGCCCATCCCCCAACACAGTCCAACCATGTGGTGCAGCCACTCTGGGCTGTCATTAACTGCTTTTGTCAGCCGTACAATCAAGAGCAGGGAAAAAAAAATACTCTGGCACTTATCATGAGCTCAGACACACATACACTCACAGGAACACATGAACGTGGACACACAGCAGGAGGACGGTTGTGACTATTGATTTCTGGGCTGATGTGCGAGACGTTGCACAAATACAGAAGCTTTGATACAAAATGTGTTTTTGTCTTCAGAGTGTGATAATCGCTCTGCAGCACCAGGCTGATGACTTCCTCTATATTTAGACTGCAGGTCAATACACCCACTAAACAGACAGACACGCTGCATCACTCTGATCTTCCGATTATTCTGAACCACTCATACCTGAGAGACCTCTTACAGAGCCCACTCCCTCAGAGGGTTATGGAAATACTGTAGATATCTGACAATCCAACATATTCAACCATCTTTAAATCCCTGTAAAAAAGAAATAAGATACCACTCGATCAATGCTTTGGCTGATTTCACTTGAGAAAGGCCTTTATTGTTTCTCCTACGATTATTAAAATCCTTTTATTGGCTGAAGCTGTTGCACTAAAAGGCGTTTAAACTTATTGTCACTTAAGTTTACTTAAAATCTTTATTTGTAAAGATTGTTAAAATT